AAAACTTCTACCCAACACAATAAGTGGAATAAAATGGACATAAACCGACAACATGAAAAAGATATAACTCACCACAACATCACATGGACAGATGTACGCTCGTCGGACATCATATATACCTCACCAACTACAACCCAACTTTCCTAAGATAATGTGATGAACTTATATCCGTAATGTTGCTGAGCAGTCAATATCCACAACTCCTGTCGGAACAACTAAAATTCAAAAACCTTCCTCACGAGAAGTAAATATCCACAAGCAGTAGAAATCCATTAATTAATGCGTCTAAAGCTTATGTATTTTACTCCCAACAATGACATTGCAGATCAAATGAGATAAACAAATCACTGATTTCAAAATAACACATCAATGAACTATAATTCAAGGATTCTGCACACAACAAAGTATTGTATGAAAATTGACTTCAAGCTTTATTTTTTTCCCAGGCACTTATAACCCATCCACCAAAGACCTGGTTTTTTTGTTAATGCGAAGACAATACTTCTGTATTTCCTGATGTGTTGCACTCACTGACGATCTAGCGGATTTTTCCAACTATGCATTTATCAAGTGTATGTATAATCTCCAGTGTACATGTTAAACATATTTTGCTATCGACTGTAAATTGTGACTAAATAATATGGTCCTATTTCTGTAACAATTTGATGATGCCTGTAAACTGGCGTCCCTCATGTACTGCATCATGAGAATAAATTTATTTATTTATTTATAATCTACGGGAGTGTTCACTATAGATGCTGTGTGCCGGCTGTAGTATTGTTTTCGGATGAGGATAGTAGACTCCTACAATAAATCCAAGGGAAACAACACGGTATGAGTGGAGCAAGTAAGCAGAAATGGCCAGGAAGACGGCGAAGCCTCCAACAGTATAGTGTATTTCCAATTGTACACGGAAGTAGATGTATTTTTTCAAGAATCGTTTGAAACAAAAATCATGTACAATGTCTCTAATTTCTACAACTAACAAAAAGTGTACAATCACATTTTTACGTTCTCCACACGTTTCTTCCTATATATCTACATTCACAGACGAATTTACCTGATTTGCCGCTACTATTTTCAGAATTTGTTTGTTCATATTCTTTCGGGACTTTAATTCTTACGATCACAGCTTTCTCATATCACTTGGCCATGAGAACCTAGTCAAATTCAATATTCGTAAGGGCAAAACACTAGGCTTGGTTTTCATATACGATCATGACATGTAAGAGGCGCAGAGAAGAGGCCTGCTCCTGAATTCCGACCATTGCATTATTCGTATGCTACTGAAAATTTATGATAGGTTTTCGTCCGCCTAAAAATAAAATCTGGAAACGGTCCTATTCACATGAAACTACTCTTGCACTAAGATACGTGTCGCATGACATTGACTGGAACCTATTCGTTGATCAAATAGCAGAAGTTAATATCCCTAGTACCATTCGCTTTCTCAAATTCTGTTTGGAAAGATCCCATCTTACTGAAACTATGAGGTTTTATGGATCTCTTCTCCACAACTAAGCAAGCTTAGAAGAGAATAAGAGAATCTACTTAAATACCATGACAATGCTGGTATACGGAGAATGAACTCCCAGATAAATTTTGGAAGGCTAAATGCGATATGTATTGAAATATTTTATAATTTAAGAGTGCTTCTAAAACCTGGAAAAATTGCAGTCGACTTACAGGCGGAAATTGAATTTCATTTGATGTTTGTTCTGATGTAAATACCTTAATTCGATCTTTTATAATGCAACAAGTGTGGTTTCACCTGATATTTTAACCATGTGGATGATTATCTCCCTGTCCTTAGTGGAAAGTTTGTGTTGCCATGTCTCATATGCTGAAAGCTATCATTCAGTGCTGATATACTGTGCAATCCTCTTACACAGATGTCAATTCGCAGGGATATAACACTAGTTGCCTGGGAAAAAATAAAAGTGGTGCCTGTACCAAAAACATCTTCTGGATTGAGTCTTAAATTTAGACTAACCACCATCACGTTCCCATTTTTGAAAACTATAACATAATATATATTTCTTCCTGTTTATGCGGGAACATACCAATTGTACGGGCATGGATAAGTTATCATATAAATTACACATAATTTGATGTATAATGGATTTACAGTTTGGTTTTTCTTTCTGTCATTAGAGTAAGCCAGAACAGTCTGCTATAAAGTCTGTTTGTGTAACACATAAAGAGATATAGAAATATTGTCTTCGTATTAACAAAAACCCAGACATCAGATGAATGTAATACAAATGTCTGGGAAAAATAAAGCTTGAAGTCAATTCTCCTATATAACTTTGTTGTGAATAGCACCCTTGGCTTAAAGTTTATTGATGTATTATGTTGAGATCAGTGACATATTTATTCCATTTTTTCAGCAGTCCTATCGTAGTTTTATAACAGGAAAGAAATTTGATCGTGGATGCGAAAACTGGATAAGGTCATGTTAAGGTGTTTTACTGCATCAAATGGTGTCGAGGTAGATTCCAGGATTCTCCATTTTCTCCATTTGTGTCTGCATGGCGGACTGTATTCGTAGGTTGAGTAAAATGTTGAAAACTGTTTGAAAACCAGTTGCTTCTTCATTTCAGATCATGAATACTCATTTACAGCATGTTCGCCAGCGTCTTCAAATGGTAGAATTGGATCGTTTATGGAATTTGAGTGGTTATGAGTTAAATGGTTTGGATTTAATCTTCATTTCAGTTTAGGTGCAGGGTTGTTCGACCTCGACCAGAAGATAAATAGGAGCAACAGAATATCAGAAAGAGAAAGTATGTAAACATGAAGATGTATCTATTAAGGATTTGGTGTTCAGGCGAGGTAGTGAAAATTGGTTTGGAGGAGAGGTGGCCGCACATAATTCAAAGCGAACCAGTAAGGTATGGGTGTTTTGCAAGTCACTCAGGAGTATGGTGCCTGCCTGGGTACTGTTTTGGTTCTTCTGTGTTCCTAGCAAGCTAACCTATCTTTTATAGAATGTCTTGCGTGGTATTGAGACCCTACAGCTTACAGTAACAGAATAAATACACAAGTCTTAATTAAAATCTACAGTATTTTTGATGCATGGGACATGGCGTCTGTCAGCGACAGTACATTGGGAACGAAGCTTATTACTGTAGTTATTGCGGGATTCAGACTTGAGACCACACTGACCTATTCTCTATAGGGTACGGTTGTGCACCAAATGCACACGAAGGTACAAAATAAAAACAACCGGCATCAGGATAAATGTATTAAAACCAAAAGTGGATATCATGCAAGTACGAACTATATGGGTAGCATTATACATTGCAAATGAACGTTGTCAGTCTACGGAGTTTCCTTTATTAATGCATTTATTAGTGATACTTGGACTTACCCATTTCGTTACACTTTATTGATTCACCTAAGCACTTTCACTTTTCTAAAAACAGCTTTCAATCCCTTGCAAAAGGTGCACTTACCTCAATATTGGTTGGTTATCGTATGCCGACAACCACGGGATGAAAACGAAACGAAGTCAGTTTTCCTGCGGAACCTGGAGGACAACTGTACAATTCAATAGCTATACGGCCTGGTTCAGACAATGAGTGTATTTGTATATATATATATATCAAATATTTAACTGTCGAAACATCATTAACTTGTAGACAATCTAAGATTTGACATTATACCGTACTTGATCGTGCCTGTAAAAATGGCATGCATTTTCATGTGAATTTATATGTTTATATGAGAATACACATTATTTTTATACATGCAAGCCAAACAGCCAATTCATTAAAGAGAGATCTTTCATCTCCCTACTGATTTTGTACTGGAGATTCCACCACCTTTTACATCAAATCTTATCAGCCTGGGAGAATGCCTATTGGCAGCATATTTTTGATTCATTCAGCCTTATTGAATCAGGAAATATCACAGACACTCAGTCGAACTAACCAGTTTTCAACTGATGACTGTGTTTAACATAGTTACAGCCTCCGATCAGCTACCTTATATGTGAATCAGATAAAATTCCGAAGGAGCTAGAGAGCGACAATAACACGGTCACACAGCAAGGAGTCCTCAACAGATTTCTAGACTAGTCGGAATGACAGATGCTCCAGATCAAAGTAGCGAAAGGTGCAGCCATACGCAGTAGACACGCGAGCATCAGCTTTCACATACTATAGGAAATAACACATCAGTTCTGATTCATATAGATTTAAGCTTTATGGTAAGTCACGACTTCCGTACATTGCCGCGTGCTGGCCGCATGTGGTTTCAGATCAGTATAGGCAGTACTCAGGGCCTTTACTAGGATCACTAGAGATATGTTCAACTCCTTATATGCATCTCTAATGAGGTCACAACAGAGAAACTGTATCCAGGTAACCAGCCATTGTCTCAAGTGGGACTTTTTAAATTAAAAAAATTTTTAAACAGTGACTACGGACCTCATCTTTTCCCTCTCTTACTTCCCACCAGGTCGGAAAACCTTGGGGCACATAGAAGTAGAGTTCAAAAGCCAAGGAGAAACCATACCATATTGGTTTTTACACCGAGGTAAAAATCCTTTAACCGGCTCCCAGAAGAAGTGGCGTCACAGCCTTCAATCGATTTATTTAAGAAGGGTTTAGTCACGCACAGAAATTTACTAGAAAGTGATTAACATAGGCTTCAAGCCTTCTATTTCACTCAAAGGTCTGAGTCTCTCTAGCATCATCAAAGCTCAGACAACAGTAAACTCATATGTCCATTGAAACTTATCACTGATATATTGAATTTTGGAACTTTAAACAATTTAAACGCAATGGTGAATGCAGAAATTTTTAGGATGACAGAAATTTTCAGATATGTATCAAATGATATTATGTCTACCATTGTACATCATAGCATTCAATACAGCAACATTGTTCTTTGAAACCATTTTCATGCTGCTATTACTCCTTGAAGCGCCGTTATAGATTGGCGCGTTACAACTAGTCTGTCTCTTATCAGCACGGTCATCTGTACGTGTTGGGATGACTAGGCTTTTGACGGATGAAAATGCTCAGGAAAAGTTCAGGTGGATGTGTATTCTAGTTTATGAAGGCTATACTGATAAAAGGACACTTTCAGCCAAAGAGATTGAGCAACTACTGGAGTTTATATGTGACCTCGAGAACAATCCGTAAATATTGTTTGTTATATAATAATGGGTTTTCAGGAGCGCTTATCATATTGATTCAGAAAATCCAAACAATTTGTTGGCATATCTTCTGAGTTCGACTTCAGTTCTGTTCATTACTGAGTTGTCAGGTTTGTTCTTCTGTTAGTTAACAGTTAATTAACTTAGATTTGCTGCATCTAAATGTCAAAATTCCCGGGACATTATTGGTTCGTTGGGTCACTAGACTTTTGGCCGAAGCAAAGGACGATAAGGTGGTGAGTAATGCAGTGAAATAGACAAGCTATATACTCTAGACCGTAAACGTATTTGACTGAACATGTCAGACCATTGTTTATAACTAATAATGCTTACAGTACTTTGGACACGTGTTCGAAGTATTTTACCAATGCTTGCGCAGCCATTTTATTTATATTCGAACATTTTTACATGTCTCTGATGGAGTATAATCCCGTCATAGGACAATTTCATATATGTCGCAGCATTATTTACCTATGAAGTTTCGAGCACACTTCATTGCTCATAAACATATTGAGACACGAGGCTCCCAGACTTTGCTTGTATTATTCTGTTATTTCCTATACTTTGGTTCTACTGAAGGCAGGGGTGGGTCGCTGAGTCCTTGTAATATATACGTTGAGGCTAAGTTGTTCGAGGGGTTTCTAGTTACTTCTCTCCAAAACAGATGCTGTTGCTATACACAATAAACAACCCTAAAGAATTTGTACAGAGGGAGTCTGTCTATTCCGGTCTACCATTGTGGACTTATTTATATAATAACGTATGTAATCTGTTCATTCGTTCTTCTTTCCTTTCAAACTGCTAAATTAAAAATTAAATTCATACATTTTCTGAATCTCTTACTCTGAGACCTTGCAGTTTTGAGTGATAATTATTCCAGAGTGATATCAATTTAGAGTGTATATTCACGACATAGCGCGATCCCAGCCAATGTCTTCGGCGAGTATTTGTCCTTACACCGGACCTGCTGCACCCTACTGGTTCTCTAACTAATATCAGCTCATGATGAAAATCCTGTAACCAATCAAATCCCTACAAACCAACACTAGAGTGTATAAGACTACTAAGTTACGTAGTTTCTTCATCATTATTCCTGATATTTACTTTCGTATGTTATCAACTGGTACTAATGATTGACCTTTATAGGCATTTTCTTGATCTTTTAGAACACCATATAACTATACAGCTGAGAAGTGAAGTTACGAAGACAATATTCTTTGCAGACTTATATTTTGTTTTGATCTCTACTTATAGAATCTACACATGTCAAGATTAAGTTGTCTACTGGGCACTGTACTTGATTCGCCTCTTTAAGGTGTCTTTTTAACCTTAAGTGCGCATTTTAACTCCGGCTGATTGTATATGAAAACAACTTCTATGATGTACTATTACTTGCATATACAGAGTGGTAAGTAGTGCTCTGTTGGTTAGAATTGAGGCACGATACTTAGTTATGACGATTCAAATTATGTTTCACTTGTAGATCGTTAAGATGGTCGGTGTGGATAGGTCTTTTAAACCCCCGTGTTCAGAGAGGGGCTTCCAACTATCATCATTTAGTCTGAAATTTGGTACTTGTGCAGATGGCTTAAGATTCCAACAGTAAGAGTAACTATTAGTGACATGTTGAGTCTGAATTATTTGTATTCCTTCAATCCTGAACATCAACCTCTAAAGGTGATCTGCAATTTTTTTGTCCTCCAACATATCAATAGTGACTAAAGATTCACAAGATCCGTCTATTTAATTTCGCCCTAATTGATTTTCAGTTGAAAATTTTTCACTGAAATAGGTGAATTTATGTGTATAAGGATCATGTATCTTATTAGTCTAAGTATAATGTAATACATGTGAGTCGTTTGTCCATTTAACATTCACCAGTAGTAAACCATCTTATACATACTAAATCTTAATGCACTGATTTCCAATTTCTCTAATTCAAATATTTTTTTGCTTTCAGGAATGCTTCTCAAATATATTGTGTTCTTTATTGTGTTTGGAACCCCCGTTGGCGCACTGTTTCGAACCAGGTGACTTAATCCTGGAATCGGACTACGAGTTACTCACAAGCTGGAAGGATGCTATGTCAGACAAGAAAGGAAGTCCTAAAGGAACCAAATTCCTGTTGCGACATCGAGAATCGTCTTTGGCATATGAGTTGTGGAATGAAATGACTCAAAATATGGTAATTCAAAAACTTAACACTATTAAGATCCGATAGCATAGAGTTGGTGTCATTGTATTTTTCAATATTTGTCAGATAATTCCCTACATTTATTATATTTTCTCTGACTATGTTAATGGTTTGCATCAGTTGCGCAAAACTTTACACTAGCGTTTGTAACACTCAAATTCCCATTAGTAGGTTGGAATTTACTTCACTAATTCTTTTATGAATAGGCAGGTGGCTTCTTTAGTACATGTGATTGAGAAATTAACATTTTGGTCCACTTATTTGTATGGATTGCATTTTATTTTACACCACCTATCTATCATACTCAAGTTTCTGGTTATTTAATTCTGGACTATACATTAGTGCTGGTGTATAAGTTCTCTATTCCGTATGGAAGCGGGCAAACTGAGTATTACAAACCAAAACTTTGGTTGCTTTTATGATGTACATGGTGGCTGACTTTCATTTGACTCAACCAATACCGTTTAAAAGGCTACCCCCGTATATACTCTGGATTTCAGATGGTTGAAAATGTGTAATTTCGTTAAAATTTTATTCTCTTCATTTTTGAATCCAACTGTGATAGTTGTGATTTCAAGTAATTCTATTCGTTTAGTAGGTGTTTTCCGAATGAATGGTAAAACAGCTGTGCATGTATTTATTTGACATGTAACTTCATCGGGAAATGTTATTCAGGTGCTTGTAGGTGTGAAGATTCTAGGACACTGGCATTTCTTAATACATTAGGTATCTAGCTACGTTTTTCTTCTAACGATTTGGAATTAATCAAATCTAGGAAACATAAGTGGGACTGTGGTTTTAATTGGTATGTTTCTCTTACATAAGTGATGTCTAATTTTGAAAGAAAATGGTCGATGACTAGAGTGGCTGAGGAAACATGACCAATTTTCATGCGGTACTGTAACTCATTAGTTGTCCAGGTCTCTACGATACGGCCCAAAACTGTTTCCAATGACGCAAGTGTATCCACCTGCTGTCAAGTGAAATGGGAGTGGTTCGAATGCTTATTTGCTGGTTCTTCACCCTCATTTAAACGTCAGACTTTCAGCAGTGTCCCTGTTTTTTTTACATGTATTACTACCGTGGGGGTTTTACAGAGTTATTCAAGTTTCTGTCTTATTCGAATTCAACAGAATGCAACTTGGCAATACCAAGGGATTTTGTATCAAGTTAACATATAAGATCCTGTATTTCTCCTCGATTAGTCAGGTATTGTTAGATGTAGTACTTTTAAGCTTATTTTCACGTGTTTAGCTGCCAATAATCCACAGTCTGATTGATTTCTACGTGCTAGTTTATTTCAAGTCATGTCTTCGTAATAAATATTCAGTAAGGATTGGTCATATAGTTGATTGCAACGACAAAATACGGACATCAGTAGTCTAAACACACCGTATTTGTCATGATTCTGCATTGTGCATTATTTTCGTTCCCTTCGATCAGCTCAAAACTTGGATTCGTCGTAATTTTATGGTGTAATTCAGTGATGTAAATGGAAGTTATTCCGCGTTAGCATTTAGTATTGCTTCAGAGCCTTATTCGTTAACTCATACAGCTTAAATGAATTTATAATATTTTGTTATGAATTGAAAGGAATTTTCATATACTTCTCTTCATCATTAATTCAGAATCAAATTAAAGGGTGTTCTGATCCTTGTACTGTTACTACACGCAATGAATTAGCCATTTGTTTTGTTCAGACGTTTTGGAATTGCAATGGCTGGCAACATGTATTCAACCAATTGAATTCAATATTGCCAATTTCAATCAGGTAATTTTAACATTTGGTTATTGGTTTATACTGCACTAATAGTATTAGTTGTTAGGCTTGTTAACGAAATCTACATTGAGCATATATGGCTCAAATTTTCTATCTTCCGGCATTTGTTTGCAAAGTTATGAAAACTTTTACTGTTTTTATGCTGATTACTTCCACTGGTTGTCTACTCCTTTCAGTAAAAAAATCTATTTATAGGCTCGGTTTCTAGTAAATATCAGTTTAAGTGTTTGTCAAAATTATGGCCTACCGCTATTTGTCTTCAGATACCTTGCACAGAGCATGGTTCAGAATGTTAACCGGTCTATTGTTTCTTGTGTTTTATAATCCAGTAATCAATCCATTTCTCGGGTTTTCTGTAAACCTCTTTTTCATCTTTTCATTACAGCGATAATGTAAACCACGTTCGTGGACAATTGAAAAAGGTTCTTTCGCTGTCACGCCTATTTTTAGTTGCTGTCCTTCAGATACCATACATACAATTAACAAACAGGATAGCTAAAAGTAATGAACTATTGTCTTTTGATGGCAATACATCCCAGCAACAATTATCCGTGTCTATCCCTGGGAAGATAATTATTCAGTGGATTGAATTGATTTCCAAAATCGTTCAATCTGGTTGTCTGTGGTTCGCGAACTATATTGTACACAGAGATTTGGATGATTCCATGATGGATTTAAAGAAGTCACTAGGTGCAATCATGTTTGATTTGGTAGGTTATGGTCTTTAACTATTGTTATCAAGTTTGGAGGGCTTGCGTCTTAATAATTTCTGAATCCTCAGCCGTAGTCTCTCAGTCATTATGAGTCAGTATGTTTTAGAATGGTGCGTCGGTGGCGTAGCGGTTAGGACGCTCGCCGACCATGCACGCGGTCCAGAGTTCTATCCCCGGCCGAAGCACTCCTTTACCTTACTAAGTCAGAAATGATGTTGGTAAAGAGGAAAGGTTGGGCATGAGGCTAGCAACCACATCCTGTAAAATAAACACTGCTACAGAGACTTCAAGCCACTAGCTTAAAGCCCTATGTTCCACTGGGAACGTGAAAGAAAAATGCTTTAGAATACCTTGAAGACACTTCACTGTTTGACTTATGATTACTACTAATTCACTATGTTGTGTAGGTATCAGGTAACATAATAGCTTTTATTTCCTGTGTACGAAAATTTTGTCGTCACTGACAAACAGTCATGACTACTAACACACATGGAACCTCTCCATGTGTATTAGTATGGAGAGGTTCCATGTGTATTAGTATTCCAAGATCTCACGAAGCATACGCATGGAAAGTGCATTTGGTGTAAACTGAACCACATTAGTTGCTGAATTATTGTGCTTCATCAAAGAGTACGTGTATAATGCACCACTCCGGAGTTTATTTTGCGTAGGACTGCATTGGAAACGAATAACCAAGAAGATCGTAGGACTGTGATTAGTGATTTGTATCTAGATTTTTTTGGTGAAGCCATCGATTGCTCCTTTTAGAAGTAATACATAATACTTTAGAAATGGAAGGTTAGTCAATCGAGGTAATGTATTTGCAGCAGATGAAGTGTTTAGTATGTATTCATCGATTATCTGTTTGTATAAAGTCATAAATGTATAGTTTTTTGTTTTACTCCTTAACGTTCCGAGTGGAACAAAAGACTTCAAACTAGATCTTTGAAGTTTAGGCAGCAATGGTTTTCTTAAAACTTTTACTGGATGGGATTGGCCCCTCCCGCCTAACCTTCCCTCTTTACCGGTGTTACCACCGGCTTAGCGGGATTTAGGAGTGCGTCGGTTGGGGATAGGACCCCAGATCACGTGCGTGGTTAGTGAGCGTTCTACAACTGAATTACCGATGCACAAATGTGTAGTGATAGACGTCAAAATATGATACTAATTGTCGAATTCTGTGGACATTTAGTTTAAGACAATGTCAACTTCTGGATTACCACTTGGTTTGGTTTCATACGTTGAAGAAGTGAATTACTAGTCGCTTATTTAATCAAACAGCAACATATTCATAATAATAATAGTAATAATCTGCTTTATTCTGAAAACAGTACTTATAATACAAAATGAAATTCTCAACACATGTTACAATATTGCATGTAATTTGGTTTCTACATCACTGTCATCAATTTTACAAAGGTCATAGGAATTAACAACACTTTACTTTCTTTCATATTGGAAACTGAAATTAACAGTTTAACATTTGGAAGGATTTAGTCTAAGACTATTAGACAAAAGACCATTTGCTGACTCCTGATGGGAAGCTGTTCATCTTAGTAAAGTCTAGCTGGGAGCTAACAGACATTGAAACAGTTAGATCGTCCGCATACTTAACAAAGTTCATTTCATCCGAGTAAGGCAAGTCATGCAATAAGTGAGAAAACAGAAAAGAAGAAAGAACAGAGCCTTGAGGGACACCAGCCTCAGTAAGCAATGAAGTGGACGACTCCCCTGATATACAGTGTACTTCTTTCTTCCTAAGAAATAAGAATGCAGCCGCTTGACAACCCGAAAGTCAATTTGAGTTTCAGTAAGCTTGTTGAACAAAATATCCCTAGGTACTGAGTCGAAAGCAGTTGTGTAATCTAGGAAGGTGCGACGAAAAAATGTATTCCCTTTGTCTAGACTGGAGACAATGTTATGATGCAAGACTGCAGCTGCATCTGAAGTACTTCTACTATGTTTGTAGGCGAATTGTTTGGGATCGTTAAAGACTTTAAGTTAGGGTTCAGGATTGAGTAAGAGCAACTTTTCCATAGTTTTTAGAAAAGAAGGGGTAATAGCTATGGGTCTAAATTTAATACATGTTCAAGTAGATGACTTTGGTATAAGTACAGTTTTGATGATTAAAACAAAATCAATCAGAGAAATCAGATGCAATGTTTATGATGAGAAAATTTTGGTAGCTTAAGTTTTAAGCAGGCCGTTAGTGTTGGAAATGTGTAATGTCAAAAATTGTGTTTATAAGGAAAACAAGCCAGTATATATTTTATGAAATTTTAGTATATCCTTCAAACTTACCATTCATCTAAAAGGTGTTGTCGCCTAATCATCTGATATATCTCACGCTGTCCAAGGCTTTAGATTGCAAAGTAACTAATTTGCCATGTGGTCGAATTTTTTGCATGGAGTATTCAAATGAGGCCTAATGAGAAGAAAGTGTAAAGTAAATACACTGGCAATAAAGTGCTATCAAACCACAACATAGTTTGATCTTAGTTGTAATTTTTTCTCATTCCTTGGCGTTCCAAGTGGAATGTAGGACTTTGGGCTTAAGATTTGAAATTTCAGTAGCATTGGTGTTTATTTACGGGCTTGGGTTACTTAACATCATGCCCAACCTTATCTCTCTTTACCAGGTTCTTGCTTCCTGTCAAACGAGTTGTAGAGGAGTCCGTCGATATAATTCATTGATTTTGTTGTTGTTGAATAAGTAGAATTGTTATAAAGAGTGGCAAATAGTGGTGACAATAGAAATCTTTTGATAAGGAGAGAACAGAATTCTTTTTACATACAACACTACAATTCAGTTCATGATTTCCAAGATGCAAAAATTTTTTGTATGTTATAGGTTTGTGAATTAACCATCTGGAGTTGTTTGTTTGCATATCTTTTCTCATTCAAGCACAAGCATACACTTTTAGCTGACAGAATTTCTTTTACATCAATCTTTTTACAGACTCAACTTTATGAGGAACATTTGGGTCGGTTGTTCATCTGTCATGTAAGTATATTGTATCTTGTATGATTATACATTTCAAACTCATTTGCTTTTATAACAACATTCTAGAAATGTCTAGTGTGTAGAGCTGTCTATAGGTGTATTAAAAAAGCCTAATTTGTGTTACTTTCATACTCAGAGAATTGAATAAGTTGAGAGGTATTTCAAGTCATGACTTGAATCTATATGAGAATCACATTGGAGAGAACAGTCGCAGTGCATTAAGTAGTATTGTCCAATAAGGCGAATATTTTCGTTGGTGTACTTACTCATCAAATTTTTAAACAAAATGAAACCATATTCGTATTTAGCTCTATTTCTCATTGAACCACTGATTTAGATCTATTTGACTGGGTTTTTTTGTCAGTTGGGAAATGTCGTGTAGCACCAGTGACTCATTTACTATCATACATAATATATATATATATATATATATATATATATATATATATATATGTATGTATAAAGTGATATAAGACATTTTTCATTGGGCATTTCTTTAATCGATGTCGTCTGCATTCTCTAGAGGGGGGTTATGTAGGTGAACTGATTAAGATGGATATGACACGTTGCGTTTGCCGATCCACCGCCTTCTTCGACGGACAATGCTAGTTGACATAAGATTAGGTTGGAAAACAGTTAGGGGCTGGTCAAACCGAAACCTGACATCAGTCCATGAAATCTTTGACAGTTAGTTTGAGCAACGTATGGAGGTATAGACTGTCTGTTTGGGGATCCTTGGGATGCAGTGGCTTTAGACTGATGTGCAGCAGTTCAAGTCGCCACATTCCACGTAACACACAAAGCAAGAGAACAAAGTAGAAGAAATGCATATTTGAGATAGTAAACAGAGGTGTGAGACAAAGGAATAGTAATAACGAAGAACAATATAGTTCCATTGGAAATCATAAGTCACAAGGAGTGGATGCATCTGGGCTAGCCATTGAGAACGATTTTGAGCCATATCACCAATTGTTTCCAGTCTCCATTGGTTTTTACCGTCCCGGGGACCCCAACCAGCTAGTCAGGAAGTCTACATTTTCCTACGTGACAGGTTTAGACTAACTGTTGTGGATTTCATTGACTGGTGAAGTCATGTTTTTGTTTGACCGCTGCTAGCTCTTTTCCAGTCTGACCAATCCTATATCCGCTAACATTGCCCGTCAGTCGAGGAGGGCGATGACTAGGCATACGTAACCTAGCACTCGACGCTTAACCTCAATATTGTTCACCTTATTATGCCACTTCACACGGGAGATAGAACACAGGCACTTATGATCGAAGACAGCTGATCTTTTCATGTCTTCCACTCTCAATGGCTAGGTCTCACATCCACAAAGGAGGACGAAGCGGACTGTTGATCAGTATACACGCCTTTTACTTGACAATCGGCCGGATATCGCGTCCACAAAGCGAGAGATGGCGTAAATTGGCATATGCGAAACTAGCCTTCTGTATCCCTGCTGATATTTTTCAGCAATCAACCCGTTGGGGCTGACGGTACTTCCCAAATAAGTGAAACGGTCAACGCGCTCTACCACTTCACTCCCTATTTCTAAACTAGGAGTCAGTGGTTTTTTCTCATGACCCTGATTTGGGACGTGAACATTGATATAAACTGTTGTCTATAATTTTGGCTTGCAGACAACTGTCGCCACACCGGCACTGAGGATGCTTGTCTTTCTGTGACCTTAGTCTGTGAGACTGGTTTGTATTAAGTTAATAACCACTGAACTACTTGCTCACAGCTTGCCTGGTCTGTGTGGTGAACTACACAAGACGTAGTTGATTACCCTACATTATTTCTAATATTTTTTTACTCTTAGTTTGTTAGCTTTACTTGCAAACTATCTGATTGTTTTTTTCTGAATTTCATTCCTCTCTTTTTTAATTTCTCTTTAAAAAGGTGGACTCAAAAATCTTGGAAATGATAAGAAGTTTGAATTTCGGGAGTGGTTTAGCAATACTCAATTTTCTCGCCAAATCTTTGCCTAACATTATACCAGCTAATCAATCAGATCTGTTATGTTTAATTGAATCATTAAACAAATGGGCTTATCAGCTGAATCTAGTGCCAGTTAACTCATGTTTATTGAGATATTTTTCACGATTGTTCAACTTGAGTTTGAAACTATTGGCTTCCGATGATTCAGAATATTATAGAAATGGGTCAGATTTCTTTATTACTATGCGTTCTGATATTCAGTCTTCCACTTCACTATCAGATGAATCGAATTTAACATATGAAGGTATTGTGAATCAGTTAAACCAAAAGTTTGATCCGGATAGTAAGTTTGCGTATGAAGTATACTGATTGGTTGTTGTTGTTGTTGCTGCTATTTGTGTATATAATTTACTATGCCTCTTCTAGGCTTCTGTGAACGTAAATCTTTTTCAGTATAGTTCTGATTATTTTTGTTTAATAATAATAATAATAATTTTTCCTTCACGTTCCCAGTGGAACATAGGGCTTCAAGCTAGTGGCTCGAAGTTTCTGTAGCAGTGTTTCTTTTACAGGATGTGGTTGCTAGCCTCATGCCCAACCTTTCCTCTTTACCAGCATCATTTCTGACTTAGCAAGGTAAAGGAGTGCTTCGGCCAGGGATCGAACCCCGGATCATGTACATGGTCGGCGAGCGTCCTACCCGCTATACCACCGACGCCGTAAACATTATCAGGACGAGGCGCTTGCATACAGCACACAGCCTTCATCAAACCCTGCACACAACCATTAGGTCGCGTACTATCCCATCGCCCTTGTCTGTCTGTCTGTCTGGATTCAACATCCATCGCCCTTGGCAGATCTGGCAACAAAAGTCACGAGAACACCATCAGAGCATATGACAGGCTAGGTACTAGGCTAGGCTAGATTGTGGGTTTTTGTAAGTCCCCATGTTTCGGGTAGAGTCGTGGATATGCACTGTTGAAGGGTCCCAAACTATGATGAAACAGCTGTCCAGTGCTCTCTGGTTTTCAATGATTTTGTTTCATGGTGAAACCTGCATTGAAGCTTGTTATTGTTAATCAACTTTAATGATTTAAATTTTGATTGTATTGTATCGCTATCTCTAAATATTTAATCAATTTGCAAAGTCTTATCTGAAGTAAAAGAAGTTGTGTAATAAGTAGATTTAAATGAACGTTTGTTGTAATGTCAAATATTTTAATGTATGGAAGATAAACTTTTTCCTTCAATTGCCTAGTAGGCGTCTAGCAGTGGAAGTGTTACCGTCCTATTTATGATAGCAATTAGAATTCAGCCGCTAATATTTGTCAACATTATTTGAAACTGAAGTTTTTGGAAATGCTTAATAAAACCATCCACTTCAAATGATTTAACTGTGGGATTTATACAACTAGGTGGTGGTGTTTGTAAACTGGTCGTAGATGATGAAAGCGCGTGGTGCTGAAAATCCAAGAAATAGTAAAATGGTATCGCTGTCTTTTGCCTTTTCGTGCGTGTTAAACTGATAGTAGCTCTTCACCGAGTTTCACCACGGATTGATATCAGTTAGAGAACCACTGATAACCAGAGAGTTACTGGACGGCTGTTTCGTCCTGGTTTGGGACTCATCGACAGTATGTAGCTCATAATAAAAACTGTCTTCAGCATACATAGTTATTATCGCAATCATGGATCTCACATATTCCTCGATGAAGCCATGGTTTATTATCATTCTCATTTTTTTCATCTGATTTGCAGATTTTCTTGATCAGTCAAAACAACCTACACTTTTATCGCGTTTATTTATCTTATGCGGAAATCATTTCCATGTCGATTTAATGCGTATTCTAACTGAAATGTTTAATGTGGTAAGTACTTTTGTTTAGTAGGTAATTTATGCAAATGCATTCTTATATACACATGCACATTGTTTTATAGGCGCGTTTTTATGTACTTTGTAAATCATGCAACTCTGTCGTTTCAATTTGTTTGTTCATTTTTCATTGAGTGCGCTTATTATATTATATATATATATTGAGAGAGGAAAATTAGTATCATCAGTCCTTGAGTTAAATTTTAATTTATAACTTTATGTTTTTTCTAGTTGATCACGGATTGATATCAGTTAGAGAACCATTGAAAACCTTCAGGGAGTACTGGACACCTGTTTCATCTGAGTTTGGGAATCATCGGCAGTACGCACCCACTGCCAGAGTTTGAACCCAGGATCTTCCGGTTATAATGCAAGCTCGTATACCGTTCAGCCACTGGAACCCGATTCAATGGTTCATGAATTCTAGCTTCTACCAATTCGTGATTTAGCGCGACCCCAACCAATGGTTCTCTAACTGATATTTATCCGCAAAAACTCGTAAAAACATAACTAACCCTTACAAACCAAACCATAGAAAATTATAACTTTATATTTTTGTGTTAACTTGAGTAAATTGGTATCTGTGAGTGATTTGTCTGTCGGGGGAACTCTGTTCTACTTTCTTTAGCTTAAGCATTCTTCAGACAATATAGTCACCTTTCACACAGTCTGTTTTATAGTGTACATTCATTCGGTATCCGATTTGTGTTGAAATCAACGTTCATTGCTTTATGAGTCTGTGAGATCTATGAGTCCATATTTGTTTTCTTGTGTGGTTTATTTATTTATTTATTTTTATGTACGTTTACGTTCCCAGTGGAACATAGGGCCTCAGGCCTCTGGCTGGATTGGGTTGCTAGCCTCATACCCAACCTTCTGTCTTAGCCAGTCTTATTACTGGCTTAGCAAGGTGAAGGAGTGCATCGGCCGGGGATCGAAGCCCGGACCACATGCGTAGTTGGCGAGCATTCTACCGCTGTGCCACAGACTCTCTTTTCTACTTATAACCTACTAATTCAGCCAAATTACATAAAAACCTAAACTCCTAATGAATCTAATAGAATTTCTGTTGGAAATAATCTTTTTTTCTCCATTGTATTTCTGACTCCGGACAACGTAGTATATGGCTGTAAATCATTGTTTAGTAGTGTTCCTTTGATTTATTACTCCACTTTGATTACTTTTACAGATTCAAGAAGTATCCCGACGATCTTATGACGACTTGCAAATCGATGTAAGTTTTCCTGAATATATTTCTATAGTTTATGATGTTTGGCTTCTTTTTATCCTTACAGTTTGCACTAGTCAATAATTTGTGACATGTGTCTCCAAAATACTCAGTGGTGTTTTAAGCATTGGATTGTCTTTTGAAATTGTATAACGGATACTCGTAACTCTGGATATGAATGTTTATTACTAGTTGAAACATTTTCTTAAGGGAAATATTTATCTCTTTATTGTCGTGTATATGTTTTTTCCCCATGTCAATAATACCAATAGAATTAATTACTAGAACTTTAGTAACTGTATTTGCATACTTAAAGGCTTTTTGTGAAGCATCTTCTGATTTTCCCCCTGGTTTCCGACTGAAACATAGGGCTACAGCAGTTCATTTCTCTGCGATCCTCTTTATCTGGCCCCTTGATTACCCGTAAGTTTTCATCTCATCCTCACACAATATCCTCCATGTCACTCTTGGACACGCGTTCAACTCGTCGTTTACCATTCGGGTTTCACTCAAGCTCCCGGCTCGTGATATCATACCACCCAACAGTCTTCCCAGCGTGTGTCTAATCCATCTTCATTTTCTTCTACATATTTGTTAAGCAGTCGGCTCTTGACTGATTTGTTCCCAGGGTGTCATGTTGCTAATTTTTTCTGTCAATTTAGTCTCCAATATGGGGAGAAGGCAACTGTTGATAAAAGTTTGTAACGTGTTGGAAATACTTTTCGTGACGCACCGAATTTCCAACCTATACAGAAGGACTGAGTTAACCTTGATGTTTTAAAATCTGAATTTTGTGGTTTATACTGAATGCAGAAGATTTCCAGACTGATTTCAAAGTGATGAAGGTCAACACCTTACCTTTCCGATTCTGGTTTCGACATCCCCATTTGTGTCGTCTTCCTGTAGTTGGAACGATACTGCCTAGATAAGTGAAGGAAGTTAACTCTTCCAATTTATTCAGTTGATAGTTATATGTGCTTGCTGTTGTTGGTTGGTTATCTTCAACGACTTCGTCTTCTCTCTGTTCACTTGAAGTCCAGTCATTTCTGCTCCTTCTGCCAATTTGTTGGTTTCCGCTTGTAAGTCTTCGAGATTGTGTGACATTAGACGTCGTAAATCATCAGAGGAGTTCAGATATTCTGGAGTCTCATTATCAGTCTGACTTATTCTTATTTTCTTGCTCCCCACAGGCTAACGCATAATCCAGTCCACCGCAGTTAGGAATATCATCGGTGATAATAGGCAGTCTTTTCTTACTCCTGTCCTCACTTCAAACGCTTCACTGTTTAGGACCACTTGACATGTGGTATCGTCATGTATGTGTTGAATGAGGTTGATCAAGATTTGGGACACTCCGTAATGCTAAAGTAGTTTCCAAACTACTTCTCACTCAATTCTATCGAAGGCTTTTTCGAGATCGATGAAGTTGAGGTGGAGATTTGATTGGCATTTTATGCTGTTTTATGATGATGCATACAGTTGGGATTTGGTCCCCACATGATTTATTTATCCTGAGTCCACCTTGTTCCAGTCGGAGTTATGCGCCGAATGCACTTTTTATTCTCTCCACGATAATGCGACTTAATAATTCACTTATCGTTTCTGCAGAGACATATGCCACCCTTCTTTGGTAGTTTGAAAACATAGCGTTTCTTCCAGTTAGTAGGTTCCTTCCTTTCCTTCCAAACATTTCTCACTAATGACGTGAGCATATACACTGCTTCCGAAGGAATTCCATTTGGTCCCGCTGCCTTCCCGGCTGACCTTTGACAGCTAGACTCCATACAAGACTTTTACTGTTGTTGGAGAGTCGGTGTCCTATCAACTGACAGTTCTATGCTTGCTCTTGGTGGTATTTCTGACGAGTTGCAGGTGATGGGCGATTCAAGAGTCCTCTGAAGTGATCAGCCCATTGTTTTATTTATCTCTTCTCTTTGGTAACTAGATTCCCTTGACCATCCTTTAATGGTTTCATCTGTGTTAATCTCTCAGATAGAGACTGGACTATCTGATATAATGTTCTGAGATCTCTTTAACTTGTGGCTTGTTATTCAACTGTTCAGTTCTTAGTGTGTCGCAGAATTGTTTTTTGTCTTTCATAGTACTCTTCTTCACTTTTGTGAAACATCGTAATCTTTATCCAATATCTGTGAAAGTTGATAGATGGTAACAAATGCAAGAAATTATCTGTCTTTTTATGATATTAATGTTCACAATTCATATTTGATACTGATCTGTATATATATAACTATGAGAATACTTAATGACAGAAAACATAGTTATTCCATTGTTTTGTTATGTTGTTCCAAACCAACAGCTACTTAAATACTTCTTGGATTGTACAAAAAATGGTTTACACTTTCTAAATGATCTGTTGTCAGCTCGATCAAATCTTTTGAAATATCATTCGCCAGCTGATTCAATGCATATTACAGGAAGGTTGGTTTTAATGTATAAAATTCTTTTTTAATATATACATTCATTCATTTGGATGTAGATTTCATTTATCGTAAATGTCTAAGTCATTCGTCACTATTCTGTTTCATTAAGTGGTGTACAACTGTCAACTATCGTTTTTGATTTATATTCGAATGATAGTTGATGGTTCCACGGTAGAAGGAATGTTCACCCATCACACATTTTGGTCCAGGTTTGATTCTCGGCTGACGCACCCCTAAACTGTCTATTTCAATGGCTGGTAGTAAGTACGGAATAGTCTGTCTGTCTTTTTTCGACATAGAACTTTGCACATATGTGTGGCAGTTCAAGTCCCCACACTCCCTCCTTCTAGCACACAAAACAAGAGAAGAAAGTGGAAGAAATGCATAATAGAGACAGTAAACAGAGGTGTGAGACAGAGGAATAGTAATAACGAAGAACAATATAGTTTCATTTGAAATCATAAGTCACAAGGAGTGGATGCATCTGGGCTAGCCATTGAGAATGACGATTTTGAGCCATGTCATCAATTGTTTCCAGTCTTCACTAGTTTTTACCGTCCCGATGACCTCAACCAGTCAGGAAGTCTACACCTTCCTACGTGACCGGCTTACGCTGACTGTTGTGGATTTCATTGACTGGTGAAGTCATGTTTTTGTTTGACCGCTGCTAGCTCTTTTCCAGCCTGACCAATCCTATGTCAGCTAACATTGCCTGTCAGTCGAGGAAGGTGATGACTAGGCATACGTAACACATGTCCTAGCCATCTCAGTCGATGTAATTTCACGGCCTCGTCGATTGATTTCCCCTCCCACCTACCTAGCACTCGACCGAAGCTTGACCTCAATATTGCTCACCTTATTATACCACTTCCCACGAGAAGTAGAACGCAGACACCTATGATCAAAGACAGTTAATCTTTTCATGTCTTCCACTCTCAGTGGTCAGATCTCACAGCCATAGAGGAGGACTGAGCGGAGTGATGAGCAGCACACCCGCCCTTTGGTCTATAGTCGAATATCTCGTCTACGTTAGAGGCGGCGTAAACTGGCATATGCGAAAGTAGCCTTCTGTATCTGTGCTGGATTTCGTCAGACATCAACCCGTTGGCACTGGCTGATGGTACTTCCCAAGTAATTGAAGCGGTCAACGTGCTCTACCACTTCATCCCCTATTTTTAAACTAGGCGTCCCTGTAACATCATCTTGCATTTGGCGGGAGCGAATCGCATGCCAAACAAGGTGTTTAGAAGACTCTACATTTTGTCAGCGTCCTCGCCTAGTAGGACTATATCGTCTGGAATAGTGAGGAAGTCAGGCTTAAGCCTTCCTTAAAAATAAAATAGCATACCTGAAGTTTCAAAGTTTGAATCCCCAAGTGTTACTGGATACACAAGGAATGGAAAAAAAATGATTTAGAAGGGGTGACGAGTGCCTGTTTTTATTCTGTTAGTTCTTTTTCCTCCTCGTTAAAGACCTATCGTTATAATATAAATCAAGTAAATATTCTCAGAATCATAGAAATTAGTTTTTGATGCTGATTTAAGTGTGTTATTATCCACTGATGATTTCATTTTGCTTTCTTTTCTGAAGAGACCGTAAATATGTATACGTGTGGCATTAAGCAGCTTTGTAATTCCGGCTAGATAGTCAGATTGTCTTCTATAAGACAGTCTGTGCGAAAATTTTCTGGTAAGAATGAAAGCACATTGATAAATCCCATGAACTTCCGGGAGATTATTCACTTTATGTTCACTATGATTAAGTGGCTAGAGTATATGGTGAATTTTTCTTCTGCTAACTCTTTAACAGATGTCAGTTAATACTGAATGCAGTTTTTCATGGTTGTAAAGTTCTATGTAATCAATTTTTTTTTCGCTGTACCCTGTAAATTGTAAAACTCGTGTCTATTTGTTTCTTTTATATTTTACTAGCCCTGTAAAAGACAACTCGGAGTTAATATCAATTATTGGATTTTATTTATCCAAGATCATCACTTATGCTGATATGACAGTAATGCAAGAATTAAACAAAGACACATGTGATCGTGAATGGCGATTAAGTATACTTGATCAAGAGTTATCACAATTAATTTATGCATTTGCAACTTCTCATAATGTCACTGAATGTGCCTTAAAGCATTTAGGCTATGTATTCAATGCTGGGAATCATATTCTACAAGATTCTGGTTACCCAGGGAATATGACAACAAAATCAACAACAGTTAACAATTGGCCATTATGGTCAGGTCCACATGTCTTCTGTTTATTATCCGGTCATATGCTTAGCAAACTACGGTCTACAGAGTCGATAATCACATCAGAAGATTCCATTAAATCATTTTGGTTATGTTTTTTAACAAGTGTACAAGAAACAATCCTATCATTGTGTGATATGTCGACAATTAAAAGTATCACCTTACCTGAACAACAATTCATGGATATTCATCCTAATCTATTACAATTTGCTTGTTTTCTTGCTGGTCAAAGTCCTGGATTAACGGCTAAAAAGCAATTACTCATTTTGCTTACTCAAGTGTTATGCAGTCTGAATAAGAAAGGTATTTGGAAACAACACAAAAGCATTATAATTACTACTGGTAGTAGTAGTAGAATCATGTCGTTAACTGAACAAAAGCCTTTCGCGCATGCTTCTTATCTATGGTTACGTTTAATTATAATGCTACGCTATATGCTGCATTATTTCTATGTTCCACCGAAATATTTATCCTGTCAATTAAAACCTTGCATGTTTCTACAATCGAGTGAAGAAGATGCTATGCAGAATAATCGTTGCTTCATCTGGGAGTATTCAAGCATTGCATCGTTATTGCATACATTACATGCATACTTTTTACCCTTACCATTAACAACAACACCGACAATGATGAAAGTACAGGATTACTTCAGTGCTAGTTCTCCTATTCCATTCTTTTATGATTTATTAATTGCTGCAGAAAAAGCCAATGATGAACAGCCAGTCAACTTAACTCCTACTGCTAAAAGATCTAGTCCATCTTCAAGTCTTCCATCACCTGATGGATTAGTAAGTTTCGAAAATACTGGTTACATCTCTATCAATTTTAAATATGCTTATTTTAATCTCATTTAAATTGTGGATATATTTCACTATTGAAATTTTTAGGAAATAAAGCATGGATAGGGTAGCTCTTTGAATTTATCTCCAGTCTAAGCTATTGTTCTCTTTTTTTTTAACTTTATAAGTACGTCCAATAGAAATTAATTTCAGTTGAACTTAGGTGAATAAATTGTATGCGCATCGATTAGGTTTATTTCTGAGGGTGTTTTATTTTAAGATTTAAGGAAAGATGATAAGAAAATACTTTAGATAAATTTTGAATCATTCCATTTAGCATGTCAAATTTTTAATTCGTAATTCCTTGTACCCGAATCCATCAGTTGTTTGTTAGAATTCAGATACCTGGAACAGATTATGATGCGTCAAACAATGTCTGTCACACTTAGTGGGTGAAAGTCAGGCACTAAAACCTCTCTGACATAACTCAGTACTGTCTTACAATCAGTAGTATTTGACCCCAGTCGTCATTAGGGTTAGAACTTAAGGGTGACTCGGAAAAGAAAATGAACAAGAAACAAACTGTAGGAGCTTTTATTTCAGATGAAGTACAGCGTGTATCGCATTGGCATCACTTGTTTCGCTTTTGATGTATTGTGTACAGTGTTTCCAACTCAGAATATCTAATAGCTGGGATTTTCCATGGAATTATGTTAATAGTGACCGCTCCGTTTATTGTTCTTATTTCTAATTTGTCTACATCCTTATTTCTGTTGTACTTTATATGACTTATCAAAATATGTAATAACTTTTCATACGAGGTACCATATTCCGTGAAATTTGAGCAATCCTAATTGCTAGATTTTCAAGTATTGGTTTGTAAGGATTTTTTTGTTTGGTTAGAGGATTTCATCATGAGCTGGAGAACCACTGGAAAACCTGGGAGTACTTGACATCTGTTTCGTCCTAGTTTGGGACTCGTCATCATTACGCACCCAGTCGGATTCGAACGCAGTACCTTCTGGTCAGAAGGCGAGCTCGTAGACCACTGAGCCACTGGGGATCAAACCAATGGCCCAATAATTCTGATTTCTGCCAATTCATGACTTAGCGTGGCCACTTAGCAATGTCTTCGATGAGTAATTATCCTCACCTTCGACCTATTGTACCCTGTTGGTCGTGGCTTCCCACTAGAACTCCAGATAACTGCCTGAAAAGGGTCAGTCGCCAGTGAGCATCAGTCCTCAAGTATTTATTGGTTCCATGATAGTTTACAGCTTTCTAGAACATTCGGTTAATTCAATTTATGTGTAAAGTAATAATAATAATAATAATAATAATAATAATAATAATAATAATAATAAAGCTTTATTTCAGACAATATGCCAACAAATGGTATAAAAATTTTCAGCTTATTTACTTCCAAGATACGTTTTTCTTCATACAGGATTTACATGTAAGGTGATATATCTTCATTACGTTGAAGAATTGCACAGCGTTTACTTGGAAGCAAGTTCATGTATAGGTCATTTGATATAACTGGACGATTAAAACAACGATAAATCCAGATGAAATACGTAAAGCAATTCCGATAGCCCAATGATTTAAGTAGGCCGCCTTACGTGACATACCTGACTTGACTACCTTTGAATGTTTCCACAATATTATTTCGATAACTGGTTTTAAAATCAAATCAAATTAATAATCTATTTTAAGACAGTGTCGTATAATATCCAGTAATCAGTTATTCTGTAATTTCATATTGTGAACTATAATTTCATTTTTGATTTCTTTTTTTCTTTTTTTAACAGGCTATTTCATCATTGGTGTCAGTTAACAATTATCATGAACTTTTCTCCTCTCTTCTTGATTATCTGGATTCCCTGTTGCTTACAAATTCATTTAATGAAGCAACAAATAGTGTAGACTGTGTTCTAACAGAATGCTCTCAATTACCATTATGCAATTATGGATTAACATTGAATTGGAGGCTGTTTGAAATCCTTCCACCGCCAAGAGAAATTTTAAAAGATTTACAACATCTAATGAATATGCTGAAAACATCTCAAGGGATAATTGATAATAACACTGTACCTGAGATTTTCTTGTCACCGTCACATTTAATCTACTTCATTATTTTGTTAGACAGAATTCAGTGGAATTCTACTCAACCTGATTATCAATATTTAGGTAAGTATTGTTCTCTGAGTTAGTAGAAGTATTGAACCCTTAATAACAATAATAATAATAATATTGAGTTTTGTACAATAATATAAAATACACTAGACTGAAATACTCATTGAAAGAAATCATTGAAATGTCTTTATTGTGAAATTTTCGAATATAATAAGGTCATATTTTAGAAGATTAACAACCGGTTTTTTTGATAAGTCAGTATAATTTATTGTATTGTGCTACTCTTGAATTCAAGGTGTCATCTCTTTGTCAGACTGTACTCTTTTTTTATTTATTTTGTTCCTTTACGTTCCGAGTGGAACTTAAGGCTTCAGGCTACAGCTTTGAATTTCCGGTAGCAGTGGGGTTTATTTCTAATAAGGGATAGGGTTTCTAGCCTTGCACCCAACCTTCCCTCTTTACCTACCTCACTACCGTCTTAGCCAGCTTTAAAGGTGCGTCGGCCGAGAATTGAGCCTCAGACCAAATGCGTGGTTGGCAAGCGTTCTACCACTGAACCACCGACTCTAGACTGTGCTCTCCTACTAAAGTAATCAAGGGTTCAAAATAATTTACACAAGTGATACAACAGTGATAATCTGTCCCTTTTATTAGTGGGCATTCACTACCTATCTTCTTCATTACATTTACCCTCTACATACAAAATAGTATCTTATTGAATGATTATCACTCAAGTTTGGACTAGTGGTAAAAGCGACATTGTCGATCTTGTCAGTTGGTCTACATGGTAGTTTACAATAATACAACCCGAATTTTTGAACTTTGGTGCTTGAAATATATTTTAAGTCCGTTGCCGTTCACTGTTTTAAAATTAGTTAACCAAATTAATTAGTTGTTTAATTCAGTTTAAGTTTTCCCGTCGATTGATTGGACCGAAGTGCTCAGTCTCAGGTTGACATGTTGGCTACGTGTACAGATGCATCGACGATGTCTGTCATGTAACTTGAAGTCAATTGGTTGATTGTGACTAGCAGTGGTTTCCAGAACGTGCATTTCATGCTGTTTGAGATTCACCATCTGGATGTACCTAAATTCCCCAGTGAGTGATGGTGTTCCCACCAATGCTCGAACCCAGTGTTCATAGTTACAAACGCTTTGGTGTTTGGGAACACCATCATTCACCGTAGAATGCAGGTACATCCAGATGGCGAGTCCTGGATTCCACTGCTGTCTGTTTTCGTCATAGAACTTTGCATCGATGTGCGGCAGTTCAAGTCCCCACACTCCGTGTACCACACAAAGAAAGAGAAGAAAGTAGAAGAAATGCATAATAGAGACAGTAAACAGAGGTGTGAGACAAGGAATAGTAATAACGAAGAACAATATAGTTTCATTTGAAATCATAAGTCACAAGGAGTGGATGCATCTGGGCTAGCCATTGAGAATGACGATTTTGAGCCATGTCATCAATTGTTTCCAGTCTTCACTAGTTTTTACCGTCCCGATGACCTCAACCAGTCAGGAAGTCTACACCTTCCTACGTGACCGGCTTACGCTGACTGTTGTGGATTTCATTGACTGGTGAAGTCATGTTTTTGTTTGACCGCTGCTAGCTCCTTTCCAGCCTGACCAATCCTATGTCAGCTAACATTGCCTGTCAGTCGAGGAAGGTGATGACTAGGCATACGTAACACATGTCCTAGCCATCTCAGTCGATGTAATTTCACGGCCTCGTCGATTGATTTCCCCTCCCACCTACCTAGCACTCGACCGAGGCCTAACCTCAATATTGCACACCTTATTATACCACTTCACACGGGAGGTAAAACGCAGGCACCTGTTCCACTGCTAGTCAGCACCAACCAATCTACTTCAGATTAATTAGTGATAAATTCATAAAAAAGATAAATAAATCACCCAATATGCATACCATTTTTATTACCTCTTCAGTATGTAGTCTTTTAATTTAAATTTAGAAAGTGTTACTTATTTTATTTCCAGATTTTGGTAATGTTAACAACCAGTCAACTGAAATGAAATCTGATATGCCCAGTACAACAACATCTAGCAGTCGGTCTACATCATATTCTTTATTGGATTCCAGAAGAAATCTATTAGTATGTTATGTATTAATTTGGTTATTTTTTATATACGTTTCTCTATGTTTTATTTAGCCTCGGGAGGTAATTAGTGGTATTTTTATATTGATGATAAAAAGGACTTCTTATGGTATTGGTATAGTTGACTTGTGTGTGTTGTGTAGTAGTGTTTAATCATTTTAGTCGGTTATAGGACTACTGTATTATTATGATCTGGATGTTGGTTTGCATCCTGCATCGATGTACGTTTGTGATTCAGTTGTAGAGATTGTTCTCCAGCCAGACTGAAGGTCCGGGTTCGACTCTCCACCGACTCACTGATGAACCTCATCTAGCTGGTATCAGACCCGAAAAAGAGAGAAGGTCGGGCGTGCGACTACCAAACCCAATCCGCGCGAAGAATACCATTACTATTGAAACTTTGAAGCTTGAATCCTAAAACCCTATGTTCTACTCGGAATGCAAAGAATGAACAAAAAGTTAATCAATTATCCTTTTTTGCATCTATTTGTATTATACCAAAAATAGTAATAATATCTGTAAGGTGAACTGGTGTTGTTTTCTGCACTTTGTTATATGGACGTGAAGGTTAGCAGATAGTTAAACTCAAGTGTTGGTTTGTAGGGATTTGATCGGTTACAGGATTTCATCATGAGCTGACATTAGTTAGAATAACAATGAGATGCTCACTAGCGACTTACCCTATTCATGTAGGTAGTTACCTGGGATTCTTGTGGGAAGTCGTGACCAGTAGGGTGCAGCGGGTTGGGTGTGGAGACAAATACTTGCCGAATACATTGGCTAGGGTCGTGCTATGTCATGAATTGGCAGAAGTTAGAATTCATGGGCTGGCCATTGGATCGTGTCCCAGTGGCTCAATGGTCTACGAGCTTGCCTTATAACCAGAAGGTCCTGGGTTCGAATCCCGGTAGGTAGCGAACCATATGAAATTACACACCAAGAAGAAAAGATATGCAAACTGTGTATTCATCCATTCATCCATCCATCGATACATGTATACAAAACAATTCACTTGCTCCTATGGAGGCTAAGTACATTGACTGTGCCAGTAGGATATTATCTAGACGTGTACAAGAATACTTATCGAAAGGAGAAATTAGGTGAACCAGTAACACTGTTCTTATGATGCATCATATCTCAACAACAGAGAAATATTTTGAAGTCATATGTATATAGCGTAAGGTCGAGTCATTCGAAGCCTGGTAGAATGCATCTTCTGTCCACGGCCTACGATGTTGCTATACACAAGGAAAACCCTGAACTATGAATACAGAAGTGTGTCTGTTCAACTCTTTTTTTTTAATACCATGTCCGTTAATATGTCTCTTCTACGTCGTTCTTTTTTTCTTTAAAACTGTTAATTCTTACTTGATTATGCTTACAATTATTTTTTTTGCTTCATATAGAAAGAATTGAAGCGCTTAGTTAACGCACAATGGTCATCGAATGATGATGAGCTGGAAGAGGCGACTAAAGCTGCTGCAACTGAAGAGTCAATCAATACGCTAACATCTTTAATACACCCAATAGCCTTAATTTCATTTTTATTTGAGTTAGGTTCTTTTCAAATAAAGTCATATACAGTAAGTTAGTTTTCATGAATTTTTTTGTTTAGAATGATTGGTTAATCATAATCATAATAATAATAAATAGTCAATGTAAAAGTTCTGTACAAATTTTACTGTTCACTTTAACATTTCTAATAACTGAATAACTGTGTAGTTGTCCATCTGTTATGCAAACAGAATTCCTGTTGAAAATCACTCAGTTAAGCATTCGGTTTCTGTTCTCTCTAACACAAGTTTTATAAACTAACAAAATATTCACTAAACTATATCAACATGATTTAATAATTTTCAAACCGTTAGTTATTCATTGAATTCCCCACTTCATTTAATAAAGTTCTCTGAATTAGGTATTACCGTATGTTTGTCGTCCGTTTATCTTATCATATGTCATCCTCGTTTAATGCTTTTTAGATACAACTGAATTCAGTTAAGAACAAGCTAATTGGAATCACGGTTGGCCAATTGGCCTATTTAGCTAGTTTACTTCGATTCATGAAGATAATGACATCACAGCTGACTTCATTGTATATGTCTAAAATAACAAAAACATCAAGTGCTTCGTCGAAATCTCATACTGATTCAACAGAATCTACAAAGCGTGCTGGAAAGCATAGAACACGTCATGCAGCCGGGAAAACACGTACCAGTTCAACAACTGAAACTTCAAAGTCATCTGCTGGCGGCAGTACAGAAACAAGTAGTCCGAAAGAAAAAAAGAGTATTTGTCTGTTGGATACTGCAGTGTTAGACACAAGTTCACCAAACACTCTTGTATCCTCGATAACATTCACAATTGGAGAGAATTCAAACACTGGTGATGCCAGTTTAACACCTGAAGAAGTAAGTTATTCATTTGGTATAAATATTGCCAAAGTATATTCGGAATGTTAGTTTTAACAATTTGTTCATTACTCGTAGAGATGGTGTTTCGGAAAACTGTTTGTCAAGGATTTATAACTAAGGTTTATCTAAAAAGAATTTTTTAACTTTGTTGAATTGTCCTCATAATTTTCTCTCTGGATTTCATTTTACTGAATCCCATAGGAGATAAGAAATCTATTATAGATTTATTTCCCTTAAAGTTGTATGTATTTTTTTATTTAATAAGGTATGCAGAACTACCGCATGTTTAACGATATTAGGTAGAGTTGGAGGCAATCGGCAGGAGGCCTTGGACCTAGGTTTCGTGCTAGTTGGCACTCAGCAAGGCGTATCTGAAACCTTGAAAGAACTCATATCCCTTCTGAGATTCGAACCCGCGTCACCCAGTGCTCCAGTCAGAGACGTTACCACTGAGGAGCTATTCAAACTCGCGATTGGCCTATAGGACACGGATTCGAATCTCGGAAGGGACAAGAGTTCCTTCAAGGTTGGTGAGTACCAACTAGCACGAAACCTAGGTCCAAGGCTTCCTGTGGCCGACTGCCTCCAACTATCTAATATATCGTTGGTGGGACATCCATCCACACACGTGACATCTAATTGGACCTCACTGGTCACGACTTCTCACTAGAACTCAGGAAACTCCAACATGTAGCAAGTCACTAGCGAGCATCTAATATATCTTCAAATCAATGTGCACCGTGATGGTGAGCTACCTAAAAAGGTGACCACATTGAAACCATCAAGTGCCATCACTAGACAAGCCCTCGAGTGGAACCCGAAAGGGAAGCGGCGAGTTGGTCGTCCAACGGTGACTTGGAGGAGGTCATGCGAGGAGGAGATGAAAGCATTTGGGCAGACTTGGAGCGAGGTGAAAAAGTTGGCAGAAAACAGAAGGCAATGGAGGTGCGCAGCTGAAGCCGTATGTTCCTCCAGGAATTAAAGGATATAATAATAATATAATACATTGAAAACTTGACTGATAGAATTCAGTCTGCAGCAAATAAAGGACTAGACACGTCGCACTAGTTACCAGTGTCCAACTAAAATACCGCATGTTTAGTTGATGTATTCTGTGGCTAATGCGCATTTAAGCTTATCATACACAGCTTGCAAAATACCATAACTAATAGAAGTTTGTGTCTGGTATAATTATTTGAGGATTGGTCTTTAAATCTGTAGATGTTTCGGTGGTATTCTCACTGCTGTCCTTCTGTCATACACACACACACACAAACGAACACACACAGAGTTCCTCATTGAGTAGATTTATGTTTAAAGTGTTGGTTTGTAGGGATTTGATTGGTTTCAGTATTTCATCATGAGCTGACATTAGTTAGAGAACCATTGGAAAACCTGGGAGTACTGGACAGCTGCTGTTTCATCCTAGTTTGGGAATCATCGGCAGTACGCATCCACCGGGATTCGAACCCAGGACCTTCCGGTTACAAGGCGAGCTCGTATACCATTAAGCCACTGGGACCCGATCCAATGGTCCTTGAATTCTAACTTCTGCCAATTCACGACATAGCGCGACCGCTAGCCAATGTCTTCGGCGAGTATTTGTCCTCACACCCGACCAGCTGCACCCTACTGGTCACGACTTCCCACTGGAACCCAGGTAACTACCTACCTGAATAGGGCCAGTCGCCAGTGAGCATCTCATTGGTATTCAAGTGTTTAAATTCAATATTTAGATTAAATCCTTATGCAAGTTGTGGTTTTAGTCGGAAAACATTGTTTTTCTTTGCATTCATCAATGCTTCAATTTCCGGTTCAAATAGTGCCAAACTGGTTCCTAAAAGGAAGCTGAAAGTTTATTTTCTAAGAATTTTCAAAAAGGATGAGAAATCATCTATCCATGATTTTAGTGGCCCAGTCGACAAGTGTGCGTGATCAGCTGATTTTGTTGATGCTCGGACTTCCATTAATATCCTTAGTTATTGTTTTTCTGTATGCCTTTACAGAAAGTTTCAGGTTGTTTCATCTGACATGATTTCATTATATTATTTCAAAGTCCTCATCATTTTTTTACATATGTCTTATTGCATTCATTTCTTTTCCTTATAGCTATCTACAATGCGTATACGTTGCTTGCATACTGGACATGTGGTTCTGACGACATGTGTACAACTCATGTATAAATTATGCCAACAAATACGTTCAGAAATTGGTTTGCCTATCACGCATAATATCAGTACGAATGAGACATTATCATCTATTGGGAATACTGCATCAATGACATTGTTATGTCCAAAGCGTTTGTTAAAGGATAATTATTTACTGGCGTCAAGTTCATCGTCAAATATTTTAGCGCGTAAACGATTAGCTAATAGTTTAAGATTGGCATCACTTGTCTACCGTAAACAGTTTGATACGTTGAATTCTGTAGCCTCAAAATGTTATTCCACCATGTTATTGGAAACGAATCAGGTAAACCAAAAAAGTCATCTGATTATCATTATTATTATTATTGTTATTTATAAAATGCTATTTTCAACGTTTTGTTAACAAGAATAATGAATCTCATTATTGTTATATTAGAGTTTTCCCCGTAGCTCTTTCAAGGCTTTGAAATGCTGGAAAGTTAAAATACTTTTCTCTTTCGAATTGTTGTTTTATAAAACTTTGAAATTCAGTATCTCTAATCTTGTTCATCTGACATAATCATATATCGAAAATGTTAAATAGTCGTTACAAAAACTACTTGCTCTTCATGTTGATGCTTCAGTAACCACGTCACATGAAATTCCTACAGTTTTGTAGCAGTTTTTACTCAGAAAGCAAAAACAAACATTAAAAAAAATAAGTTTCAGAGTTCAATTGATGGTAGAAATTGAGTAAATCTTTTTTCCGGTGAATCTCGATAAATATGTGACAAATCTTACTCATATTATACTCTATCTACTCATCGGGAAGAAGCTTTATCTATTGAACTACTTAAATTTTGTGTTCCTCGTATACACTCTACGGATTTAGTCCTTCATATCGAGTACGAAAACTTGTACGACCAACTTAAACTTCTTGTTTCAACATCCGATGGAGAGTGGGGTTGGTTTATAGCCAAGATGGTTGGTATAGCTCACCAGGTTTCAAAGAACAATCCGAAAGAGAATCTTATTATGTAAACTAATATGATGTAGTGTATTCATACATCAAACATGACAATGAGTTTTATTTAATGCAATGATGAAACTGGTGGTGACCAATTTTAATATTATGGGGAAGGGAAGAAGAGACTAAGAAGAAAAAGAATAGGAGAAGATAATGTTTGGATGAAGAATTCATATTTAGTTTATGGACGATCAGTACACTTTCCTTTTGTTTTCTGAACTCTAACTTCAACTATATACAGAATACATAGATGCATGTATGTGTGTGTGATGGTTACTTATAGTATTATGCAGAGGGTCACATGGGTTTCACTCTGATGAATTAAATCTCTAGGTGTTCTAAACTGGTGGGATGTAATCAGTTAAAATATTAAATAAAGTTAGGCACTGTGGGTGTTTAAGTTTGAGGTTGTGAACACTGGATGACTGCTGAAAACTAAATGTACATTTTCGATTAATAGAAAGTTACTGGCACAGTTATATTGGCATCTGTATGCAGAACTAGCGAAATATAGTGCCATTAAGACTTCAGTCAATATACTCGAAAGCATGAATATAACCTTCAATCTTTTCGCGTTAGTTTGAAGGAGGTTCATTGTCGTGAAGCAAGGCTGTTTAGCTCTAACTATATGGATGATATTATCTTAATATACGACATTTAAACTCTGTTTAGCTACTTATATTACTCTAATTTACACTAATAAAGTGAGTATTTTCGAAAACTGGTGGCAGCATTATTGTGACTGTTGTATTGACTAGTTTGATGCAGCTGACTGTTTGTTTGATCGACAAGACTAAACTGTACTTATATTGTTACCTATTGTTTGAGTGATCGCTGTACGCGAGATCGGTATCGCTCTGATAAGTTCCTATTGAACTGATACCAGGTCACAAAATAACTATTCATCCACACGTGTTATGAGCCCCCTTTTTGTCTGACAATTGATTAATTACTTCTGTACAAAAATGACTTAGGTAATTAAAATGTAGAGTAGTTAAAAGGTAGTTGATAAACAAAGAATAATTTGAATGGTTATCACCCTTAACAGTATATGAAGATGCGTTTCCTTCTATTCTCCATGTAACGGGGGTGTTGTAATGATTCCTCAGACCTAGTTTTATCTCAGCGTTTGGTTCTTTTTAAAATAAGACTTCATCCAATAGTTTCACGCTTGATACCTTCTGCACTCACTTTTTCCCTCTGTTTTGAATCAGCTTCTGTGATATACAACTTCTGGTAATATAATACGGATATGTTTTACACCTTTTCAAGCCCTAACAGATAAAATAAAATGACTTCATGAGATTTCTCTTCTCGAATAAACGGAGAGTAACTTGTGTAGAGAACCCTTTCTTCTTAAATGTACCAGTAAATACTGTAGTGAAATTCTGTAAACTAGAACTTGACACGATATCTGGTTGTACAGAAATCGTTTTTTCACTATTGGTATTCGAATCTTAATTGCGATTCGAATTTTCAGTCTTATTTTAAAATCAAACTGTACAAACAATTCATCATTTGACAAGCTGTTCTGTGATTCTGTTTTTTTGTATACATTGAAATCGGTGTATGAATGGAGAGCTCACTTCTCGATTTTAAGTATACTTTTTGATCAGTATGTATGAGTACTGCTTGAATTCCTGAATAAATGATTTCAACTCATTTAAGATAGCTGATATAATAACTTAAGACTGAACAGTTCACTGGTCGTTTTTTTACGGTTTAATAATTTCACATGAGCCACAATAAGTTCATTGTTTTACTTGTGTTGTGTGCGTCGGTGACACAGAGGTAGAATTGCCCACCAACCACGCAAGTAGTCCAGGGTTCGATTTCCTGCCGACGCACTCCTTTACCTCGCTAAGCCATTATTAAGACTGGTAAAGGGGGAAGGAGGTTAGGCATGAGGCTAGCAACCCCATCCCGTAAAAATAAGCACCACTGCTACCTAAACTTCATGGCTCTAGCTTGAAGCCCTCCTATATTCCATTGGCGAAGTAGAGGAATAAAAAAAATACTTGTGTTGTACATCGGCTGGTTATTTATTCGACGACACTAAACCAGACTAATTTTAGTGAACATATCATTTGTGCTTATTATTGATGTGTGGATAGGTGATCACTCACTGCCCAAGGAAAATTATATTGCTCATACATGTTAAAAGAGGAATACGAAAGTGTTTGTCAATACTACATGCATTATGAATCGTTGTCATTGATAAAAAAAGAAAAAGAAAAATGTGATTTAGACAGTTGCAATATAAACTGTTTGACAGATAACCAGTCGTCATTATTCGTCATTGATATCAAGAAACTTTGTTCACATTTCACATATAAGTACAACAACATTGCATACTTTACTAAATTAACATTTTTAGTCATCTACACATCATGATTCTTCTTAATTATTGTTCCACAACTAAACTATCTTATAAAACTGTCTGTCTGTTTTCGACATAGAACTTTGCACATATGTGTGGCAGTTCAAGTCCCCACACTCCCTCCTTCTAGCACACAAAACAAGAGAAGAAAGTGGATGAAATGCATAATAGAGACAGTAAACAGAGGTGTGAGACAAAGGAATAGTAATAACGAAGAACAATATAGTTTCATTTGAAATCATAAGTCACAAGGAGTGGATGCATCTGGGCTAGCCATTGAGAATGACGATTTTGAGCCATGTCATCAATTGTTTCCAGTCTTCACTAGTTTTTACCGTCCCGATGACCTCAACCAGTCAGGAAGTCTACACCTTCCTACGTGACCGGCTTACGCTGACTGTTGTGGATTTCATTGACTGGTGAAGTCATGTTTTTGTTTGACCGCTGCTAGCTCTTTTCCAGCCTGACCAATCCTATGTCAGCTAACATTGCCTGTCAGTCGAGGAAGGTGATGACTAGGCATACGTAACACATGTCCTAGCCATCTCAGTCGATGTAATTTCACGGCCTCGTCGATTGATTTCCCCTCCCACCTACCTAGCACTCGACCGAGGCCTAACCTAAATATTGCACACCTTATTATACCACTTCCCACGAGAAGTAGAACGCAGACACCTATGATCAAAGACAGTTAATCTTTTCATGTCTTCCACTCTCAGTGGTCAGGTCTCACAGCCATAGAGGAGGACTGAGCGGAGTGATGAGCAGCACACCCGCCCTTTGGTCTATAGTCGAATATCTCGTCTACGTTAGAGGCGGCGTAAACTGGCATATGCGAAAGTAGCCTTCTGTATCTGTGCTGGGATTTCGTCAGACATCAACCCGTTGGCACTGGCTGATGGTACTTCCCAAGTAATTGAAGCGGTCAACGTGCTCTACCACTTCACCCCCTATTTTTAAACTAGGCGTCCCTGTAACATCATCTTGCATTTGCATGTAATAAAACTTAAATTTCGTTATTTAGGATATATTCATATGACGAGGTACCGTTGGATCCGTTATATCCTGCACCATGTTTTATTGTTATTGCTTTATCCAAATTCACTAAGGGGAGATTCTTGTGTCATATGAGATATCGGTTCATTTAGTCAGACAAAATGGTGTAATCTTCTTGTATTTAGTGATATCATTTTTTTAAGACAAGAGCTTCTTTGATTTGATTATATGTTACAAATCAGTGATTAACCTTTATCACTGTTCACTACTCATCAGCTTAGGGGGGGGTTACTACAAACAAACGGGGGTGGAGTGGGTGGGAAATAATTTAAACTGTTAAATTGTATTATCCTAGTTTTGTTGAAGCACTCACTATTTATACTCTGTCTCGAAATCGAAGTAGTTAATGACCGTCTCGCTATGAACTTATTGTTTCTTTGCTTGGTGTATTTCTAAATTGTTTAAACTTAAAGAAAGTTTTAATTAATCATTTGTCGTGTGATGCATGTCCATCCCACGTATTATTCCATTGGATAGAACTTTCAGTGAATGCTGACCTTAATAATAGTAGATGTATTGGTATTTATGTATAATGATTTCATTAGATTATTTTTTTTTACGCTTTTTTATACATTATATAATTAAATAATACAAGTGGAATTCTGTTTTACTTTCACACTTTGTTTTTATTATTATTATTATCTTGTTCACTTCTAGTTTACTTCAAGTTTTTCTCAATGCTTCTATCAGATATTAGCATTCCAGTATGAGGTAGCACTTAGTGAGTTGTCTGTGAAAGAGGAAGATTTATTCGATACCAACAAGCCATCATCACCGATGCCATCGCCAGCATATTATCAATCTGCTTTAACTGTCAATTTACCTAATTATTGCACAGTAACAACAGCAGCAACGGCAACTAATACTGCTACAACAGCTCCAGTGCCAGCATCATCATCAACGATAAGAACAACGACAATATCGACAACCACAGCTACAAAATCTGTAGACGAGATGAAATTAAAACAATCACCAGGTTATGCTTTACATTTAGCAAACAATTTAAAATTATTTGAATCATGTTGTCTATTGAAACGGTTAGGCGAATTGTGTAGATCATTAGTGAAACAACTGTATGATCTACAAGAGAAAATCTATTCTTTAAGTGAATTAAACACTGAACAATTATTGAATATTGACAGTTATAATGCTTTACAAATGATTTGTGCAATGCATTATGATCCCGTGTTGACTGCTTTACATATTGACTTGATGTCTGAAGAAGAAGAGACGAGGAATCAACCATCAGTTGCACAATACTTGAGCTATATTTATTCTATTCAACGAAAAGGCAAACCAACAGCAACATCAATGATGACAACAAAGTCATCAACAGGTTTTAAAAGTACTTTTATTTGTCGAATGATGAAAAGAATGATATATTCACGTCGACTGAGAAAAATCTTGAGTTATGCATTAGAAGATCGACTTGTGCATACAGTATCCTACATGATTAGATGTCTTTCAAATTCAGGTAAGTTCTCGTGCATTTGTCTTCTCATCTTGATCAATAGAAATTTGATTTTGATGTTATACACCTTAATTAATGAATAAAATGTTGAGTGATCATTTTCTTTTCTTCAAAGTAATTAGGAATAAAGTGTCAGAGCCACGACATTATTTTGTCTATGATCATATTTAAGGTAGTTTTACGAATTTATGATCAAGATTTTATTGTGTTTTTAGTCTACCTCCTGACGTTTTGATAAGATTAATCAGACAGTGAACCATTGAACCTCCAAGAAACTCTGTGTGGCTAGTCTCTTTGTTCACTACTTTTATGCTCAAATTTTCCTATCTCTTAAGTGCTTGTCATTTCCTCAGCTAAAACCTTATTCTGTCCACACATAATAATCCCCAGAAGAAAAGTGACCATTGATCATATATATGTCGACGTAATCAAAGATGAGCCTATAAAATTGTGGAGAAATCCACTTAGAATGTTATATTTATATGTGTTCCTTTGATACCTCCTGATCTGATTTCATAGTCTTTAAAACAGTTGAAACCTTGACTGTCTGTAAAGTCAGTTAGCAGACAGCCCGGTCCAATAGGTTGTTAAAACTACCGTCATTGGCGCATATATACTGTGCAATGGCACTAATCTAAAATCTTATTCTTCCATATGATCAATCTCAGTCGATTGTTCTTTATTGTTTGGTGTGTCTCAGTAGCATATTTATCACTTATACCCTGTAATACGGCAGCAGGAAGCGCGGTTGTTGTTAATCCGGGACCCGACCGATCCGGCATGATATTTTGTGAGTTTGTTTGCATCATAGTATTGGATTGAGTAGCTGCTTTTTGTCTAACCGCTATCCAAACAACCTTTCTGGCATGGTAGGACCTCAAGAGACAATAAGTCTCAGTCAGTATAGCTTGTTGGGACATTGCGGTGTCCAAGCGCGACCACCACGTCAAGGTAACAGATTTCGGTCGGGCCATGTTAGCTGACATAGGATTGGTCAGGCTGGAAAAGAGCTAGCAGCGGTCAAACAAAAACATGACTTCACCAGTCAATGAAATCCACAACAGTCAGCGTAAGCCGGTCACGTAGGAAGGTGTAGACTTCCTGACTGGTTGAGGTCATCGGGACGGTAAAAACTAGTGAAGACTGGAAACAATTGATGACATGGCTCAAAATCGTCATTCTCAATGGCTAGCCCAGATGCATCCACTCCTTGTGACTTATGATTTCAAATGAAACTATATTGTTCTTCGTTATTACTATTCCTTTGTCTCACACCTCTGTTTACTGTCTCTATTATGCATTTCTTCCACTTTCTTCTCTTGTTTTGTGTGCTAGAAGGAGGGAGTGTGGGGACTTGAACTGCCACACATATGTGCAAAGTTCTATGTCGAAAACAGACAGACAATCTCAGTCGAAGAATTAACGACATTAATGTATTTTCGGTATCGTAAACAGATTATGTTCTGTCCTTAGGGTCGTGAAGGGTAACTTGTGTGTGTGTGTGTGTGTGTGTCGTACATAAGTGACTAAGGAAATACCAGTAAGATATAATTCAGCCAACCCATCGTTAACATTGTTTTCTCCTTTGAAAACCTAACTGACAAAATAGTAGATTGGATTTGAAACAATGTGTAAACTTGTTTTTCTCCCTTAGGTTCAAGTTCTCTTGAATCTCGAGTCTCTTCATACATCTGCCGTGAAGCTATGGGATTCATGGAAGTTGTATTGGGTAATCATCGTATCGTGAAACAAATTTGCTCCACAGACGTCAATACAAACGACTCGGACGACAACAAGTCATCCTGTGATCCAACGACAGAACCAATAGTCCGAAGAGCAATATTTAACAAAATCCATTTTACTAATTTCTTCTCATCATCTGCATGCGATGGTTCACAGAAAGATGCTCTTCTGTTAAATGAGATAATAAAACATGAGAAACCACCAACACTTGCCTTTCAGGCCTCATCATTACGTTTGTTATGTGTTCTTTTTATGCGTGGTAAGTTAATGGATATTTAAATTTTCTTTTCTTATTGTACTGTCCAGCTTTATTTCTTCACTGGAGGTTATTTTAACTTGTAATCAATTTGATAAAGGTCATATAAAAAACCAGATAATATATGAATTCTGATATAAATAAATACAAGTAGATTATTGCTCTTGTTAGTGGGCTTGTTGCTTATAATCAGTAGGTCCATTAGAATGTCTACTGCGTACAGTACAAATGGATGTAGGTGTGGAACTTGGTTACTATGGTAGGATATAATTCCATATTAGATAAGTTTATATGAAATAACACAGTGGATGCGGTATTAATTACTGGATGACGTTTCAAACACAAGTTATTACTTAGAAATCATGTTAAGGTACTCACGCAACTGCTTGATGTATAATCATCATCTAAATGCCCTATAATTTGCTTCAAGATATTCAGAGCCACTATTGTACACTTCTTACGCTTAGGAATTCATTTAAACTCTTTGAAATGACTCCCTGCTGAAAGATTCTTATGTTACACAATGCTGCTGCTTCTTTTGTCTTTATCGCAACGCAGTTTCACGTCAAGTCTACTCTGATTCCATGTACAAAGCTTACTTTTTCAGAATATGAATCTCCAATAAACCAATCCAGATATTAAGTAATACAATTTTATAGCAATGCCTTGTATGTTATCTGTAGACACTTAGTGACAGTCTTATTTGGTTTGTAGAGATAGTTATTATTATTATTGTTCCCTTGGGTTCCTAGTGGAACATAGAGCTTCAACTGCACGTCTCCACTTGCCTCTGTCTTCTGCTGTACTTTTCACCTGCATCAATGTTTGTCCATACTGCATCAACTCCTCTTCACACGATCTCCTCCACATCACCCTTGCACTGACGTCCCACCCACCGCTTCCCTTTCGTCCCGGTTCCACTCGAGCAATGGCCTGACGCGCGCGCGATGTCACCCAGCGGCCTCCTCAGCGAGCGAGTGTCCAATCCATCTCCACTTTCTCCTGCATATTTGCTGGTTGGCGATTGGTTCTTGTTTTGTTTGTTCCCAGCCATAGTTTCTTGTTGGTGATTCTTTCCGGCCTGACCATCTGATCTTCAGTATAGAGCCAGCGAAGACAGTTGTGTGCGTCGGTGGCACAGTGGTTAGGACTCTCGCCGACCATGCACATGGTCCGGGGTTCGAGCTCACGCCGGCGCACACCTGATATCTATGGTTAGCCTGCAAAATTTGGGCTGCCGATATCCATGCTGAAAATTCCATACTTGTACCAAAAATACAGTGTGGAATCAAGCTGTAAATCAAAAAAAAAATCAATCAAAAATATCTGCAACAGACTGTTGGAAATATTCTTTGTGACCCGCCCGCCCTCCAAGCTTCTGATCCGTATAGAAGAACTGACTGATTTGATGTTTGTATTGAAAATCCGAGAGAATTTTGTTGTTGATGCTGGCTGAGTGAGGAAGATTTCCAGATTGGTTTCAGGTTGATGAATGTGTTTCTCGCCTGCCTTCCCGATGTTTCTCAATTTGACATCCTCGTCCATTCCTCCTGTAGTTGAGACAATGCTCCCTAGATAAGTGAATGAAGTAACCTCTTTTACATCCCTCCCATTGATGGTGATTTGCGCTGAATGTTGCTGCTGCTGTTGTTGTTGGTTGGTTGGTTATTTTCATAACCTCCGTCTTGTCTATGTTCACCTGGAGTCCTGTCTTCGCCGGTTGTTTCTTCGACCAGTTTGTCGGTTTTCGCTTGTAAGCCTTCAATTTTGTGTGTAGAAACAGTTACCAAATTCATAATATTAAAATTCACTTCGACACACACACACTCCTTCACTTTTCACACAGCCTAATTAGAAGAAATTCAGTTTATCCCTGCATTTGTGAAGATAGACAACTTCATACCAATCAGTTTACCATTTCTAAAATAGGCTTAGCAGTCACTAGTTTGAGTTGGTCAAAAGGTCAAGTTGAACATGTGGTAGGATGAGAACACCCTGTTTCGCCTGTTTTGCTATCAGTTATCCCCCATATAAAATGCTTCACCTACAACTGTATTTATGAGTGGGAAATACTAGCTGATTTAAGCACACAGTTATATTTCTTCTGTGTAGCTATATTTAATGATTTTATCATGAATCCCGTCCTAATAATGTAGGTTGTCATTTCGAGGGGGGTGTAAAGTAATCTCAAGATGATTGAGCAGAAATATGTGTGTATATCGTGTATTTATAAAGTGCAGTTAGCTAGCTAACTAGCTGTTTACAAAGAAATCAATTCGAAGTGACAATCCAGTATGATTTTCTTTTGTTGACGCAAATTATTCATGCCAAAACATGTGACCTACTTGACACTATAAAAAGTCTAAAGAAATCAATACGATACAATCCTCCCTCCCCCCCCCCCTACTGTTTCTGATTACCTCAATTTAGCTCGTTTATGCTATCCCTTCCCAACTACTTATATCGATTAGTAGTATGTATTGAATGTTTGAAAGTTGGTTGGTGTTTTCTTTCACTTCAATATATTCTAAATTACTCATCTGTTTTTTTCTTCGGAGCTAGTGTATAATTGTTGTCGATTATTTCGCTAAAGTATCAACTCGGTAAATTGGAAGTCGTAATTAATTCACGCATATAGAGTAGCAAGGTAAATACTCGTGCTTTTCTTTTTATTCCTAGTGTTCCGAATGAAACATAGGGCTTCAGTGTTTAGAGTTTCAGGGGAGGTATTGCTTTCACGTGATGGAGTTGCTAGTTACCTGTTCAACCTCTTCTCTTCTCCGCGCTAACTGTCAGCTATTAAACTAGGTGACGTTTAGCGGCGTATCGACCGAATACAGAACCCGAGCATATTTTATGGCTGGTCAGTATACTGCCATTTACCCATCGGCACACTAGATACTCTTCGCTGAACTACTGGTCTTCTCCTTATTAATATTTCAATGGGTATTTTTCATGAATCACTTTTTTTTAACATTCAGTCTTGATAGTGTTGTTATTCTCTGATCGGTAAATATTGCAATCGCTTTTTTCGTTGTGCCTATATATATATATAATTTTTTTTACCTTGTTCATACGTTATTTTCATTCAGCTATTAACGCTTCTACAAGACATCGCAGCAACTTGATTGATTTAGTGAAATTAGCTCTTGACTCATGTATGTTCAAATCATGGAAATCAGGAGATGAAGGAGAAAAGGCGAATACATTATCGTCGTATTGGTTAGAAAGTCTACTGCCATATGTTTCTTCATTGAAAGAGAATTATGATAATGAATTACGATTCACTGATCTACTAAACAGAGTTGATGATTTCACATTGGATAGTGATGAATTCATAGAAACTGAAGAAGATATACTAACCGATTTATTTAACACTACACCGGAGACTATTTATCATCAGGATAATGAAGGTCATGTCAATCTTAGTTTCTTCAATACTGATAATGTTTTACTGGAAACCAATACAGAATTGATCAATGAATGGAAGTGTAACCGATATCTATGCACTATTGCATTTTACTTTGAACGTTTCACTCGCCTTCTGGCATCAAATTGGACAGATGATGTTGGCTTACGAGAGATGGTAAGACGAAGACTTTATTCATCTTCCTAATTTTTGATATTTTTTAAATATTTGAATCTTACAACATTGATTCATAATAGCTTGACAATATTGGCTTATCATTGCTTCTGTACATTCTTGTTATAGTTGAACTGACTGACTAACATAGAATAGTTACATAAAAAAACCATGAGGGCTTAATGAATATGATAGTTCACAAAGAGTGAATCCATCTGTTATGACTGATACTGAACTGAATAGACTCGTTTCTACTTTATTATGTCTGCGCCTGTTAATTACCTTAACGATAATAAACTCTACTGGTACGCTAATACGTCTATTTGTCCTTTGTACCTTCCAATTCTTTGAGCCAGGTAAATGTGAAAAGACAAAGGCTGGCCTATGATTGTAAGATAGTTTATTTTACTGTGCTGTACTATATGGTTTAAGAAACAACACATGATATTTACACATTTTCTTTACCATAATAAAGTCGGCTCACAAACTTGGGAATGAAATGATCTTATTTTCTGGAGATGTCTATTCTGATTGGTTGGTGATTCGACAAAGACCAAGGTGAGACAGAAGAAGATGAATTGATCGCACACTAAATCACAATATGCGTGAGAAATGATGCACTTACATAGTAATTCCATAACAAGATAAATCACACGATTCGTGAGAAAGGATAATATACAGTTTTATTCTGGTGCAGCCTAACACCGTCTGCGCCATTTACAACCATTTCGATCCATTTCGCCATTTATCTCCATCCTTTGGATCCTAGAATCTCAAGGACCCTAACCTCAACCAGACAGTCTTCACCTCCATGCCTGGCTACCTAAAACTAACTGTCAAACACTTCAATGATTGCTGCTATGTTTTGATATAACCACTCTGACATTTTTCCAACCAAATCCTATATCACCTAACATTTCTCAACGAGGAAGGGGGTAGCTCAGAATGTACAATACATGTTGTAACCATCTCAATTGATCTAGCCTCACAAAGTCATCAATTGACTTCCCTTCCCTAACTAACACTCGAATTCTAATCTCGATATTACTTATGATATTCCGATACTTAACACTAGAGAGACAGAGAGAACGCGAACATCTGTAGTCAAAGGCAGTTAGTCTTATCACATCATTCACTTCCAATGGTCATATATCACAGTCATAAACAAGAACGGACCGGAGTGCTGAGCAACACACACACACATCGTTTGATCGATAGCCAACCGGATATCACATCTATGAACGCCAGAGACAACATTGATTGGCAAATGCCACATCAATCCACTGTATTGAGGTTTCGCTAGCAATCAGTTCATTGGGGCTGATGCAGTTTCCCAAATATGTGAAGTTTTCAACATGCTGTATCGCCTCACTTTCTGTCTTTAAACTAAGATTCGAAACAGTACGGTCTCATAGCATTATGTTTGACATGCCAAAAATGTGGAGATTGGTTTCTGCTCAAAATGTTTCGAAGACTGTATTTTAGCAGCGTCATCAACTAGGAGTATAATGCCAACCGTATATGCAAAGTCAACATAACTGTTACCTGATAGCAAGTCAATCCCTAAGTCACTTAAGTCAGTCAGGGTTAATTTCGTTGCTACTTCTATGGTGCAATTAATTGAAAGTAAGAAATATCCAGTTGAAATGTGTTACATTGAAATATGTGGTAGATTAAGGGCGTTGTAAGAAATGTGTTCTAAATATCATTGGTTTTTCCCGCAAAGATCTTCAAGAAAACGAAGTATTAATCACTCTTCACAATAACTTTGCTATTTTACTACTATTAATTTTCTGCCTGTAATGCGTGTCATATTTCTGAAGATAAACATCGTTTAAACACTTCATTATCTTATACTTGTGCATGGTGTCCCCCCAACAGCGACTGATATTTCATCGGTAGTGTAACCACTGTTGTTTTTCATAATATTTTCACTGTACTCTCCAGGGTCTCTTGTTTTTCAACGTAATACTGTACAAGAAAGTTTAATTGAAGAACTACCAAACCATAATAAGCTTACTTAATAGTTATTATATTAAAATACGGCTCTAGATAACTCTTCAGTCGCCCATTATCTGTTTGTAACTAACCTATTTAAAATATTTTAATAGGACCCCTAACATCTTCTTGAGTTAGGAAAGCTTTTTCATTAATGTGGCAGTGAATAACGTGACACGTCCTAATAAGCAAGTATCAAAGTTTACGAAGTGTGACTGAAAATTTATTTGTCAGAACATTCATCCTCTATCTTTTTTAAATTTAAATTGCTGCTATCACTACAACTGTTATTATTATTATAATTCTGACTACATATGCTCAATTGTAATCTTTTTCCATAGTATTGTAATCACTTATTGGATTCTGCAATACGCGTTTGGCGTCCTCGCTTATCTTTGAAAGACAGTACGCCTGTGAAATCAGAACCACCGTCATCGTCTCCATCTACTTCTCCTTCAGAAGAATCTACAAGAATCACTCAGAAATATGATTTGACATTTCTGCCTTATGCTATTACATCATTGCACTGCTTATCGTTTGGTTTTACCAACGGCTTGGTGCATACAAAGTTATTCAGCTTTTTTACACATTGTGCTGACATCTGTTATGCTCTAATTATGGAGGAGGAGGAGAACAACGAGACAAAAGATGAAAAGCTTTATTGTAACGAAACTAATTTAATGTTATCAATGAAGCTACAACATCAGAAGAAGGTATATTTTGATTTTGTAGTTCCTCCTTTTTATTACATGACATGTTTTGTTTATAGGTTTGTAGTTCTATGTAGCCGTTGTTCATTCATATACACCGAAAATGAGCTTCTCTTATATTTGTACTTATCGTTCACACAACAGTGTTTGTTTCTTTATTCTAGAGTCTAGGTTTGGTCCTTAATAATACTAGGCTGATAATTGAACAACTCTATCTACTGGGTAAGTTTGAGCCAAGGATTCCAGCTAAGACTGAAACAAATGAAGCAAAATAAGGTGGCTCATGCGAAACCACTCCTGTCTGTCTGCCTGTCTGTTTTCAACATAGAACTTTACACCTATGTGCAGCAGTTCAAGTTGCCACACTCCCTCCATGTACCACACAGAGCAAGAGAAGAAAGTGGATGAAATGCATAATAGAGACAGTAAACAGAGGTGTGAGACAAAGGAATAGTAATAACGAAGAACCATATAGTTCCATTGGAAATCATAAGTCACAAGGAGTGGATGCATCTGGGCTAGCCATTGAGAATGACGATTTTGAGCCATGTCATCAATTGTTTCCAACCACTAGTTTTTACCGTCCCAATGACCTCAACCAATCAGGAAGTCTACACCTTCATACGTGACCGGCTTACGCTGACTGTTGTGGATTTCATTGACTGGTGAAGTCATGTTTTTGTTTGACCGCTGCTAGCTCTTTTCCAGCCTGACCAATCCTATGTCAGCTAACATTGCCCGTCGATGAAGGCACACGATAGAAACCACTCCATAAGCAATATATGATAGTAAAGAAGAACAGTTTAGTGAAGTAATAGTGTTTGTTTTTGGTGGATTCAGCTTGAAATGAATCAACCTAATCTCTCATCAACCTGGAAAAACAATTTAAATTTACTGCTGATCAGTTAATCTTTTGATGAGAAATATTTAAGAAAAAGTTGTCATCGGTGAGATCCACTAAGTCGAATGTGAGGGCGATTACTAGTTTAATGATGTTCAGAATTGGTTATGTCATATTAAAAACTGGTATTCATCGCGTAGTAATTCAAGTTGCCACACTTCATAACCTTACAGATGTAGGGAGGAAATACAATAAACGGAATTGTGTGGATTAAGTTCATCGATCGATTATCTCTCCTTAACACTTCGCCTAGCCTCAATATTATACACTGTATTCTACCACTACATTTTAACATTGAGTGCTTTTGTTTCCACCGAAATTCGCTTCGTATGTCTGTTCAATGTTATTAAGGAAAATATTCGTATGATACTACGAGAACTGTTCAAGTCTAACCAGCTGCATCAGTGGTGTTATCTCTTCGGTTAATTGAAGTCATTGAATGGGACAAAAAGTGGTTGAAAAGTCTATGAAACATAAGAAATCTTAATCAATAACGACTTTTATTCACAGACAGTTCTCTGTGTCGATGAAATAACTTTGGGTATTTTATTTCTATTCTTTTACGTTCCCAGTGGAACATAGGGCTTCAAGCTAGAGCCTCGAAGTTTCGGTATCAGTGGTGTTTATTTTTACGGGATGCGGTTGCTAACCTTGCACCCAACCTTCCCTCTTTACAGTCTTATTACTGGCTTAGCGAGGTAAAGGAGTGCGTCGGTGACCGGGGTTGCAACTCAGAACCACATACGTGGTTGACAGGCAGACATTCTACCTCTGTGCCACCGACGTAAAACTCTTTGGGTGTGGAATAATAATTTTTTTTTCCTTCACGTTCCCAGTGGAACATAGGGCTCCAAGCTAGTGGCTTGAAGTTTCTGTAGCAGTGTTTAATTTTTACAGGATGGGGTTGCTAGCCTCATGCCCAACCTTTCCTCTTTACCAGAATTATCTCTGGCCCAGTGAGGTAAAGGAGTGCGCCGGCCGGGAGTCGAACCCCGGATCATATGCATGGTCGGCAAACGTCCTAACCGCTATACCACCGACGCACATTTGGGTGTGGAAGGCTACAATAACGTTGGTGACAGTCATGATAATATTCTGGCATAATAATATATTGTCCTCATTAGATTATGTAATTTTTGCTTGCACTTAACTCAATGTAGTAACCTATTCGTACTTTTTTTTTCAAAGGCCTCATTGATTTCCAGCCTACAGTCAGTCTACTTCTATGTATCAACAATTGTCAATGTGTTAAATTCAGCGAGCAAATTAAAACTGTCTGATGGCCTACATGAATTACTCATCAATTCCCTGAGTGCTCGTTTAGACTATTGGCCAAGTTTATTGCATACTCAACCGGGTGTATTCAATCGTCTACAACTGGCTGATGATGCAAAAAATGAGAATGTGCCGTGTTGTTCCTCATCGGTAACTGATAAATTTCATTCTAAAATGCAAATCTACTCACATTTGTTGAGTAGTCATTGTACACATAGTTGTAAATCACTTTTTCGAAAAGTAAGCTGGATTTGATTTGGTTTTCAACGTGTCTGTTTTTTCCACTTAAATTGTGAATATTTTGGGAAAATATTGGTTTGTTTATGCTTTAAAAAAAGCGAAATACTGTTTTTTGATTATTTATTGTTGTTTTAAAAGAGACACTTGGCGCATCGTCACAAGGGAAAAAGAATTAGACAATAAAATTCCATTCTTAGATGTCTTAATCAAGAGAACAAACACAGGAAATTTAGAAACACAAATATGTTGAAAATCAACTCACTCAGACAAAATACGCAACTATAATAGGAATAACCCAATTACCCACAAAATAATTGTTGTATTATTTATTATGATTTAAACGCAGAAAAAACTTGGTACAATATGGCACCAAGAAAGATGCGCCACACAATAATAATAAAACAACATAGATGAAAAGAAAAAAAAGAAAGAAGATATATATATATAAGTAGAGAATGGATAAAGAACTTCAACTGCAAGGAAAACAGTCATGCTTAACAAGTTCAAACAGTATTCGTTAACCATCATCGGGAAGGGAAGAAAGAAGGAAATTGCAACACGTTCACCATTGATTTCATTTTTACGAGCTCGCGGAGAGTTTCAATAATAGTTTGTTGTTTCATTTCATTTGTTTTGAGAGGGCTGAGATGCTTCCCGAGCGCCCAGACCGAAGCAGGTGTTTTTCCTAAGGGACCACCCTCGGAGCCTTTGACTTGGAGTCTAATCCGCAGGACAGCGGAGCAGCGTCAGGAGCTGCATTCCCATGGTTTCCGGTGACCATATGGGTTCATACACCATTTGATCCGATTGGATTCTGGAGCCCATGTAACCCATGGTATCTGCTTCTAGTTTAACCGGCTATCCAAACAACCTTCCTGACATGGTAGGACTTGCAGGGACATGAATCCCAGCCAGTTTGGCTTGTCACTGCGGTATTCAAGCCCGATCACCACGTCAAGGTAGCAGTTGTCGGCCGGGACTGTGTAAAGACATTGTTTAAAAGAGTTGAAACACACTGTAGCACTACTCCTGTGTTGAAGAGAAAAGATAAATGGAGGCTCAGTGGTTAGGACTTTCGCTGACCACGCACATGGTACGAGGTTCGATCCCTGCCGACGCACACCGGATATCTATGGCTGGCCTGCAAAATTTGGGCTACCTATATCACATGCTGAAAATTCCATACTTGTACCAAAAATACAGTGTGTAATCAAGTTGTAATCAAAACAAAAAAATAATAAAATAAAATAAAAATAAGCGTCTTCAAAGTAAATGGATGTCTTCACAATTTCATTAACAGTGTTTACACTCGAGTGAGTCATAACATCAGCAACAAGCTAACACTAAAGATCACAAGAAAACTCATCATACCATATATATATATATATATATATATATATAAGTCTCTCCGAAATAACAGCTAAAAGACAAGCCAGCCAGTACAATCACTTCATTCGATATTGTTTAAGCCAAAAGATTAGAAAGCTTCGCAATTAAATCAACCAACTCAGTAAACACAAATAATTCAATATTTAACATGATGAGCACCAAGGGATTAGTTGAATAGTCAGTCATGACCACTGCTCATAAGTTTTACGGGCGTGTGTAACTATATTCTTAGATTAGGCTGTGTACCTTATGTCATTCTGCCTAATACTAGTGTTTTACGCTTTGATTCGGCAGTGAAGGTATGATTTTTCATTGATGGATACTGGGTACTTCTTCCGCACTCTAGGATAAAACTCAGCTATATAGCACTACAACAGTTGCAGATAACGGTATAGTGGGATGAGTCATGAAGGCAGCTGTATGAATCTAATATAACATGGTGGAAGAAGGGGCTGATAACCAAAGGTTTAATTATCGAAACAACTGGAAGTGCGTGTAAAAGGAATGATTGAGCATCTGGGGAACTATCAAAAACTTAGTATTGATATATGATTGTGAATATTAAATTATTTTAGAAACTCCATCCAGTAAATGATAATGTTGTTTCACTGTTTGATATTCTCCAATGAACCAGTTAATATGGGATTCCATTACCACACATGTATAAAGCTTTTTCCTTATTTTCTTATTGCCTAAATATTCCATCTTCACTCAGTCTCAATAAAATATTGTATTGATTATTCGTGATAACTTCACCAGGAAAATATTAAGGCTATCACAAAACATGTGAAACATAAGCGGTGTCTAGTGAACTTGTTATTCTAAAACAACAAGTATTCAATACATCTTCAGTGCATCGGTGGCACAGCGGTTAGGACGCTCGCCGACCATGCACATGGTCCGGGGTTCGATCCCCGGCCACCGACATACTCCTTTACCTCGCTAAGCCAGTATTGATTCTGGTAAAGCGGAAAGGTTGGGCATGAGGCTAGCAACCTCATCCTGTAAAATAAACACTGCTACAGAAACGTCAAGCCAATAGCTTGGAACCCTATGTTCCACTGGTGAACGTGAAGGAAAAATAATTCAATACATCTTCAGTTCCATGGTTGTTCTACTGTTCTATTTCTTACTCTTTAGCTCTGTTGTGTATATGTACAGATGCTTTATATTGTCAAGTTGTGTTTATCCTAGTGACATATTCCTAAAAATTATTTTTGTCTCTTATAATAACAACTTTAATTAGTGGAGGTAAAGATTGGAAGTCCATGAACAGATTCAACATAATTGTTCCGTCGCATTTTGTGGAAGAGTATGCTTTCTAATCTGAAACTTCAGCGTGTATATATATATATATATATATATATATATATATATATATATACTACGTAGAACTGTGGTGGTAAATGTAATAGTTGAGTGTGTTATTGGATTAGTGTAACTTTCCTGATCTTGTGGAATTTTTCATTTGATTTCTTATTAGTCACTGGTTTATTGGTTTGATGGTCTTTTCAGTTAATTCTTTCTCTTGATGAAAGACTGTTATTAACTGTGTCTGATTTCGAGGTACATATAAGCGTGTAATGAATGAGCAAGGGGAGTGAGAAGACAGCAATGCGTTGGATCGGTAAGAGGACTCTAGAAAATCTGGATTTCGCGTGTGGATGATTTAAGTTTAATGTCATACTAACTGGAATACTTGCAGGTGAAAACCAAAAAACTGGCTGAAGAGGCAGGCAGTGAAGACAGGATTCCAGGGAACATCTGGTCTGGATTCAACATAGAACTTGGCACCGAAGTGCAGCAGTTCGAGTTGCCACGTTCCAAATAGCACACAGAGGTAGACAAGAAGATGAGTGGAGAGAATTAATAGAGTTTGACAAATATAGGAGTGAAACAGAATGGGTTATGGTAGAAAGGAATATGAAAGATTACAGAGATTGAATACATCTGCGCCATTGACAACGATTTTGAGCCATGTTACCTATTGTCTCCAGCCATTGATTCCTAGAGTCCCGAGGGCCCCAACCCGGGAGTCTGCATCTCCCTACCTGACTCAGTTTAACTGTCAAGGATTTCATGGATTGATGCCATGTTTTTGTTTGGCCACCACTGGCTCTTTTCCAACCTTCACCTATATCAGCTAACAATGCCCGTCGGGGGAGGCGGTGGTTAGGCATGCGCACCACGTGACCTAGCCATCTTAGTCTATGTAACTTTATAACCTCGTCGATTGATTTTCCCTCTTTGCCCAACACTCTACGCCTAACGTCAACATTACTTACCTTGTGAAACCACCTAACGTGAGACAGAGATCGCAGACATCTATGATCGAAAGCACTCAACCTTTTCATGTCTTCAACGCGTATTGGCCATGTTTCAGAGCCATAGAGAAGGACGGAGCGAACTGATGAGCAGTACACACGTCCCTTGGTTGATAACCGGATGTCACGCCTACGCCAGAGATGGTGTAGGTCAGCGAAAGCAGCTCGAGCTTTTCGGATCCGTGCTGAGATTTCATCGCCAATCAGTCCGTTGGTGCTAATACAACTTCCCAAGTAGGTGAAGTGGTCAACATGTTCTATCACTTCACTCCCTATCACTAAGTTAGGGGTTGACGTCGTCCAGTCCTGTAGCAGCATCTTACAGGGGAACATATAGAAGACGGAGGTGATGGAGATAACCAGCCAATAACAACAGCACCATTCACCATCAACGAGAGAGATTTGACAGAGGTTACTTCTTGCCTTCACTTATCTAGGAAGCACAGTTTCAACCATAGGTGGAACAGATGAAGATGTCAAAGATAATAATAATAATAAAAATAATAATAAGCGTGTTAGAAATATAAGCCATATCTACTTTGTGAACATTAAAGTAACTATTTAAATTCGATAAATTTAGTTGAAAAGAATCAAATTGTAATTCTCTATTGGCTATCATCTGACTTTCGTTTTATTTTCCTTTTCATTCATAGAAATGGAGTCAAATGGCTTTATGGAATTCAACATCCCATTTACACTTTCTGGACAGTTCCACTGGGGCAGATCAATTATCGAAACCAAATTTAACAGATCAGATAATTTCAGATATTGACCAATTGTCTGGTGATACAGATATAAGCGATGATTATGATGATGACTGTCTAGAAGATGACATATACCATTCATTTCCTGGTCCATTAATTAATGATTCAGTGTGCTCTTTTGTTGCAACTCAAAAAATGTTCGTTGACCAACATTGGTATCATTGTTTCACGTGTAATTTACAAGAATCGCATGGTGTCTGTTCCATCTGTGCTAAAGTATGCCATTTAGGGCATGATTTAAGTTATGCCAAATATAGTGGATTCTTTTGTGATTGTGGTGCTGGTCAACACGGTGATTCAGTTTGTCAGGCTATAACACCAAGAATTGTGTTGAATAAAGATGCATTACCTGATAGTACTATGCATCAGGGTGATGATATATTTTTACAATGTATGAATAAGAATGAATTGAATTATTATCTACCGTGGTTAACAGGTAAATTTGTTTTTCCTTAAATATATTTAATTTACTATCTGAGTAATCGCCATTATCTTTCTCTTTTATGTAATTTCAATGGTGCTTGTTTCTTTTAAGGATGTTTTTTTCTTGTTTGAAACTAAGATGTATTTAAAAGCTATTAACAAGTCACTTTTCAGTTATGTCAAAACAATAATAGTAATAATAGGTTCATTATAGATTGTACTTTTGTCTTGTGGTATAGAATCATCACCTTTGCATATATTCACACTCTCTAGGTGAAATAATAATGAAAGGTGTATTATTCACTGTAATAGTGTAATAATAATAATATCAATGAGATGCTCACTAACGACTTTCCCTATTCAGCTGGGTAGTTACCTGGGCTACTAGTGAGAAGTCGTGACCATTAGGGTGCAGCAGGTTGGGTGTGAGGACAAATACTTGCGAAGACATTGGCTAGGGGTCGCGCTATGTCGTGAATTGACAGAAGTTAGAATTCATGAGCCAGTGGATCGGGTCCCAGTGGCTTAATAGTCTACGAGCTGGCTCGCCTTGTAACCAGAAGGTCCTCGGTTCGAATCCTGGCGGTTAGTGTGTACAGATGAAGAGTCACAATCTAGGACGAAACAGCTGTCCAGTACACCCAGGTTTTCCAATGGTTCTCTAACTGATGTCAGCTCACGATGAAATCCTGTAACCAATCAAATCCCTACAAACCAACACTTGAATAATATTGTTCAATTTGAAGCATGTTGCCATCTCTATGTTTATTGTATCATTTTCCCCGAATATTACGTAGCAACAAATATCTAACTAATCGGCATCAGGCTTAGCAGACTGTGTGAGTATCGGCGTGAAATTTTTGATTTTGTTGTTCAAAGTTAGTCTACTGTGCATTATAGCAATCCTTATCCTGGTTGATGGTGACTAGGACTGAGATCCAAGGTGTATATCTCCTCCTATTCGGGAGTCGCCAGTTGGATGTGCCTGCAATTCTCAGTTTATGATAATATTCCAACGAAGACTAGATCCCAGTGTTACGTATGCCAAGCCATCGCCTCCCTCGACGAGCAATGTTAGCGGATATAGGGTCAGGCTAGAAAAAAGCTAGCGGAGGTCAAACAAAAACATGACTTCACCAGTCAATGAAATCCACAACAGTTAGTCTAAGTCAGTCACGTAGGAAGGTGTAGACTTCCTGACTGGTTGGGGTCATCGGGACGGTAAAAACCAATGGTTGGAAACAATTGGTGACATAGCTCAAAATCGTCGTTCTCAATGGCTGGCGCAGATGCATCCACTCCTTGCGACTTATGATCTCCAATGAAACTGTTTTGTTTTTCTTTATTACTCCTTTGTCTCACACCTCTGCTCACTGTTTCTATTATGCTTTTCTTGTACTTTCTTCTCTTGCTTCGCGTGCTACACGGAGTGTGGCGACTTGAAATTCCGCACATTTGTGCAAAGTTCTATGTCGAAAACAGACAGACAGATCCCAGTACCCTTCGTTTTAAACGTCAAAGTCTTATCTACTAGACCACCTGTGGTACAACGAGGATAAGTTTGTTTTAGAAAATTGACTCAAACAAATCAATAACTTGTCACAATAATCTCTTCATTCATCTGTACTAGTTACTCATACCAATAACGAGTAGTTTCATAATTGCTTAGCAGTCATTCTTTGGTTTTATTCAGTCCAAGTTTAATGTGCTTTTAATTTGTGGATGGTGACTGGCAGTGGAATCGAGGATGTGCATTTTGTCCTATTAGGGACCCGTCATCTGGATGTACCTGCATTCCTCAGTGAGTGATGATGTTCCCACCGAGTCTCGAACCCAGTACCCATAGTTTCAAACGTCAAAGCGTTATCCAATAGATCACTTGGGCCATGAGAGCCACCTCTTATGCAACGGGTCATATTAATTTTATTGAACATTTTAGATTTTTCCCGTCGATTGTTTGGACGTAATAGGACGAAATGCGCATCCCGGATATTCCATTGGTAGTCATCATCCACAAATTAAATTCTAATTAAGTTCCCAGACATCGTCGAAGCATCTGCACAAGAAGCCGACACATCAACCTTGTGTGCACTTCGGTCCAATCAATTGACGGGACAATCTAAAAGTCCATTTAAATTATTGTTTTCGTTTTCTTCTTCAGATATAAGTGAACAAAGTATGCACATGATAGTTTAGAGTAATCTATTAGTTATTACTATACTTTACTCTTACTACGTAATATTCAATTAGAAGACGATAAGTTGGTTATTTTGTCGTGGACTCCTCCCACACATTCTTTGAATGCCAAGATGTGCACGTTTGTACTTGATGTTTTCCAGGATAAAGAAATACCTCATCTACAGTTCCGTCTAGTGTGTGTATTCAGTACACACATTTATGTTTCACAGCTAGTCTTTTTTAAAGTTTACTTACGTGTTATTCAGACGCGTTAATAGTGAACGCTTTTTGCGTGTTTTATGCCACTTTAGCAAGTCAATTTGTTTTTATTTTTTGGCTACTCTAGATGGATATCAACCATTCATCTCACCGCCTACTTTATCCAAAGAGTTATCCTATCCGTGCAACCGTTCATCAGTTGTTACTGTTGATGACCATCGTTCCAATGGAGTATCAGCGGTCGAAACACAAGCTTCTAAATTAGTCAAACGGCGTCGTAAAGAATCTTTACAGTGTAGCGAAACACGAGATAATAAGACAGGTTTGTGATTATAATTCATTCATTTATTCTTTCTATCTTAATGATACTTTTGTTGCCTTGGTCTATTGGTTAATAGTGTAACAACAGAAGACAAGGGCCAGGCAACAGATCGTTTTATTAAAAACTTTAATTCAAATTAAAGCTTTTAAAACTTTGCAAAAGTCTGTTTTTTCAATAGGAGTTATATTATGTTGTACTAACGTTATCACAACCTAAGGTACAGATAGACTAATGAACAGTCCCAAACTAGGCTTACGAAATAGCTGTCTGTCCAGTATTCCCAGCTGGTTTTCCAATGGTCATACAGTTTCCGGTGAGAAATCAGGACAGTTTTCTTTGGAAACCAAAAATATTTGGTATTTTTTCCCGGTGACTTGTGCCTTGGAACTACTGTGTGATCTGAAAATGGTGTCAGTAACTGGCCAGTATTTGGACGATTAAAACTCGTTCGGCTCTCTGAACTGAGTCGAATCAGGCGTGCAATTGGTAAGCCCTGTCCGAGATAGACTATCTGGTGTGTCGACCTTTTCGATCTGAGTAGCACGCGCCATTGTTTGACGTCAGTGTTCTCCATCTACCGATATCAGTGGATAAGTAATCCATTCAGTGCTGCTTCACATAACTTTTAATTGTAACACTGATCCACACTTATATTATTTGCCATCTGATTATCAAATGAGTCATTTAATTTTTTCTTAACAGTTTAAAGAATAATAACTTCTTAAGTAAAGTTAAAACCTTACATTGAGCTGTGCAACACATGAAATATAATGTTTATATATTTATAATAACTATTACGTTTTAGTGTCTCGTCAACGTTCGCTTCCTAACGTCACTAATGCTGGAAGCAGTCAACCTGTGTCATCGGATGCTGTGTTAAATACGAATGCAAATCAAACAACTAATCAAATTAATTCACGCTCGTTATGGTGTCCAGGAGTTTCTGACACTAATACAGATTCATTACCACGTTTTCCGTTAAGTCATCAAGCAACTTCATCTACTTCTAATCGTTCTAATACTCTTAGACGAACTGGTGCAGTTCGTTTACGTAAAATCTCTTCAGATGTTCATTCGAATACAGGTATACTGAAAACTCTTCAAATGAATCAACAGCAAACTAAACTATCGATTGCTCAACATCATCGACCAAATCAGCAGGATATGCTGTCTACTAATCAATATTCTTACAATACAGATAATCTGCCATGTAAACCTAGTGTTGTTGTTCCAACGTCTTTGACAATGACAACGACGGCATCCCACCAGGAGGATTATAAACCTGAAAGTAAACGAATACGAAATATACATCATTTTCTCAATCTGTTTGATAAATATAACTGTCATGCTGCAACAGTGATGCCAACTGCTACCAAAGGAAAACGTAAATATTCTAAACATGCAACGACAACAACAGGTGATGATAATAATGATGAAGCGGATCTGTTGCAAGCAAATGTTCATCGTTTTCAGTATTGTCAATTAGTACCTAACGAAGCGAAATTGATTGAATTTATGCGTAATCAAGTGAGTACAGGCTTATTATTATTACTACGTTTTTTTCGCATTATAAAATATTTTGTTGCATTTGGTTGACATTGAAAATGGAAATGTGGATGCATCAGATATATGGTCCCACAATTATGCAAAGAATATCACACAGCTGTTGGTATATTTTAAGACTTGTGGTTTTTTTCTCATTCCATCGTGTTACGGGCAGGACACATTACTTTGAAGTTTCAGAAGCACCTGTGCTGTCTTCACGGGATAGGGTTGCCAACATGACGCCCAACCTTCCCTCTTTACCAGATTTACTACCGCTTCACTGGATTTCAGGGGTGCGTCGGCGTGGAACGAAACCCAATATGATATATGTGGCTGGTTGGGATTCTCCCCCTAAACCACCGAAGCATCATTTCATTTATGATAATTGACATTATTATGATATTAGATAGTTAGAGGCAATCGGCAGGAAGCCTTGGACCTAGGTTTGTGCTTGTTGGCACGCGTCAGCAAGGCGTATCTGCAACTTATGTCTGCACCAAAGAAAGGACTAGACACGTCGCACTAGTTACTAGTGTCCAATCAAAATGAACCCTTTTTATTCGTGCAGAGTTTTTCGGATGACGAAATATCACACAAGTAGAGTTATTCATATATCGCCAATGAAATTGTGTGTATGTCTGTGTGCGTATGTGTATGTGCTGTTTAACTTCGCTACATCATCACATTTTTTATTGTTATAGTCTTGTCATTTCATTTTATCTTCTTTGTTATTTTTGTACAGATTGATTCGGATGAAACTGGTTCATGTCGTTCCAAGCTGATGATGATGTTGTGTACTAGTGATGTAGTCTCACAAGCGGCTGAAATTTTAATGGGATTCAGTAAACCTGACACTAAAAGTAGGTTGTTCAAAAGATTATCTTCTGTTACCCCCTAAGTTATTATTATCATCATTATTTTACCTACATCTTCATACCATCTAAAAGAGTTTTCTTTACTTCACGTTCCTCAGTGGAACATAGGGCTTCAAGCTAGTGGCTTGAAGTTTCTGTAGCAGTGTTTATTCTATAGGATGGGGGTTGTTAGCCTCATGCCCAACCTTTCCTCTTTACCAGCATCATTTCTGACTTAGCGAGGTAAAGGAGTGTGTCGGTGGCCGGGGATCGAACCCCGGACCATGTGCATGGTCGGCGAGCGTCTTAATCGCTATGCCACCGACGCACATCTGAAAGAGTTACTGTTATATAAACATAACACAGTCCGTAACTGTATAATTTAATGAAGCTATGTGGTTTAATAAGACTTCAGTGCGACATTTAATTATCTAAATAATTATCAGTTACTAGCACAAATGAAAGATAAATGATGCATGAGTGATCATAATTATTCGTGTCTATTCGATATCACTCCGATGTTCTGTTAGATGTGTTGTTTCACATTCTCGAGGGGGGGGGGGAATGTCACCTCTCATCGGGATGCAAGCACATATCTAAATGATGTGCTTTCAATAGGGGGCAAGACACACACCTCCATGCATCTTTGCATTCTACTGCCTACTAGCTAGGCTCAAACAAATATTGTAATATCCAAGTTGATAAGTATTCAATGTAGATTGTAATCTTTTCCCCACCTGTTATGATTCTAATTGACCTAAAGCATTGCAATTTCTATTCCGTTGTCTCTATTCACATTGTATAAACGACAATCGATGATCAGAGGTTTGGAGAGATTAGACCTGTCTGTATTTCGTGTATTTCTCTCTCACTGTGTATATATATGTATGTATGTATGCATGTGTATGTCATTGTTTTCTTTTATCTCCTACAATCAAAAAGGTTTACTCAGTCACCTGATGAACTGTTCAACTGTAAGTGAAATCGAATTCACTGGAAAATCTCGTCTTGATAAATTAAATGAAATGCTTTCAAGTGAACGAAACACTACTCCAACCATTCATATGTGTTCTAATATTACGGTAAGTAAGCCTTGAATTATTATCACTATTATTATTACTATTATTTGCACGTCTGTTCTAAAATTGAATCACTGTTTTTATTCTCTGAATGTTTCTGTCTATTCAGCGTTTGGTATTGTAGCGTCTTGCATAAATGGTCTTCTTCATTTTCTGATAGCTGAATCCTTTTTCCTCTCTCTCTCTCTCTTTATTGGTGACACTTTTGTTTATTGATTTGAGCACTTTAGTTTCGACCAATGAGATCTCAGATACGTAGGCGAATCACTTAACACTTTCAATTGGGTAAACAGGTCACCGATCCTAATATCGATTGGGAGGTATTAAGACAATGTTTGACCGTGAAGGGGATGCTGAGAAAGTACATTGCACTGATCAATGTATTACTCGAACTCATGCAGCTGTTTAAGAGTTTACGGAGAATTGTTACTTGAAGTGTTGGCAAGCAATGCTTTCTGCCAGGGATGTCCACTGTCCCCATTTCTGTTTAATTTCATTTTAGATGTACTAATAGAATTCACTCATTTGGAGAGGTGCATCAGCCCTAATTGGACTGATTGCTAGTGAAACCTCAACACAGAGGGCTCATCTGGCATTTGCCAGTCGATATTGTCTCTGGCGTTCGTAGATGTGGTATCTGGCTAACTATCGTCCAATGACATGGATGGTATACACCAGTTGGTTATGGTTATGATACATGACCACTGAAAGTGAATGATGTGAAAAGGCAAACTGCCTTCGACTACAGATGTTCGCGTTCTCTCTCTCTCGTGTTAAGCTTCTCAATAACATCAGGGGGAATATCGAGATTACCAGTCAAGTGTTAGTTAAGGAAGGAAAGTCAATCGATTAGGTTGTGAGGCTACATCAACATGTGTTGTACATTCTGAGCTACCTCCTCCCGTCGTTGAGAAATGTTAGATGACATAGGATTTGGTTGGAAAAAAGTCAGAGTGGTTATATCAAAACATAGCAGCAATCATTGAAGTGTCTGACAGTTAGTTTTAGGTAGCCAGGCATGGAGGTGAAGATTGTCTGGTGGGGGTAGGGGTCCTCAAGATGCCTTTGTAAGTTTGTTACCTGTTCTATTTCAGACAGTTCATTCCAATATAAATTATTCAGTCAAATAAAAGGTTGGATTTCTTCTATTTCAAGTTTTAATTAACTTACTCTTAAATTAAATAATCTAATAATGTGTAGGATAAAGTTATTTGTTAATTAAATTTTAGCATAATATATGACTTTAGTGGGATCAACCATTGGGATTCAGTGGAATGAACTTTATTTTGGAAGAGATTATTAGACACCATGTGATGTGAAAAAAGAATCCCACATCAATGTCATTTCTTGGTTTTCGACAGAGCATCGCACCATTGTTGAAATTCTACACGTGATACAGATTTTGTTTCATATGTGTTTAAGCAATGTTAGTGATGAGATTTTTTAGTTTATTTAATCAAGACTGTTAAATTGGTGGATTTTTTAATATATTTTTTTGTGTTGTTGATTAAACAGACTCCAGTACCAGCTATGCCAACAAAAACAAGGTCATTATGGCGAAATATTTTTATTGCTGGTCGTCAAATATTTCGTTCTAAATCTCCTTATTCTACTTGTGATATAAATGAATATTTAATGCGTTACTCATCTACTGATCGCTTGTCAAGAACGTGTGATGAGGCGGATCATGGTGTCGTTACTAAATCGATTCAGTCAAGTACAAGTACCCGTCATACACCTACGTCAACTGATCATATATCATATTCAGTTGTATCTCCTGGGAGAATTGTAGTCCACTCATTATCGGATAATTCAAATAGTGGAGTGTCATCATGTTTTTCTCCTTCGTCACTGTCAACAACTCCTCCTATTGACGCTATAGTTTCTCTGCCTGCATTATCTATGTCTACTGCAAGCAATGCGTCACGTGGGACATCGTCATCCTCTAATCCTGTTTTGCTTATTCAAGCACTAGCTAGTATTTTTGCTAGTACAGACAGTTCAAATACTGGTGGCGGTTTATTTTTGTCTGGTGGAAATACATCTGCAACACCTGATGCAAATGGAACCGCTGTCTCTTTTCTACCGTCTAATGCAGCCTTATCATTAAGAGAATTATTTGGACCGCGTATGTCCAACAATATGTCTTCATCTACCGCTCCTGTTGCAGCCAAAACTAGTTCTTCTGTTACTGGAGCTGCTGCATCCAGTGGAGCTACTACATGTGTTGTTCGTGTACCATGTCCAGGACAATCCAAATGTTCTTACTTTTTGGTAGTAACTAACACAGGACCGAAGTCAGTGGTTGCTGGGTCGGATACAGGCGCAAACACACAACAACAACCAGTGCTTCAGATACCCTAAAAGGTTCACGATCACCATTTGGTCACCGTGGATTAATGACCATCTACTGTTTGGATAAGCTTTTAATAAAATTAGCAGATAAACAAGACCGAAGTTTAAAGGAAATTGCCAAGTTAAGAGCTATCACAGCTTTACTTCAATCAAGACATGATGAATCAATAATTGGGTCTGACAACGAAACCAATGGTAAGAACATCAAATGATATTTTTATAATTATTCTGTTTGAAAAAGCTAGAGATTGAGCGAAGAAATATGTATTCCTCTTCAATTAGTTCCTCGTCATCGGCTGGCTCTACACTAATAAATAGTTTTTTACATCAAAAGTTTCTAACAATCAAGTGGTTATTTTAGTTAATCAGTTTTAGGTATAGGCGGGGGTGAAATTAAGAGGTTAAAGGTCATCAAAACAAATAACTAATGAATGTTAGTAACAAGGTAGGTATCTGAGTTTTGAAGATGGGGTGAAAATTAATTGTGAATTCAAGACAAATTGATTCTGTTTATGTACTAAGTTTTTAAAAACGATTCCTCACCCCTTTCTTGTTACTATCTTTTGACTTTGTTATTTTTTACAATTCTAGCTAATTCTATTACCTTTTTGTATTTTACTTAATTCTTCTGAGTCATCCTATTCTTCTTAGTCATCACTGCTATTTTACAGATGTCTTGATTATGCAATAACTTGTTTCCAACGCCTAAGAATCAACTTATCTCTAATTCCGTAATTAATTTTCACCCCTGCTTCAAAACCTAGATATCTTGCTACTAACATCTATTAGTTATTTAAGTGTTGGCTTGTAGGGATTTGATTGGTTACAGGATTTCATCATGAGTTGACATTGGTTGGAGAACCATTGGAAAACCTGAGAGTACTGAACGGCTGTTTCATCCTAGTTTGGGACTCTTCATCAGTACACACCGACCGGGATTCGAACCCAGGACCTTCTGGTTACAAGGCGAGCTCGTAGACCATTAAGCCACTGGGACCCAATCCAGTGGCCAGCCCATGAATTCTAACTTCTGTCAATTCACGACATAGCTCGACCACTAACCAATGTCTTCAATGAATAATTGTCCTCACACCCGATCTGCTGCACCCTAATGGTCACGACTTCTCACTAGAACTCCAGGTAACTAACTACCTACCTGAATAGGACCAGTCGCCAGTGAGCATCTCACCGATATTAGTTATTCGTTTTGATGACCTTTAACCTCTTAATTTCATCCCCGCCTATACTTAAAACTGATTAACTAAAGTAACCACTTGATTGGTAGAAAGTTTTGATGTAAAAAAAACTACATATTAGTGTAGAGCCGGCCGATGATGAGGAACTAATTGAAGAGGAATGCGTGTTTCTTTGCTCAATCTGTTATTTTTTTCTGAATGCGCATAAGTGGGAATTTGGATATTCTGTTTGAGTTGGTCCATGTTTCATGTATCAGTAATTTATTTGTCATTCGTTTAATAGTATCATTTCAGATCCACTAAATAATTTTTGCTATTTTCGAATATTTATTTGACAATTTTCTTTAAAATATTTGGGAAGGCAATACGAAACATCTTTCAGATGTTTCGTATGTTTCGTAGATGTTCGACAGCTGTGCTCGGGAAGCACAAACACGAGAGAGCCAGGCAGGCTTTAGACCAGGAAGAGGGTGTATTGATCATATCTTCACCCTCCGACAGATTCTAGAACATAGGAATTCCTACCGGCGTCCAACAGTCATTATATTTCTTGACCTAAAGGCAGCATTCGACTCTGTTGATCGGGAAGTTCTCTGGAGATGCTTGGCTGTAAAGGGAATTCCAAGAAAATATATTGCACTGATTAAGGCACTCTACTCGTACTCATACAGCCAGGTGAGGGCTTACGGCGAGCTGTCATCTGAACTGATGACGACCAGTGGTGTCCGTCAAGGATGCCCATTATCTCCTTTTCTATTCAACTTCATCATAGATGTGTTAATGGACTTAACCCTAGGTGACTTCAGCGACTCAGGGATTGACTTGCTACCTGGGAATAATCTCGTTGACTTGGAATATGCAGACGATATAGTCCTTCTAGGCGAAGACGCTGACGAAATGCAGAGTCTTCTAAACACCTTGAGCCGCAATCTACGAATGTTTGGCATGCGATTCGCTCCCGCCAAATGCAAGATGATGTTACAGGACTGGACTACATCGACGCCTAGTTTAAAAATAGGAAGTGAAGTGGTAGAGCACGTTGACCGCTTCACTTATTTGGGAAGTACCATCAGCCAGTGCCAACGGGTTGATCTCTGACGAAGTCTCAGCACGAATACAAGGGGCTCGTTTCGCATTTGTTAGTTTACGCCGACTCTGGCGTAGACGAGATGTTCGACTATCGACCAAAGGGCGGGTGTACTGCTCATCAGTCCGCTCCGTCCTCCTTTATGGCTGTGAGACCTGGCCACTGAGACTGGAAGACATGAAAAGACTAGTTGACTTTGATCATAGGTGCCTGCGCTCTATTTCCCGTGTAAAGTGGCATAATAAGGTGAGCAACATGGAGGTTAGGCGTCGAGTTCTAGGTAAACAGGGGAAATCAATTGACGAAGTCGTGAAGCTACAAAAACTGGGATGGTTAGGACATGTGTTACGTATGCCAAGCCATCGCCTCCCTCGACGAGCTATGTTAGCGGATATAGGGTCAGGCTGGAAAAGAGCTAGCAGTGGTCAAACAAAAACATGACTCACCAGTCAATGAAATCCACAACAGTTGGTCTAAGCCACGTAGGAAGGTGTAGACTTCGTGGGTGGGGTCCTCGGGACGGTAAAAATCTATGGTTGGAAACAATTGGTGACATGGCTCAAAATCGTTCTCAGTGGCGCAGATGCATCCACTCCCTGTGACTTATGATCTCAATGAAACTGTTTTGTATTTCTTTATTCTCCTTTGTCTCACACCTCTGCTCACTGTTTCTATTATGCTTTTCTTGTACTTTCTTCTCTTGCTTCGCGTGCTACACGGGATGTGGCGACTTGAACTGGCGCACATTTGTGCAAAGTTCTATGTCGAAAACAGACAGACAGAAACATCTGAAAATGTATATATTTTTTTCGAGGTTAAATGTTAGAAAGTTAGAAAGGTATTCGAAAGTGATTGTATCTTGTTTGATATTTTGTTGATGTGTTTATCACTGATTCACTTCACACGAAGTGTATTCATGGTAGAAAATCAAGTTCATTTGTACTTTACGTTTTTAAACAATAATATTACTTATTTGCAGCTTGTAAAATGTGACTAATAAAGCGAAATACAACGCATGTGTTCAGATGTGTACTTGCTACAGTTTCTTTTGTGAAACTAATTGTTATACACGTACTCCATTCGTGTGGAGACCACACACTGACTTTTCTCACTATAAGGTCGATAATCTAACACAAAAATTTATTTATTCTGAATTGTTTATCTAAGTGAAGAAAACTTTTTGTTCGATTAAGAAGACTGGCACTCTGTGTATAGTTGTAACCGGTTTCAAGACGTAATATCGTTAGTATCTATAGTTGGAGGCTGTCGCGACTACCGGATTAGTTTCTACACAACAGACGTCACCTTGAAGTGCATTTTTGAAGAATATTGTAACTAAATTTGGTAAAAAGGTGCTTAGATCGTGTTTAATATCTATGTAATAGTTTCTGGTTTCCTGGACCTTTACTTGCACTTAACCCTGCTGTTCATTCTTTCAATCTTAATTTATCCAAACTAATTTTCAAGTATTGGTTTTGTAGGGATTTTGTTTGATTGGTTGGTTACAGGATTACACCATCAGCTGAAATCACTTAGAGAACCATTTGAAAACCTGGGAGTACTGGACAGCTGTTTCGTCCTGGTTTAGAATGAAATGTTCTCTCTATGTCATGAATTGGCAAAAGTTAGAATTCATGGGCCATCGGATCGGGTCTCAGCGGTTCGATGGTCTACGAGATAGCTCGCCTTGTAACCAGGAGGTCCTGGTTTCAAACCCCGGTGGTTGCTTGCTGATGAAGAGTCCCAAACTAGGACGAAACGACTGTCAATTAATCCCAGGTTATCCGGATTAGTTAATTTACGTTGAAATAGTTTCACCGTTTGTAAATTACACAGTTTGAGTTGTAATTATATCAAAATTTTCCTTTAAAAACTATTACCATGTCACCCGAGTGATTAACTTGAATTGGAGTGATTAGAACTGGTTCAGCTATTTGATCCTTAACCAAACCAGCTACATCACTGATGAACAACTGAGCCCCAATCGAGTATAGATCATTTCGATCTGGTCAGCTGATACACCTGTTTAATATGAGTGGTTACTATCTACTCATATCAACCAGTCAATCAGTAGTACATAAAATCTCGTATTTTTGGTTAATTTACACTTTTATCATGTTTTGAAACTCTGGAAGTATAGTACCTTTTTTATCTTTTTTTTAAAAAACAAAAAATATGTTTTACAGACCTTAAAAACTCACATCGGATTCATTTAGGGAAATCGACACTATCAATCCTACCTGAATTAGCCAAAACGTTGGATTCAATCGTTAATGAAATGAATTATAGCATGAAACAAGTTTCTGTTAATATTAATGATCTGCCTAAATCTAGTACTGCAGCTGCTGGTCTTCTTATCACAAGTATGACTGTTAATCCATCATGTCCATCTACATTTGTTATATGTGGTCTATGGGTAAGTATGCGTAAAATATAAAAATCTATTTGTACACTTGTCTTATTGTTTATTTTTCTATGCTATTGAAGGTTTATATATCAAAAGTGGTTATTAAAAATAAGGCAGATTTATGTTTATGAAATGATTTCATTGTTAAAGTGTGTTAAACTTTGTTGAATTGCTGTGGCAATACTTTTATTTTATACTTTTTTAAAGACATTTCCCCTAATTTATATTCCTATCATTAACATAATTGAATTTCATACATCATTTTGGGGTGGGGGGACTAGAGGGATAATTAGTTTTTTGAAGACTGTTTTTATTCAGTTTTTTTAATAATGTGTTTTATTGGATATAAACATTTCAGTTGACCAGTACTCGAGTACAGAACGCCGAATTTGTGCGAACGTTTTTTTATTGTTATTATTATTACTTAATACTAAATACTGGAGTGTGCTTGAGCTACAATGGAAGACTGTACGCCAGCCACACGAAAATCTCGGTTCGATTATCACGTAGTTTACTAGTCAGTTGCAAGCACGGTAAGAAGCTTCATTTCATTGCTTGTGTGAGGGCTAAGATACTGCCTGGCCGCCCAGACCGAAGCAGGTGGTTGTCTCAAGGGACCAACTCCAAACCTTTGACTTGGAGTCTATTCAGCAAGATAGGAGAGCAGCGTCTGGAGCTACTTTCCCATGGTTGCCAGTGGCCAACATACGTTCATACGTCATTTGATGCGATTGGATTCTGGAGCCCCGTGGTAACTGATTTTAGTGTAGCCGTTATCCAGACCACCTTCCTGATATCGTAGGACCTGGAGGAACATGCATTTCAGTCAGTTTAGCTTGTTGGGTCACAGTGGTATTCAGGCTCGGCCACCACGACAAGTTAGCAGTTGTCGGCCAGAAAGGGATGCTTGTGAGTCAGAATGGTGACCCCAGTCCGTAAAATTAACACTACCACTACTGAAAGTCCCGTGCTTGAAACCTTGTGTGTTTCTCTCGGGAAAGAAACTAACACTGCCTTAAATGCTCAGAATTAATTTGCTTCTCTGAGTTCAAACGGCGAAAAATAAATAAAGGGATGAAAAAATGAAGAGATTCTACTTCATGATTTATCTAAGTTATTCGGAAATAAAGCTTAGTTAACCGAGTACTTTCCATGTTTTTCCCCAGAAAATATTTCACGTACAATTTATCGTCTCAGATCATTTCGGGCTTCTTGCTAATATGAGGTTGTCTTTTTTGTTGTTGTTAAAATCTTTATATTATATTACAGGAATGTATTGTGATGAGTCTGTCATCTGTGGGTCAAGTATGTGGACGTATTTCAGTGACACCGGTGGTAGGAACAAGACGAGAGCAAATTATCAAAGCTTTTTGGTTGCCTAATTCCATCAAGCTAATGGCTATACTTACTGATCAATCTGTTCAAGTGAGGAAATTATTATTTTCTTAAAATTATTGTCATTTGCTCATAAGAGCAAAATATAAGTGGTGAATGCTTTTACTAGCATATTTATTACTGTGATGATTACTCTATCGCTTTGAATCATTGGATATCTCAGAATAATTGAAAAATAGTGGTGTATGGGGAATTTGTTCGATTGAGCTGTTGAGTAGTTGTCCATTGGCTATTTAATTTTATGTTTTTCTTGTCAATATCCAGGGGGTCCTCATATCCATATCTCATGGTATGTTGTGGATGTTGTATGCAACTGACAGCTTTCTTCATTTCAATATGGAAAACATCCCCATATAGACATTTAGAAAACAGAATGATTGAGCGGAGAAATATTTACTTTTCAATTAGATCCTCATCTCTGGCTCTACTCTAATATATGTAGCATTTTTATTACAATACACAACAGTTTGCCAATCAAGTGGCGATAAGTTTGTTAACAATAATTAAACAGTGTCAAAATGTCAATGGGTTAATAATTAACGAAGAAAATCAATACACATTTAAAGGGTAGAAATGGTTAGAATAAATTAATTTACATGGATAACATTAAAATTAAATTAAAGATGAAGTGGTCAGAATAAATAAAAAATAAAATAATTTGGACAGTTATATTTTTATAATTTTAAAGGTTTAGGGGGGGCGAAGTAGTTCGGTTTATACATTCATTTAACGATGGCCAAGGCAAGGAAAGCGGTTGTACAAATTTCTTCTGAACACATAGGCTTGGCTTCTTCAGGTGGACTCCTATTGCTTCAGCTGTCTGTAGAAGATGAACTTGCAGAGCAAAATTAAGATGAGTAGGAATGCGATAAATAATTTTAACTGCTGTATTAACATCAACCTTATGCTCACTATCTACAAGGTGGGCTAAAATAGAGCTACGAATAGATCTTGTTAGTCCCTTGCTTAACCATGTTGGATGATATTCGGAAATACGATGACGTACACCCAGTGTAGCTGGCTCCGCAGCTGCAGTCTAATTGGTAGATACACGTAGAAGAGGCAAATTTAGGTAGTTTATCCTTATTTCTCGAACGTACCTCTGCTGCATAATAAGCTATTTTAACTGCATTCTTCAGGCGCTGTGCTATTTTTTTTCGCTGATGTTGTCACCAAGGTACTGTAGTTTTATGAACTGTGGCCATACTGACTCTCCTTGGTGCTGAATTCATATTTTTCTCAATGAATTTAACTGAACAACTATTTTTTCTAATTAATTCTCTAATAATCTTAAGTTCCTCATTGAGACAGTCGTCTGAACAGACTGACCTATCTCTATGAACCAGACACTTTAACAGGTTACCTTTATATTTCAAAGGTACAAAACTAAAAAAATCAGTGTACTGACCTGTTGTTGTAGTTTTCCTATACACAATCCTTCTTAGTGCGACATATTCTTTCCTTGCCATGAAGACGTCTAGGAATGAGATACTGTCATTACTTTCTTTCTCTATAGTAAAGTTTATTGCTGAATGTGCTTCATTAAACTTGTCATTGCATCATTCTTCTGTCTCATAATCAGAAATGTATCATCCATATATCGACAGTAGAAATCCAAGTCATTAATTACTCCTTTCAGTGGTCCATTCTCTAGCTTGGCGAGGAAAAAATCAGCTAGGATTGTACCTAATGGGGAACCAATAGTTACACCAATTTGTTTGTAATATTCCTTATTGAATAAAAAATGAACATTCATTGTACATCTTAAAATAAATTCCTTCAAGGTGGATACAGCTTCTTGGTTACCAGTAGTTCTGACACTAATATTGATTGATCATAAATTTTTTCTATTTTTGGAAATAATGCTGTTTCCTTTTTCGCATTCATATGAAGCCTAATAATATGCTTTTCTGTCATTTGAGTGTATATTCCATTCAAACTGAAGGCTTTATTCGGTTGAAACATACCCTATATCTTCTCCTTTCATTAATATTATTATTATTATTGATTTTAGATATTCGATATATTTGATAATCCAAATAAACCGAAATATCATTTTAAACCAGTTGATGGAAGCTTTTGTGATGCAACATTTATACACTTACCACAATCTGCGCTAGATCATCAAAATATGAAAAAGCAACAACATATTAATCATGATGATGATAATAATGATAATGACAATGATTATAATGTTGGTTTTGCAACTATGGTGAACGATAATCCAGTTGAATGGGATATTCACCTTTTAGTTATGGCTAATATGGGATCTATTTTACATCAGGTTAGTTATATTTTGTAGACTCATGTTTGCAACTTCTTATAGTAGTATTGTAACAACAGAAGACAAGGGTCGGACAACAGATCGTTTATTTACGAAATCAACAGATATTTATTGATTTTCATGCACATCAATATAGATTATTTCGTACAAACAAACGCCGTCTTCTGATTGGTGGTTGTTTCTCGCTGAACGTTAATCTTTCATCTCTCTGTGTGGTCGTTTATTGAAGTTCAGATTATCTATCTGCAAATTGTATCCGCCTACGCAAAGTCTGCTGTAATTGGTTGTTGAATCAGTCTTTGTCCTCTTTTTTCTCACGACCAATATTGAGGACGTAAACATTGACGTAAATTATTGTCTACCAACTTGGCTAGCAGCCAACTGTCACCACAAAATAGTACTTATCAGCTCGATATAAAATCTTTTTACTTGTAAAAGTTATTCTATAGTCGAACAGCAGCATAGATTTGTCATTGTTGTGACTCAGACTACCTTGACACTAAGCTGCGGGTAACCACATAAGGAAGAGAAAATGGTAGTTGGAACAACAATTTTAGGAGAACCGGTCTGGGCACACATACATCAGTGATTTGGTTTTAATAGACTCTGTGTATGATTCTATGCGGCGAGAATTACACTAGTTAGGCGTTGACACATACATCAACCAATGTCTTCTACGTTTATGCTTGCACTTTGTAATCACCATTTTTATTCTATTCTTTTGATAGTTCATGATAAAAGTTGATGAAATATTGGAGGAAGATGATTATGAAGCACATTTCATTAGCTGTTTCTCTTAAAGAGAGACGAAGTCTTATTCACCGTCGAACTGAATGTGCATCCATTCCGGTAAAGAATTGTTAAATATTTCCACTTGTTGGTTTCCAGAGATTTGATTCGTTACAGGATTGATCACGAGCTGATATCAGTCAGAGAACCAGTGGAATACCTGGAAGCACTGGACATCTGTTTTGTCCTAGTTCGGGACTCTTCAGAAGTACGAACTCACTGTGGTTCGAACCCAGGACCTTTCTGTTACGAAGCGAGATCGTAGACGGTTAAGCCACTGGGACACGACCCAAACGTCCATAAATTCCAACTTCTGCCAATTCGTGATATATTCAGCGCAAACGCCAGCCTATGTTACGCGAGAGTAGCTATCCTCTTGCCTGACTTCGTGGACCCCGCTGGTCACGCCTTCTCACCACCACTATTGTTGAATTACGGTATTTTTCCTACTGGGAAATTATTATTCGACTACATGCAGAGATTTTTATTTTCTTCTTCAGTTAATAGTTAGTGGATTGCTGTGGAATGATATGCTTTCAGTTTTTACTTATTCTTAAGGATTTGTTATAATCTGCTCGTCTTTTCAGATCTCATATTCTTTTCAATTTCTTTTTTATCGATTATTGTTTTCTGCTTCCCTAGAAACTGGGTCCTGATTGCTTATCATCGCTGGGTCCGTTCTTTTTAGCTGAATCTTTGGAATGGGATGTTGCAAGTTTAAACAAAAGCAATACAACATCAGATGATGACTTTGGTCTAATTCCAGAGTTAACACGGGATCGATTAACCGGTGTCCTAGGCGGTGGTGGAGTTAGCCTACAGTATATCAGTTCTTTAGGTCTTTTACTGCATGCTTATCAATCTGGACATTCTGTCGCGAGCGGTATTGATTTATTCAATACAATGAATGCATCTTCTTCTTCTCAATCTCAAGATGAAAATAAATTATGCATAACACATTCTTTTCTACTGGCAACTGGTCCAAGAGAGACGAATGTATCAAGCGGTACTGCTGGTTCTCTAGCCAAACTGTTGAGGTTCGCTCACCGTTTTGTTATATAATGAATACTGAGTTAATTTAAACCGGCATTTTACATAAGATTTTTATTAAGTTGATAGAATGTATGCAAATTCGTGAATTCTTCCTATAAAAATACACCGTATGATGTACTAATATATCCTTGCTGTTATAAATCGTACATATTTCTCTCTGGACGACTAAGACATCCATCGAAAAGACTGAGTTGTATGATAGATAGTCTGCATAATCGACTACCTTTCGAGTGTCAGGACTAATGAGTATATAATTCAGGTATTTAGATTTCGTATGAATAATAGATGGACAGGAACTAAGTATATCTGCAGTATTTATGTTAATCAAAGACTACTTGTTTTCAGGTGTTGAGATACTTACAAAAATATATAGTGGTCTATTATTGAGTAATAGTGGGGGGTGGGGGGTGAAATAATTGATATGATTACTCATAAAAGTGGCTTTAGAAGTGGAAATTAAAAGTTGTTAATTACGTAGTACTCAACGGCACAAACGGGAAAAGCCTGAGAGAATCCAGACAGTGGCGAAGAAACTGCTATTATGAGTATTGGATTTTAAGGTGATACCGCTGCTGAGATCCTGAAGAATCGCTTATGCAGATCACTGAGGAAAGCCTTCTTTCTACAGTCGACAAATGATCAACGGATGTGTGAAGGATAAACTGCCGCTTTGGGCCACCTCAATGTGTGTTTATAAATTCACCTGCTCGTGTGGAGCTAGTTATATTGGCCACGCAAAGCGAACGCTTTCCAAATGCATCTCTGAACATTATCCGAGATGGTTAGCAAAGGGACAATGTAAGACAATTACTAGCTCAATTCTCGAGCATTTGGTGAACTCAAGCCATGTAGCTCCACCAGAGTCGTCTTTCAAGATTATCTACAAAATGAAGCCAAATGGTACAAAGGGCGTCAAGTTTTGGCTTTTGTTTATGGCAGAGGCGTTGGCAATTCATCAGTACAACCCTGAACTCTGTATACAGAAAAAGTTTGTCCAGTCTTTTATTCTACCTTTGCCTTAACCTCTTCACTGATCGTTCCCTGTAAAAAATTTTGATTTTTTCTTTTGTTTTTAATTTTTAATTTCACTTTTAGTTTGCTTTTGCTTTAATAATTAATTCACTATTGTCAATCTCATATGCTTCTTTTGTATACTTTCACACCCTCTTCACACTTGTTAAATTGACACTCAAATATCCTTATTCTCTCTCAAGAGCAATTTTAACCTTATCGAACTTCTATCTTTGTTCCGTTGAGTACCATGTAATTTACAACTTTTAATTTTCACTTCTAAAGCCACTTATGATTAATTACATCAATTTTTTCACCCCCTTATTACTAAATAATAGAATAATATATATATTTTAGCAAGTAAAAATACGACTGTACAGCCTCTGAACATGATTTTGTCGATAGGGGAAATTTTCTTCGCTGAATCTGTCTTTTATTTTCTTGTTGAGATACCATCGTTCAATCTGACTACATTATTCAATCCACAAGGATGCAGTTATTTATTCGGGCTTTCATGTCTTCTGTCCCCTTTCACTTATTTTTACAATACTATTTTTATTCATTTCTAGGGGTTCGTCTATGATATCTCCCGAAAATTCGCATGTCGATCCAGAAAAACTGGTAATCCCATTAATTTTGGCAAGTCACCCTATTACTGCCTCTGCTGTGACCACTTCTGAGACATCTCCTCGAGCAACCGGTAAACAACTCTCGACTCAGTCCAGTCGAAAAACGGTTATTCCCAGTATTGGTCCACTATTTCGTTGGACTGAAGTTATGGGTAATCATCCAGGTCTAGTGAGTGCAGTCTCCAAAGCTAATTTCATGTATCCACCTAATTCTCAACATCAATCTTTCCTAATGGCTTTTGAGCCTGATCAAGTCTGGGTACAACACTTATCTATTCACCGGAATTCACGTCTGTTTAATGCGAATAACTCACCTGTAACCAAGTTGAAAACACCTACGGCTATTTCTAATTTCACCAAGACCACCACCACTACCACTTCGAATACAAATACTTCTAATTTAAGCGGGGCTGTTAAAGTTAGTACGTCAGAGAAACCTAGTACAGGACAATCTGTTTGTGAGTTTATGCTTTTATTTTCGAAGAAATAATTTCTTTTATCGATTTTTCAGTTTTCTGTGTGTATGGTCGGTTATAAGTTAAATTATCAAAATATGGTCAAAGAATGGAAAAAGTAACATATGTTCTAAAGGCCACGTGCACTTGTATACTGCATCTCTTGACATTTACAAATTCTGTCGTCATAAGTTTTCCATATACAGCCATATGACGTAATCATTGATTGCTTTTTGTCCCTTGAATGTCACTTTCCAGAAATAAGGTTTTAACTATTTACAAGTAGTAGTCACTCGTAACAATCACTTTTTTATGGGATTACGTTTTTTAGCATTTTCATAATGCAACAAATTGGCTCGTTTTACAAATAAAGTCAAAAGGAAAGTTTCATACACTTGGTTCCCTTGATAAATTTCGTTAGAGAAAGAAAGATCAGATTTGCAGTATAAAATGATATCATTCTACTTCACAGGTTCTCATCAGCTGCAAACTATCTGAAATTACAATGGTTATGAATAATAGCATTTCATGCTTCATTGTTTGAAGGGTAATAGAGAAAACATTATAAGGTGAACGCATCTGGAATATAAGTATTATAATCTAAGTCAATCATCATCAATTTATATACTATCAAACTATGGAAGAAGAAAAAAAAGGGGGTGAGAGAAGACAGAACAAAATCTAATAAGCAGTGTCAACATGGCAACTCAGGAAGGTCAAAGTTCATCAATTTGAAAACTTGCTTTGTGAGTGGAACCCACTAGTGTGTATGACTAGTCAGTGTAATGAAAGTGATATGGTTACCAAGGGAGTGAGAGATTAACTACACTATTTCTGTGTGCAAAAGTTTTGTCTGAGACTTTTGCTTGGAATTACTTCGGCAAATCGTAGTAGATTCGCTGTCCTTTGTATGTTTAATATTTTGGAGGATTTGGAAATCTCAACAAAATGACCTGTATTCACAAGGTCTTTGGCAATTGCACTTTGTAAATATCTGCTTCCTTTTAAGCATACGTTTCTTGGAATATGCTCTGAAAACCGGATAGAAGCCCTTCTTTCTGTCCTTCCAATGTACTTGCTGCCGCAGGTTCACGTAAGGTGGTAATTACGAAATCCGAGATTTATGTTCAATAATTCATTGCTGGTTGTCATTTTTTGTGATATTTTCTGTTGAATTAACGGGGAATGCGAAAAGTGATAAGTCGAAATGTTTTTAAAAAATGCGCAAATTAAATCAATACGAATTGATGACATCTTTTGTTGATTGAAACAAAAAACATAAGCAGTAACTCGAAGGCAGGTATGGTTGGTGGAAGAGGGAATCTCGGCAACCTCAATGTCCTGGGTGACTGTGGTCTTTCTGGCTTCAACAGTTTACAAACTGATTCTATTACCACTCATTCTTTTTCATAGTGTCTATGTTGATGGTTGTTGGTTTTATCTGTTCCCCAGCTCGTACTGACTGCTTTGAAGCTGTTGTAGTTTTAAATCATTTTATGTATAGCATAATTCAGATGTCCAACTTGAGAAAACAGCAAATTGTTCGCGACCTAATTCGTTTTTATGTCTAAATTTAAAGGCGCAGCATCGCTTTTATCGCTCACGCCCACACATTGACGGCCTCAGACACTACTCCACCTACTTCAACCTTGACAACTGAGGAGTATCCCCAGGTCATTGCTCGGTTCATGCGAAATCCGTCCCGGGCAAATGTGTCGCGATAATAAGATACACGCTGTAATGGCCCTTCTGAAGTGATCTAGTATTTCAACGGGAAAATTTGTTAATTTGTCCTCGGTACCATAATTCATTCCCACTTTTCGAGTCATAATTCAAAGTTTGCATAGCATTCAGGATGTTATCTTTCATTTTATGGCGAGTAATATTTGTAATAATACTGTTTTTGTGATTCACTTATAGCTACTTCAACGCAGTTGGTTGATTCATTCTCGTTCCACTGGTTTGGCTCTCCAGGATATTTGAGTCGTACTATGACATTTTTACTAACATCAGATGGAACCTTGTTCGCTAGTGCTTCTGTCCCTAGGTACGTGACACTTTGTAGCATATTTTTAACTTAACGTGTTTGATTTTTTTCAATTATATATCTGCATGGATATTGCTCGCATACAAAACACTGTATTTTTTGTAATTGAAGTACTGCTAATTGCATTAGTAGTATAATTTTTGATCTAATAAATCATTCATGTCTTCTAATGTTCATCTTGTTTTGCTGCTAATCTGTTGTTATCTGTTTAGATCTTCTATATATACACTACAGACTAAGAATTGTAATGAATTTGGTGAAGTGGGACCAAATTATGAGCTGTCTGTACTGCCTGGACAATATTGGCTTCAGAAAGATTTTAGCAAGAAAGTTATAGCCTCATCTAGTCATTTAATGGGATTTTGTTGTCCAGAATTCCTTGGTTCTCTTTCAGTTAACTCTCTAGTGCACAATTTACCAAAAGGCGCTTTATGGGACTTGGCAACAATTTCAACAGACCATTTCACTGAAGATACTAAGCATTCTAGTATAAACCAAAAGGAGGCACATTATACAGGAAAGCAATCGTTAAGTATATCAACTGAAAATACAATTGAACTATTACAAAAACGTTTGATTCAATCACCTGCATACGGTACCTTACCTGTTGACTTCTTTGAGTATGTTACTGAAACCGATGAAGTAAGTATTATATCTTTTCTCTGGCTTCTTCATTTCCTCATACTAAAATTAGTTGAAATCATTTTAGACACAGTTCACGTGTCCGTTGACTTACATTACTACACTCATAAAATTAGCTTATTCGCTTAAGTGTGTTAGTATTCGAATTTATCTATTTGGAGTTCAAATCCAACTTTGTGTATTTCGAACTTGACAAGCAGACAGTTAATCGATTGTTTCGCATATTATGGTATATACACAAATGAGTTGCATTGCCATTTTGTTGCTGCGCATAACACATTTGAATTTTTGAATTACATGAAGCTTGTTTTTAATACAGTGTAAAGGAAATGGTTCGATTTTATGTCGCAATGCTTTTGGTGTTACTGTGTAGTTTGATTACATGTTCCTTCTTATTCTAAACAAAGTCAGTACCGACTACGAAGAGTGAGAGAGATTTAGCTTTTTTTTTTACAAAAAATTTCCTATCAATCATAAATCCTCGTGATTAGTTGCACTAATATCCTGTATTCATATTACTCCTAGATCAGTAGTTTTGTTTCTTGAGGTTGATATTAATTGCGCTTCCTGTTGATTGATTTATATTGAATCGAAGTAATCAATCTCTGATGAAAAGTTGCAGTGGAAAGATGACCAGTCACTTGTTTTGCTGTTATGTCCGAATGGGACGCTTAAGACTAATGATTGGAAATTATTAATGGCTTGGCTAAAATCTCTTTCAATGACTCATTGGTTATTCACTCTTTTTGAAGTTCCAGATGCATGAGATTCTCAATAATGCTCCGTGTAGTTTTCCTCTCTTCACTGCATTATCATTCGTTATAGTTCTTTCTGATGGTCCTTTGTTCACGTTAACGGGCTAGCTCAAAGATAAAGGATGAAGTGATGGGGCGTGTTAACTACTTCACAGTGGGTTGATTGCTGATGAAATCTCAACACGGATACAGAGGACTCGTTTAGCATATGCACGCCATCTGTGGTGTAGACGTGATGTCCGTCTGTCAACCTAGTGACGTGTCCACTCCTCATTAGTTCGTTCTATCCTCCTCCTTTATGGCTGTGAGACCTAGCCATTGAATGTGGAAGATTGGAAAAGCTTTACTAGCTGTGTTTCATCATAGGTGTCTGCATTCTATCTCCTTTGTTAAGTATTATCATAAGATGAGCAATATTGAGGTTAGGCTTTCGTCGAGTGCCAGGAAAGGAGTGCAAATCAAATGACGAGGTTGTCAAGTTACATCAACTGAGATGGTTAGGACATGTCTAGCCATCGCCTTTCTCGACTGGCAATGTTATCTGACATAGATCAGGTTGGAAAACACCTAGTGGGGGTCAAACCAAACATGATGACGAATTGTTTTTGAACACATAAAGGTGGTTTAAACTTCCTAATTGCTAGCTAGGGCTTCCACAAACTTTAGAATACGCCCCAAACACGTCTTATGGATAGGTCTAAAAGATGTGTTAACGTCAATTTTATGTCCTGTCTCTGTAACATGTTTCGCAATAGATGAGCTAGGTCTCCTGTTCTCACCATTAATGGGTTCTGAGGATTCGGTTTCCTTCTGGAACCATTTAGGAATATGCTCTGAATTCCTTACTTGCAAGGATCGATTGGTCCTCCCTATATCTGTGTGTCCACACGTACATTCAAAATGGTAAATAGAGTGTGATATGAGATCATTTTTCGCATATTCGAAGGGCTTAGATGGATATATCGGCTTCACATTCTCAATTACTATGATATTAGCTGCATAAAAAGTTTTTTAACAGCAGCGTTCAATCTTTGTCTAGTTATCAAACTGCTATGATGCCCCATATAGAGCAGCTTGATGTACACGTGTTTCGTAGGGGCGAGTTGTAGAGTGAGTCAAATTAGTGTTAGATTGAAGTACACATAGGCATATATTTAATTAATATTTTTTGAATAATATCTTCAGTATATTATAACTGATCGCATTTTATCATAGTGGTTTATCATTAACTGAATCCAGTTGTCAATGTTCATGTTAATTTTAGTGGATTTCAGTGTTAATGTCTAACTATCAAACTTGTTGAGTATGCTTAATTCTTTTATTTATATGTTTGTATTTGTATTTTTTAATCTGTTTGGTCACTCAATTTTTTTCACTTTTAATTTCTCTGAAAAAATAATAATAAAAACTACCAACTACAGGTTGATTTTGGTGGTCCAGATCTTCTACAGTTTTATAATTATGAACAACTTAGACGTCGGTTAACATTACCTGGCAATCCTGTCACAGGTGCTGGCACTTGTAATTATAACACTTCTAGCGGTGTAAAACGTCGAGAGGATAAACATGTCGGATCGAAAGTAACATCTACAACAACATCAAGTGGATTAACAAGTGGTAAATCGAAAGATATAACGGCAACTATGGGACAACAGCATATTGCTTTTATAATTGATATTTGTAATCGTCGAAAAGATACTGTACTGGCTGGTTTACGTGTTACACTACCGGCACCAACAGATGAGAATGCAAGTAGATGGCCGAGATTTTTCAAGGTATATAATATCCAGTTTTATTATCAGATATTTCACATTTTGTCTGCAAAACTTTTTTCTATGATTGTGTGTAGGATTAATCTAACAGCGGAAATTTCTCTGGATGTTTTGGAATTTATTTTAAATAATTGCTAAGTGCACAAGCGATTCGTTAGTCGTACGAACAGTTGATCCCAATTCTAATAATAATCCGTACATATGTTTGGGAAGCTAATTAAGTAGATGGTAAGCATTGGGTCACAATCTGGGATTTCCCTTCATGTGGCTCATTGGCTTGAACACTCGAATTTCGATCTGTGAGTTACAGGTTCGAATCCCGTCCCACCTAATTCAGCCTTAGTAGTTGGGTAGTATTGTAACGACAGAAGACAAGGGCCAAGGAACAGATCGTTTATTGGAAAATCAACAGATATTTATAGATATTTATGTACATTATTATTCCTTATTGTTAGCAGAGAAGCAACGTCTCCTGATTGGTTTCTCTTCCTGAAGGTTATTCCGTACTGCTTGTGACCGTTGTTTACAGAGTTATCTATTTTTATTTTTGATCACAGCTTGATTCCACACTGTATTTCTGGTACAAGTATGGAATTTTCAGCATGGATATCGGTAGTCTAAATTTTGCAGGCCGACCATAGATATCAGGTGTGTGTCGGGAGGGGGATCGAACCTCGGACCATGTGCATGGTCGACGAGAGTCCTAACCACTGTGCCACTGGCGAATCGTATTTGCACACACTAAGTCTTGTGTGATTTGTTGTTGAGTTTCTTAAGGTTAAGATTTGTTCTTGTTTTTTTCCCATTACCCCGATTCGGGAAGCAAACATTGACGTCAATTGCTGTCTACACTCTTGTCTTGCAGACAGCTCTCACTACAGTATCATATGCGCTGATACATATTTTTGACTCATAGTCCGGAGCATAGAAGACTTGCTCAGGGAACCGACTCAACAGTACGGCAAGTCTATAGTTGATGGAAGCGTTTCATGTGAATTTATTCATGAAATTCAGAATCTTTTCCATAATGTTTCATTCTGAATTCATAGACATCTGTACAAGGTTCGATTGATTATGTTTAAGGTGGATGACGCATATAAAAGTAGTTCCCCACTCATTGTGTGTTGGTATTTCGCCCTGCTGGCGTCACGTTTTGAATGATTTTCTTGACGTTATACCTTTCGCTCATGCCAACTTTTTGTTATAAAATTTCCCCTCCTCTAGTTGTTCGACAGAACCATACTTGTCCCTCCTCCCTATCCAGGAGTGACTTCACCTCGTACTATTGATCTACCGTTATATCGTTGTGAAATGCTTCAATCTGACGGATTGTTAAAGCTGTATGGTGAGTGTAACTTGCATTGTTCTATTTCAATCATTTATCTTTCTGCATTATGGGATTTGTGAAAATTTGGATTAATTCATTCTCAATTGTTAGATTTCATTACGTAACAACATCATTTAGAAAGATCATCTAAAGCCAGGAAGCACTCAAAAGCTGTTTCGCCATACGTTGGGATTCTTCAATATTGTGCACCCACGACTACTCCACTAGTTATCGAATCCGGGACCTTCATGTTACGAGACCAAGTTCATTTACCATTCAGCTACTTGGATGGAAATTCAGTGGTCCATGAATTCTAACTTTGTCAATATAGCGCTATTCTCGGCAATGCTTTTGGTGAACATTCACTTCATCTTGACATATAGTGGACCCCACTGGTCACCACTTAATCAGTGCAACTTTATGACATCTATCCATTAGTCATCAATGAGCTGGAGATTGACTTCTAGACTTAGGGGACTTGTGGCAACTTGGTTTAATGTAAATTAGGTTGTTACGTTTCGACACAAACCAACATCACCTGAAGAGGGTCTCGGGTGCACACTATTGAAGAGGGCCAACGCAGGAAGAAACAGCTATAATTAGAAATCATTTTGAATCTCTTGAACATTAGTATTTTTTGTACTCCTTAAATTAAATCATTAGCCTGTAAATTTGCATTCACTGTTTATTAGTGCATTTATATAGCCTTTTTGTGCTTGTACTTATCGTGCTAGTCGTCTAACTCTGGTCAATTAGAGTCAAACGTTGTAAACAGTAGCTTCAAAAGTATATTGATAGTTGGTTTCATCATTCCTTTAAATTGATTCATTAGAAATAGATCTTCAACACTTAAGTGTTGGTTTGTAGGGATTTGGTTGGTTACAGGATTTCAACATTAGCTGACATTAGTTAGAGAACCATTGTAAAACCTGTTTTGTCCTAGTTTGGGACTCTGCATCTGTACACACCCACCGGGGTTCGAACCCATGAGCTTCTGGTTACAAGGCGAGCTCGTATACCGCGCGCTATGTCATGAATTGGCAGAAGTTAGAATTCATGGGCCATTGGATTGGGTCCCAGTGACTTAATGGTCTACGAGCTTGCTTTGTAACCAGAAGGTCCTGGGTTCGAACCGCGGTGGCTGCGTACTGTCTAAGAGTCTCAAACCAGGACGAAACAGCTTTGCAGTACTCCAGTTGGTTTTCCAATGGTTCTCTAACCAATATCAGCCCATGATGAGATCTTCAACACTTCAGTTTCAATCGAAGCTCAATAAAAAAAATGTGGTTTTAAGTTGCGTTCTTTCGTTAACCAACTCATCATATTCATGAAATCGCTTAATATGTTGTCTGTTTTATTTTTTAACCTCTTTTTTTCCTTTTGTAGTCGGCACAAGCGATGATCCTGAAGATATGACTAGCATAGATTGTATCATGGTTTACTGTATTACGCGTGAGATGCTTTCATTGTTGCAACAATATGATACTCATGATATATTCGATCAACAAAGTGTAATCAAATCGAGTTCTTCCTCGGGTAAAAATAAATCACGATTATCAACCAGCAATAATCAGTATAACAATACAATTAAAGGTCCAATGGATTTGTTCGTTTTAAGAGATAATCGTTCCACTAGTACTAATGCTGATAATATTCGCTTAAATGAAAATGGCAATAATAATGACAATGAAGATGCGGATCACTTTGAGAATCCAGAAGATTTCTCCAAAATGTATTTTAATGCTTCTGGTAAGTTTATTTTTCACTTGAGATTTTCGAAAGTGTGCAATTGTTATGTGTACCTTTAGTTTTGGGTTAAATTCTACCTGATATTAGCGCTATCACCTTAAAATAGCTCTCAGTTGTGCAGTTATTGGCCTTTCTTGTCTAGAACACCTAATATTTTCGCGTATCTCACTTTAAACGGTCATTTATCACTACGATAAAATGGGATGCTGCGCAGTTCACGTCTTCTTGATGGATAACTAGATATCATTCTTGGGCCTTGATTAGTTTGGTAAATTTTCCGGTACACTCTTCACAGTCAGATATCTCCACAGTATCTGTCGATCGGTGGCGTCAAATGTCTTCCATATAAATTGGGATGACAAACGACCTACACTAGTTCTGTACGTTAACTAATACTCTATGCGTCAATGGTTCAACGGTAGATTGTTCGCTGACCAAGGTTCGATTCCCAACCGATGCGCAACTTTATCTCCCTTAACCGGTTGCGAGCCCGATAAAGAGAGGGGGCTAGGTATAAGGTTAGCAACTCCACCCTTTAAAAAACACCACTGCTACTGAACCCTGAAGCTGTGAAGTCATATGTTCCACTCAGAACACGAAGGAAGAAAAAAACGAATGCTCTAGTTAACGTATTAACTTATCTCCACCATCTTTAAACACATGGAAACATGCCTTTGGGGTATGCTGCTTTGTATCGTTTCAAATTAGACACGACTAATGCAACTTCAGTTACTGTTAGAGGACTAATGCCTACAACTCATTCAAGCTGTGTTTAGGTGGTGGAAGGTCTTAATCCACTCAAGTCACTTCTGAAAGTGTTCCGTCTGATGTTCCATTTGTTTCTCCCGAGAAGTTATTAAAACTCTATCCTCTTTGAATGGTATTTCGTTAATCATAGCTTTACAGAAGCCGTTTACATAATTCACCTGAACTGTTGAAAAGTACCAACTATTGCTGATGCCTTCTCCATTTTTTTGCGCTTTCTTCATCCATCATTGTGTTAATTTAACACTTTGAGTTATTAATTTTTACCATTTTGAAAATATATGTTGAAAAAGTGCTCATATTTTATCATGTGAGTACTTATTAAATGAATATATATATATATATATATATATATATATATATATATATATATATATATGGCTACACTTCTCAATCTTCCAGACTGCGTTTAGTGAAGCGGAAACTGAGAACCTGGGAACCAGTAACTGTCTGTTTTCCACATAGAACTTTACACATATGTGCGGGACTTCAAGTCGCCAAACTCCCTCCTAGTAGCACACAAAGCAACAGAAGAAAGTAGAAGAAATACATATTAGAGATAGTAAACAGAGGTGTGAGACAAAAGAAGAGTAATAACAAAGAACAATATAGTTTCATTGGAAATCATAAGTCACAAGGAGTGGATGCATCTGGGCTAGCCATTGAGAACGATTTTGAACCGCGTCACCAATTGTCTCCAGACACTGGTTTTTTACCGTCCCGGGGACCCCAGCCAGTCAGGAAGTCTACACCTTCCTACGTGACTGGCTCAGACTAACTGTTGTGGATTTCATTGACTGGTGAAGTGATGTTTTTGTTTGACCGCTGCTAGCTGTTTTCCAGCCTGACCAATCCTATGTCAGCTAACATTGCCTGTCAGTCGAGGAAGGCGATGACGAGGCATCTGTAACACATGTCCTAACCATCTCAGTCGATGTAGCTTCACAGCCTCGTCGATTGATTTCCCCTCCCTCCCTACCTAGCACTCTACCGAGGCCTAACCCAATATTGCTCACCTTATTACACCACTTCACACGGGAGGTAGAACGCAGGCACCTATGATCAAAAACAGCTAATCTTTTCATGTCTTCCAGTTTCAATGGCTAGCTCTCACAGCCATAAAGAAGGGGACTCAGTAACTGAGTCACTAACTCCCTTATGTCGCATCTCATCATAGATTGTATTCAGCGTCGGTTTATTCAGTCAACAGACTGAGAAGTAAATGTGATTCGCCATATAGATGTGTATTCCATTCCTTAATTTACTGATTGCTTACTAGAAAAGCAAGTTTAATTGTAGAGTAGCAAAAGCATCTAAAATTTATCCAATCGAAGTTTCGAAATAAAGTCGCATTTCGTTTCCGTTTTAGAAGGGTTCACTCTGTACATGTGCAGTTTAATTATTTATTATTCCTTAATTTGTTTGTATCTTTCCTTATTCTTTTGTTACAGAGCAATCATTGGCTTTCAGACTTGATCGTTTGTTCAGTACAGGCTTTGTTACAGAATTAATTCCTAATGACAAAATAACCAGTAAGACTAACACCAAAAAGTCGACACGATCCTGTCAACCACAATTATCGATTGCCAAGCCATTTCCATCTCCCCCAGGTGGAATGTTTACCTCCACAAATTCTATCGGTTGTGCATACCTTACTGTATTCAATTCTTCATTCACGGAATCCTCGTCTTCTATTCCATTGTCATTATTTTCTGATTATTGTGGTTTAACAGCTGCAATCACTAACTTGTTATACACAGTAGTCAATATAGGCATCACTTCAAAATCGAAAAAGCATGTGAGTTTAATCATTGGTGATAGTAATATACTTCAAATTTTGGTTTCTTTTATCTGTAATTGTTTTCTTCGTTTTGTTTGTTTGGTTGCTTGAAATCCTTTTTCTTTTCAAGCATCTGTGTAACACAAATCGATGTCCCACGGAACGGTACTACTGGTAGTAAACTATAAACTATTATGAATAAAAGACATCTGGGTGTTTGCTTTGTTTGTAAAAGTTATTCCTGAAACCTACAGAATGTTTCGAAATGTTTGCATTCATTATAATGGGGATAACACTGAACTCAATATTTTAGGAATGTTTTTATCACGTCTACCCAATCTGGTGAATTGTAGTCTCTCTTTTTGCAGTCTGATTCCCTGTTTAGACTAGTTTTTATTGTTGTCTTCATAGTTTCGTCTTGTTTAAAACTAGTCGTGACCAGTAGAGTGCAGCAGGTCGGATGTGAGGTAAAATATTCGCGAAGATATTGGCTAGGGGTCGCGCTGTGTCATGAATTGGCAGAAGTTGGAATTTATGTGCCATTGGATTGGATCCTAGTGGCCTAATGGTCTACGAGCTAACTCACCTTGTAACCAGAAGGTACTGGTTTCGAACCCCGGTGGCTGCGTACTGTCGAAGAGTTCCAAACTAGGACGAAACAGTCGTCAAGTACTCCCAAGTTTTCCAATGGTTCACTAACCGATGTCAGTTCATGATGAAATCCAGTTAGAAGTAGTCAGTTATAACGAGTGCCATAATGTAGGATACCGAGAATAAGAACGATGGTTGTTTGTGCAGAGTAGAAAAAAGCTTAACTGCACTAAAACTTAGCATAAAGATTTCATTCACTCATCAGTATTATTAATGAGTTTATAATAGAATTCAGCGCTCACTTCTTGTAAATAATAATAATAATCTAAATTTTCTTGTGTAGGACATTTTTAATTATTTCAATTTCCCTACTGCTGTTCAATTTTAGAGCCTAAATATGACTGGTGTTCACCTGCTTATATGCAGTTTAAGACGTACGTTAAACAAATTGTGCGCCAGTGATGAATTAAATCAGTCTCCAGAGAATGCAAAACAATCTCCTCTAGGTTTGGAAATGTTACGTGCAGAAATTATAAAATATTTGGATTATATCTCACCTATTGTATTCAAGTGTAAAGGAATACCAACGTATATTCAGTCGAATACATTAAGCTTAGGCGTATATCTCTATCAGCTAGCCTTAATGCTTACATGCTATGCCGATATTGAACAAGTCGACAAGTTACCTGCAAAAATTAATTCAATTCTCAATCAAATACTATACACACCATTCAATGAGTCACGAAAACAACTGATTAGTTTTCTTATGGAATCTTCAGCTAACAGTCGACCTCATCATCACTATGATGATATAATTACAAGTCATAATAATGTCTACAAAGCTCTACGATTAATACGTCAATTTTCTGCACAAATGTATCATTTATTACATATAAGTCCATTAGATCTGATTGAATGGTTGTCAAAGCATGAACTTAACAACAATAATGTATTTCACTCGATCCTGAATCATTTGTTCAACTTATTTACATTCAGTTTACCGATACCTTCAAATCCATTCCATTCAATTGATCCTGTATGGCCTATAAAGCTTGACATGCTATCAATTTCAGTTGAACAGTATAATCATCAAAGCAACTTATATCATCCTGCTATTGTGTCAACTGATCGTTGCTGGAGTCGTAGTTACTCTCATCATCACCCTTTATCACATCATCATCATGATCATTCATCTTCATCTGTCTCGGATTCACTGCCTAAATCGTATTTCAATCATTCTATTCAATATTTTATTGCACCACTAACACGTGCAGCATACACTCTGTTATTGAGTTCAACTCTAATCAACAAACACTTAATAAATAGTGATATCAATTTAGATGAATTAATTATGACAAGTTTGATTCAACCAACCAAAGATGCTGATGATGATAACGAAAGTAAACAAGATAATGTATTAATGAACGTGTCAACAAATTATGCAAAGCTTTTAATTAAATTATTAACACATTCTAATATCATAGTAAGTGATCTGCTGTGAATATTTCTCTTGTTGAAGGGATCACAAATAATCCCAGTGTTTGTTATTAACATCACAGACACTAGATTATTTATTTATGTATTTGTTTCCTAAGGGAGCATAAAGAGGCAAAGTTATCGATCCCCTCTAAAAGCCGTTTAGAATAAATAAAGCATTTAGAGCATTATATGCATCAGTTCTATTTTATACGTACTTTCTAGTTATTGATAATTAACGCGTAATCTGTGTTAACTATTCCTGATTACTTAAAGAAAACTATTGTAGTTAATTGTCTAACTTCTTTCCAACTTATAATTCAACTTCAATTAATATTACTTATCGTGGAACACTATTATCAAGTATCCGTAACATGTTTCTTAGCCATTTAAATTAAGTGATGCTTCACCAACCACCTCATTGATTGAGTCCAACTTCTTATAGCATAAGTAACTCTAAACAAAAACATTCATCACTTTTACTAACGTTCGGCTGCAGGTAATCAATATCTTAAAGTCATTTTTCTACGGTAAACGTAGAATGATGTCAGGTTTCGTCAAACCACCAACAGCCAGCGGTTACATGTTTTCGTCTGGTCACTACTAATCCCAACCCCCTAACATCATAATTCTACTTCAGCTAGCATTGCTTCTAGGAAAAAAAACAGTGAATTAGTGTCTGCCCTAAGCTTGCTGATTGACTTATGCTTCAAGTTTGATCACGAATTGATAGTTTGGAAGTCATCGGCAGTATGCATCCACTGGGTTTCGAACTTGGCAGCTATCGGTTACAAGACAAGCTTGTAGACCATTCATAGTCACTAGGCCCCGACTCAATGACTCATGTCTTACACTTGTTCTCCAGTATATTCTCTGTTTCTAGAATCACAGCAAATTGTTATCTTGTTTCACTTGACACCAGTAGTTTAATAAAAACAAGTAAAGGAGGTATATATCTCATGAAATTCCTGTTACCGTTCGTAAATTTTTACTTTTATTACATTCTAGCTAAAATATAGTGCTCAGAAGTATTTTCTGGTGGATATGCTTCAAAATTTGAACCTATTATCTAATCACTTTCGTTTTAGAAATACAATTACTTTTTTCGTCTAAGTCGTGTGAGTTTTTTCGTTTGTGAACTTTGGTTAGTTTGAGCCATGCAAGAAGGTGTAGACTGCTTCCTGACTCATGTTCTCTAGATGCTGCAAACCCGTGGCTATAGACTGTTGGTAATATGGGTTAGAAGAAGTATTCACGTCTTGTGGTCTCCTAGATTCAATAAGTCATCATTATTATTATTCATGTAGTTATTCTGTCCATCGTATATGTGCTTACAATGGGTTATAAACTTAATACAATTATTTCCATTTATAAAGTTGAACAAAGCAAGAAGAATATAATTGGGCAGGTTAAAATGATGTCGCCATGATAAATTTCATATTAATCAACACAATATTCAAATACTATAGGTGATGGACATTAGTATCACGCGATTAAGCAGCACAGAATTCGATGTTAAGCTCGTTTTGTCGTAGAATTACGAACGAATGTTACAAATCGAATGGAGGCGTAAAATCAGTAATACACTTGCCTATCTATGAGTCAAGTAATTTAGTTGAGAAGAGGTCAAGGATATATAATGACAAGAAATTAGGGTAGGTAATTACTATTGTCAAGACAAAATATAGTTAAAATAACAAAATTGACAGGAAACAATTAAATAACATAAAATATATATAACAAAGTGAAGTAAGATTAACAACGGTTTTAGTCATTTTTATGATATGTTATAAGCCTTAGCTGTCTTGAACTTTATCTTGTAGGATTCCAGTGCATCGATTTCATGACCGTTGTGTAACAGGCAGTGACCGAACTCACTGCTAAGCACTTTTGCACCTTTCAGACATGAGTTTCTTGGGATATACTTAGATATGCGACCACAAATTCTCTCTGTTTATCTGATTGGTGTGCTCTATCACATACAGTTGGAGGTGGTAATATGAAAGGAGGACATGTCATCCTTAGATTGTCTTAGTGGACATTTTATTCAGTAAATCGAGACTAACCTAACAGTTGGATAAAGTTCGCTTCAAAACAGCCTTTATTCTTTATTTAATTCCCCCAGGTGTGAGATCATCTTTGAATCTGGGCTTATAGAAGACTGGTTTCTTTTCAACTCTTTGAATTATAAATAATCTCATCTTCCCATTGATATTTATGAATCATGTTTATTTACCATCTTATTATTATATCTTTTTATTCCTAGAGGAACATAGGGCTTCAGCCACGCGTCTCCCTTACCTTCGGTTTTCTGCCAACTTTTTCACTCCGCTCCAAGTCTGCCCACATGCTTTCATCTCCTCTTCACATGACCTCTTCCAAGTCACCCTCGCACTGACGACCATCTCGCCACTTCCCTTTCAGGTTCCACTTGAGCAGTGGCTTGTCTAGTGATGTCACTTGACGGTTTCCTCAGAGTATAGCCAGCCAATCCATCTCCATTTCTTGCTGTCCATTTGTTTCACAATCGGCTCAATATTTTTAAAGAAATACTACTGCCTATTTCAAATGTAATTTTCTGTTAATTTCTGCTTTTCTCTGTAGGTTTCTTGTGCTACTCGTGACGCTTTATGTCGTCTTATTCTTCATGCAAGACCTAAACGTCGTGTCATTTGGTACAAAGTACATTCTTCTATGGATCGTCGACATCCTTCCTCTCTTAGAAAGTCTAGCGTTTCACGTTCTAGTGAAAATAAATCCTCAAAACCGGTATCAGACAAAAGTACAATGCAATCAGCTGATACTGAATCACTGTCTGTACAAGGTTCAGACTCCATGCATGGACCTCATGGTTCTAACTCAGCAACTGCAACTACTGCTTCCAGTTCTGGGCGTAGTTGTCAACCAAGGACTACACCATATTCTGGTCGTCGACGTCCTACACGGGATTTTCATCCTCTTCAAATGATCGATGTTGATGATCAACTAAATACACGAGAACTTACTTCTTTCTTCCACTTGGATGAATTTGGAAGCAATCATGCTGCTGCTGCAACAGCGTCTGATAATCGTCAAGATACCTGTGGTCAGAGGAATGCAAGAACCGGTGCCACTAATCGACTGCGTAGATCAGGTCACTTCATGAGAATTTCGGTAAGCTTATTTGTCATAATAGATACAACTGTTTTACTGAATATTTAATTTTATGATTAGGTAATGTGAATTATAGCCATTATATACTTTGAAATTTGTCGAAACATTTATAGTCAATTTTCTTTTCTTTTTTTTATTTCTTTATGCCCAATAAGAATCGACCTCCTTCAGTACCGGGTGAAGGTGAAACTAGATCCTCAAACAGTACAACAGCTTTTACTATCTATGAACCTATTCAGTATATGGATATGGAGAATGATATTTTAGATTATTATGGTCAGTTGGATATGAATTTAGACAATGCAGACAGTCATTTACTGTCAGAATTTTTTGATGTAACCGGTAGTGATGCACCTATTTCATCATTACGTGATGACACAGATGACGATATGGCATATCGTATCCTACGTGTATGCAGACGTATTTGGGGTTCACGAAGAGTTGGTTCGACGAGACAGATTCTTGCAGATTCTGAATCTGGCGGTGAAAATGACTTCGATGGTAGAATTAGTTTAGCAGCTAATGAAACTGATGATATTCCAGAGACTGAACCTGAAAATATCGATGGTGAAGATGACGACGATGAGGAGGAGGAGGAGGATGAACACGATGGTGACAATGATGATGATGAGAATGAGGATGGCGATGAACATCATGATGCAGTTTTAGATGTAGATAATGAGAAAGATATGGAAGACGATGACGAGGATGAAGAAGAAGACGAAGGAGATGATGAAGATAGTGATGATCAATTGCAATTGGGCATAAGTGAAACACTGACAAGTGAGATGGCTGTATTGTTAGCCCAGTTAATTGCTGAATCTGGTCAATCCATCGAAAACGGTCAAGAATCCCTGATTGATCAGCTAGGCATAAGCTTTTCTGGACTCAGTAGAAGTTTTCGAAATAGAATACAACAACCAACTCGGAGTACAACAACAACAACTACTACTACTTCTACCACAGGAACGAGTGTATCAGTTCCTAACTCACTAATTTCCTCAACTGTGACAACTACATCTTCAGAAATTCGTGAAGCTCCTATTAATACATCAGTTAGAAGTTCTGCTAATCTTCATTCAAGCTCGACAGGTTCTAGACATAGTCCTTCAACTGCTCGAACAGAACCCACGCCTGTGTCAAACAGTGATCATGCTAGAGAGTGGGAAGGACATGAAGAGGTGGGCGAGGAACTAAGAGACAATGCAAGAGAACAAGAAGTTGATACAGTGACCGAAGGTGGGGAAGAAGAAGCAGTCGATCTGAATCCTGATTTGTTGGATGTGGACGACCCACAAGGAAGAATGGATATGTGGGCATTTTCTGATAATCTAGAAGAAGATGTGGTACGTTACAGGAATGTTTTCATTTTTTGTTAAAGTTTAATGTGTTTATTTCTCATATTGAATACCACAACACCAGATACGATATACCGATTATAACTTAGACGAAAATGTGAAGGCAACAGAAGATGCAAATATATTTGCTGGAGGGTAACCTATACCTCTGTCTATCACGTAGTTCTAAGTCTACATGCTATACTGATAATAGGTATTGCCTTCAAAATGTATATCCAGTTGTAATAATTCAGTTTAGCGCATAAAAACGCAGATTTTTTATTTCTTTCGATTCTTAAAGGATAAATTATAGTGAAGCATTTGTCAATAAGAGGTTAGCCAAGCAAATTAGTTTATCACTGTTGAAAGAATCCTGTCATTTAAAACAGATATATCATGTATGACTTGTTTTTGTCATGCACACTTTTTTTAACCACTTATCAAGACACTCTATTCAAACTCACGTAGTCGTGTAAGGGCTTATGAAGAATTGTCATCTGAATTGATAACAACCAGTGGTATCCGACAGGGATGTCCACTCTCCCCATTTCTGTTTAACTTCATCATAGATATGCTGATGGAAGTATCCTTAACTGAACGTAACGACTTAGGAATCGACTTGTTACCAGGGAATAGTCTTATGGACTTAGAATATGCACATGACATAGTCCTGTTAGAGGAGGATGATGACAAAATGCAGAGTCTTCTGAACACCTTGAGCAGCAATCTTAGTATGTTTCGCATGCGATTCGCCCCTGCAAAATGTAAGATGCTGCTACAGGACTGGACGACGTCAACCCTAACTTGGTGATAGGGAGTGAAGTGATAGAACATGTTAACCACTTCACCTATTTGGGAAGTTGTATTAGCACCAACGAACTGATTGGCGATGAAATCTCAGCACGGATCCAAAAAGCTCGAGCTGCTTTCGCTGACCTACACCATCTCTGGCGTAGGCGTGACATCCGGTTATCAACCAAGGGACGTGTGTACTGCTCAGCAGTTCGCTCCGTCCTTGTCTATGGCTCTGAAACATGGCCAATACGCGTTGAAGACATGAAAAGGTTGACTGCTCTCGATCATAGATGTCTGCGATCTCTGTCTCACGTTAGGTGGTTTCACAGGGTAAGTAATGTTGACGTCAGGCGTAGAGTGTTGGGCAAAGAGGGAAAATCAATCGACGAGGCTATAAAGTTACATAGACTAAGATGGCTAGGTCACGTGCTGCTCATGCCTAACCACCGCCTTCCCCGACGGGTATTGCTAGCTGATATAGGTGCAGGTTGGAAAAGTGTAAGTGGTGGCCAAACAAAACCATAGATGTCATCAATCCATGAAATCCTTGACAGTTAAACTGAGTCAGGTAGGGAGATGCAGACTTCCAGGTTGGGGCCCTCGGGACTCTAGGAATCAATGTCTGTAGACAATAGGTGACATGGCTCAAAATCGTTGTCAATGGCCAGCGCAGATGTATTCAGTCTCTGTAATCTTTCATATTCCTTTCTACCATTACCCATTCTGTTTCACTCTTATACTTATCAAACTCTATTGATTCTCTTCAGTTATCTTCTTGTCTACTTTTGTGTGCTATTTGGAACGTGGCAACTCGATGTGCTGCACTTCGGTGCCAAGTTTTATGTTGTATCCAGACAGAAACAGACTTTTTTAACAGGTTTAACTTGTTGGTGCTTGTTCAATAAAATAAAAGTAATTGAATATTCTCCATTATTTCTAAATATTTGTTTGTTTGTTGGTTTTCATTGTAGCTGTTCACTCTAGCCCTGCATTTGAGTCTTCGTGATCAAGGTGGTCCAAGTGCTAGAGATGATAATGCTGAAGAAGGTAATCACCAGTTAACTGGCGGCAGTGCTGCACAACTTCAATCTGCCTCACAAGAGGAAAATATCTCCATGCCTGGAAATGAGAATACTGAACAAGAAGAATTAAACAATGATGACTGTGACCAACAAAATCATCCAGCTAACTGGTCAGATGAAGCAGAACATCATTCAGACAGAGTAAGATTTTTGTAAAACTATAAGTGACTAATACAAAGAAGGTGTCGTCTTTGGCATAGCGGTTAGGACGCTCGCCGACTATGCACATGGTTCGGGGTTCGATCCCTGGCCACCGACACACTCCTTTACGTCGCTAAGCCAGAAATAATGCTGCTAAAGAGGAAAGGTTGGGTATGAGGCTAGCAACCTCATCCTGTAAAATAAACACTGTTACAGAAACTTGAAGCCCTATGTTCCACTGGGGGACGTGAAACCAAAAGTAATACAAAGAAAAGAGTTTTATGCATTCCTTGTGTTTCAAGAGGAATATTGAGTTTTATTCGCTGTGGTTTTGTTTTTACGAGGTGAAGTTGTTGGCCTCATGGCAAAAATTCTCCCTTTTCCGGACATACTACTGGTCAAGATGTGAAGTGGGGCTTAGGAGTGCGTTGGTTGGCAAAAGAACCCGAGCTTGTTGCATAGCTGATGAGCATTTTACCATTGGACCATTGATGCTGATTCGAAATTACCGTTCATATTATTCTAGATGTCTTTAAAGTCCTTACATTACTGAGGAAAACAAATTATTGTATTTTTTTAATGTACCCTCACTTGTCATTCTGCGAATTGACTTCATGCGGTGTTCACTTAATGCTTCTCATCCTGTTACTGCCTAAATGATATATCGTTACTCACGCTTTCCGGCATATTGGATTAATACAACAAGTTATTGATTTTACTTTGAGGTGTGTAGATTTAGTTCATTTATGTGGAAACCATATCTTTCGGAAAAACAATAACCGAAGGATTTAATTCATTGACCACCACCTGTTGGTTATCTCTTTAAAAATTAAATACCCTATTTTCTGTTTTAAGCTATGATGTGAGGTTGTAGTATTTTCGAGACTTTCTGTTGGGTGTTGTTCACATCTTATGGAAATCGATATGAAGGTTAGATAGATCAACGTTTACATAATTCCATTTAAATGGTGATCTTTGCATTCACTTTTTCCAAAGGCGATTGTAATATCCCTTTTATAAATTGTTTTCTTTTTCCTTTCTTTTTCAGAACCGTACACCAACCAATTCTGTTTTCATAGGTAATTGTTTCTTTCCGTATATACAATAATTTCATTCATATCAGTAAAATTCCCATCTTTTTGAAGAGTCGAATTCGTTGTTTGGCGAAACCTCACTTTAAACTGTGTAATGAGCACAGTTTCCTTTGGGAACTGTTAACAGTTTTCCCGGATAGCTAGCTGGAATTCAAATGGTTTGAACTGGTTCAGCTCTCTGAGCTGGATTGACACTGAATGCACTGCTTATCAATTCGGCTGCAGACGAGCTGAGTGGCTGTCCGGTGTTACTGTCTTTGTTTAATTGCATGGTTTCGCCTTATTGGTTCAACCCATCCCCACTCCTATAGTTTAAGGTCAAATATGAGTAAGGTTCCCCTTTTTGCTGATAGAATATGCAAAAAGAAGTTCTTAAAAAAATGCTAGCTAGCCTTGTACCGAAAGTCCTAAGTTCGGGTCCTTGTAGGTGTATACTGACGAAGAGTCCCAGACTTGGACTGTCCAGCACTCCCTGGCTTTCCTAAGATTTTCTAAGTGATGTCAACATCTGATCTAACCTGTAACTACAAAATATTTGTTGAGTACTCCTCACTTTCTTTACAGATTTTTATCACATTTTCACTAATTGTAAATGTATAAAATGAATACTACGTAAATCGGGTCAAATTTATTGTCCTTTTTAAAAAAATAAATAAAACTAGAAAATCATGCATGAATTAGATTTGCAATTGAAGTTTAAAAAAGCAGCATTAATTTGTCATAACAACTGTAAACAACATCTGCGCCCTTTAAAATAAGGAAGTGGACATTTTATCTGTGATTGCATATCATCGAGATAAAATTATGGTGGAGAAACTTTCAAATGACGGGAAAGATTCGGAGCTCAAGTGAATGTTATGATTGATATAGTTGTATTTCTCGGTCGACTGATTTAGTTATGAAGCCCTTAATATCCTTCTAGACAGCATTCTCCGATGCTAACCTCACTTTTGCTGTTTTATGAAATTGATTTTGTTACTTTCTGTTGAATTCTTTAGAATCATCCAGTCAACCGATTGTTGTTACAACTTCATCATCAAATTTCGATAGTGTAAATCGTCAGAATGAAAGTAATCGTGTCCGTGATAAAAATGACAACATTGATGATGATGATGATGACGACGACGATGGTGATGGTAATGATAATGATGTAGAAGAGGAATTCCCTGACTTGTATGCTTTATTCGATGAGACAGTAGCATCATCATCGAAACCAGTGAATGAAACACTGTTACCTACATCTTCTAACGCTGGTAATGAAGAGGATTTTAGTAATGTGAATATTAAATCAGATGAAATGATGACTGTAGTCAATTATGAAGATATACATTCTATTGGCAGTGATAATGGTAGTTGTTGGAGTGATGATAGTTCACCAGAGTCGAATATTCTACCTGCTTCATATCGTTACAATACTACTACTACTACTGCCATGTTCATGGGTACTGATAAATGGTATTCCAAAGGTAATGGAGTAGAAGATTACAGTGAACTTGATGACGATGATGCTGCTGCTTCTGCTACTGCTGATGCTGATGACGATGATAATCATGATGGTGGCGATGACAACGATGATAATTGTGCTTCTAGTGATAGTTCTTTCCTTAGATACAATCTAAATATTGATGGTTGTAAAGATTTTAAAGAAGATGACCCTCTTGTCAATCCTCAATCTCGCGATAATAATGATGATGATAATGATGGTGATGGTGAGAAAAATCAACAAACTATTTTATCTTCTTCGATCAAACGTCTAAAGAAACTTCGTCTGAATGCAAAATATCGTAAACAGAATCTAGCTTTATTATTCTGTATAAATCTAGCCAAACATTTATCCCATGAATGGCCTAAAATTGTTGATCAATTTAAGCAATCCATAGGTTCACTAGCCACCATTTCACCAGGTTCAAGTCAACACTTTGTACCTGTTCTACAGTTGATTATCAGTCTAATACGTATTCTGCATTCAAATGCATGCCAATTAAATGCTGAAATAATATCATTACAACAACACATACTGTTACAGTCGACAATATCTACTGATCATGCTGAGATCAGTTATCAAGATAAATTTTATTTGGAATATATTAAACAATTACTTCAGACAATTAAGTGAGTTATGAGCAACCGTTTACTAATTTTATTCGCTTGAGTATCATTATTATTATTAGTAGTAGTAGTGGTACTTTTTGGCATAAATAAATTGCCTGATCATTATATTGACGGATGGAGACTGCTGTCTGTCTGTCTGTTTTCGACATAGAACTTTACAAATATGTGCGGGACTTCAAGTCGCCAAACTCCCTCCTAGTAGCACACAAAGCAACAGAAGAAAGTAGAAGAAATACATATTAGAGATAGTAAACAGAGGTGTGAGACAAAAGAAGAGTAATAACGAAGAACAAAATAGTTTCATTGGAAATCATAAGTCACAAGGAGTGGATGCATCTGGGCTAGCCATTGAGAACGATTTTGAGCCATGTCATCAATTGTTTCCAACCACTAGTTTTTACCGTCCCGATGACCTCAACCAGTCAGGAAGTCTACACCTTCCTACGTGACTGGCTTAGACTAACTGTTGTGGATTTCATTGACTGGTGAAGTGATGTTTTTGTTTGACCGCTGCTAGCTGTTTTCCAGCCTGACCAATCCTATGTCAGCTAACATTGCCTGTCAGTCGAGGAAGGTGATGACTAGGCATCCGTAACACCTCCTAGCCATTTCAATCGATGTAACTTGACAACCTCGTCGATTGATTTCCCCTCCCTCCCTACCTAGCACTCGACCGAGGCCTAACCCCAATATTGCACACCTTATTATACCACTTCACACAGGAGGTAGAACGCAGGCACCTATGATCAAAGACAGCTAGCCAGGATTTTCATGTTTTCCGCTCTCAGTGGCCAGGTCTCACACCCATAAAGGATGGCGGAGCGGACTGATGAGCCGTACACACACCTTTTGGTCGATAGCCAGCCGGAGATCACGTCTACGCCAGAGGCGGCGTAAACTGGAATATGGGAAACTAGCCCTCTGTATCTGTGCTGAGATCTCGTCAGACATCAAGCCGTTGGTGTTGGCTGATGGTACTTCCCAAATAAATGAAGCGGTCAACACGCTCTACCACTTCACTTCCTATTTCTAGACTAAGAGGCAGTGTAGTCTAGTCCTGTAACATCATCTTACCTTTGGTAGGAGCGAATCGCATTCCAAACATTCGTAGATTGCAGCTCAAGGTGTTCAGAAGACTGCTTTTTTTCAGCATCCTCGCCTAAAAGGACTATGTCGTCTGCATATTCTAAGTCAACGAAATTATTCCCTGGTAGCTGGAGACTGCATGTGAATTAATATACTTAAGCTATGAACTCTACTGTGTATGATGCTGAAGTAACTTCTATCTCTGAGCTTTCGCTTGGCACAATTAACCTTACTGTCACTATAAAGAACCACATGAGGTAATACAAATTAACTGCTTGTCTTGACATAATTATCCCAATGCTACTACAGCACACTGGAGGAATATATATGTTCAGCTTCCAGTTAGAATACTGAAAATATGAAGGTTGATAGTTATTGATTACAAAAGAACAGGTTGTTCATGAACGCATGCACCTTATTTATATAGAGGTATCCAAAATACACATGTTATATTTTTTAATACGACACCGAATACCTGTACTGTGCACTGTCGACAACTGAATAACTCTTTTTTTGTAACTCTTCTGCAGTGCCCACCCACCGGGATTTGAACCCAGAACGTCCTGCGTCTAAATACCAGTGGGTGGGTACCGATGAAGAGGCCCAAACTAGGATGAAACAGTTGTCCAGTACTCCCAGGTCTTCCAGTGCTTCGCTAAACGATGTCAGCTTATGATGAAATTCTGTAACAAATCAATCAAATCTCCACAAATCAGTACATGGACTCTTTCATACTTACTTTTGGAATTTTAGTAATCATTTTCCCTCCATAAGATAATATGTAATACAGTCTTATTTGCTGGAATTTTTCCCTCATGTTCATTACCTACTTGATAACAGTTGGCTAATCGAGGAGATTTAAATATGACTGGTGAATATACGATGTAAGATGAGAATGTTTTTGTAATCTGTTCTGATGCCTACCTCGTTTTTAGACGAGTAATAACAATTTGATAACAGTTTGAACCAAGCATGTAGACAGGTGTAGACTGCCTAGTTGATGTCATCAGGATGCTAAGAACCAATGTCTTGAGACTCTTAGTGATATGGTTTAAAACTGTTCTCAATGCTGCAGACATATTCATTATTTGTATCCTCCCATATCTGTTAAATCTTCGTTTTTCTATGTTAATGCTCTTTTTCCCTCACATTTATGCACATTAGGGTTCTTTTGAATGTTTTTTTTGTCTGTGTCTTTGTGTACTTCATGGAGTGTGGTGGTAACTTGAATTGTTGTACTTCTGGGAAAAAACGTCCTTTTATGAAATTCAGTTAGTCAATCAGTCAACATTATTAAACATGCACAAGTTTTTAATCTTTATTAATCTTTAACATATATCTGGTATATTTCTTTTTCAAAATTTGTTAGAATCTCCGTGAAACAGTTAATTCGAGCACTTATTCATGGTGTACTTCAAACTGCTTCAATTGAAGGCTATAGTGAAGACAACAAGCCCACTGATGAAGATTCTGTCACAATAAAACCATTGAACACTGTTCATTTGCGTGAAAATCTTGAAATTATCATTAATTTAGATTGTTCTTTATCATTAGGATTTATTGTGCTACAATTGAATGCTCTAACTGAAATATTTGCATCGATTCCATCCTCCTCAATGTCTTCTTCTTCTTCTACTACCAGTAATCTGAATAGTCCTACTTCCTTATCTTTAATCAATTTATGGTTGTATGATGGTAATTATGAGAATAATAATAATGATAATGTTGGTGTAGATAACTGCAAAACGCTGAACCAACACCAACCATTATCACCATCAGTAGTACCAATAGTACAACAAGAAACCAGTTCAAAACTTTTAACTACTGCAACCACCACCACCTCAACAACAACAACAACAACGAAAACCACAATCTCTCAGTCAAGTACAATATCAACTGATGAAAATGAACTGCGTGCTTTATTTGATCAAACAATTGAATTTTGTTTAATCCTAATGGAAACACTTTATACACGTCTGCTTAAAGTACATGAGGTGAATAGTAGTGTAGGTTTATATGTATTCTTTGTTTTTTTTTTCTCCTATTCCAATCCAATTGTGCGTCGGTGGCATAGAGTTTAGGACGCTCGCCGACCATGCACATGGTCCGGGGTTCGACCTGTGGCCGACGCACTCCTTTACCTCGTTAAGCCAGTAATAAGACTGGCAAAGAAGAAAGGCTAGTCATGAAGCTAATGAACCCATCCTGTAAAAATAAACACAACTGCTACCGAAACTTCAAGCCTCTAGCTTGAAGCCCTCTGTTTTACTGGTGAACTTGAAGGAAAATATCCAATCCAATCACTTTTGACATTGCTAATTATAATGGGTAAATTGTCAAAGCTCTGATTAAAAAGAAGGTCAACATCTTACAGTTGGGTAGATTTTTACTGATTAATTAACAACAATGAGTACTCATCATTTCATTGAAAAAATTATTTGGAATTGAAAATAGTTGATTATCTCTAAATAGTAACTGCAGACTGGGTGATAATACGATTTTGAACCTCAAAGAGGAATTCAGTTCCTTTGGGGTTTTATGCTGCTAAAGAATGCTAAAAAGCGCAAAACTAAGGTCTGAGGCTTCTTGCCGATTACCTGTAACTATCTAACAATAATCCAGTGTATCACAATAGTGAGTTACTGAGCTTGGTTGACCACATTGCAAAAGAACTGACTACACTAGGATACATAGTTACTCCCTGTCGGCCGATCAACATGATAATGCAGGTTCTAAATGTATGTTTACGAATTGGTTGATGGTGGAAGGTAAAAAGTTATAATACAGATCTTAAATTGTATGAAAGAAGTATTGTAAATCGAAGTACTCTTATTTTCTATACCATTTATAGTTATTTAGTTTTAAGTCCGCAATGAGGGCGAGGGTTCGTATCCTACCGCCGACACACACTGACACAGCGGTAGAGTGCTGAGCCAACCACATAGGTGGCTCAGGGTTCGATCCCTGAATGGCGCACTCTATTACCTCTCTAAACTAGTAATAAGACTGGTAAAGAGGGAAGGCTTAAACATGAGGCTGGCGACCCCATCCCGTGAAAATAAATACCACTGCTACAGAAACTTCAAAGCGTTCTAGCTTGGAGCTCTATGTTCCATTGGTGATGTAAAGGAATAAAGCAAAATGCAAATCATTTTTAAGTATGTATAATATTTCATTGAAATTAAAAACGGTCTAGTAGTTTTCTATGTACACTTCCAGATTTTCTGATTTTATAAGTGGCCTAACAAGTTGGATTGCTTGTTCATAGCATCACTTCATCTGTTTGTCTTAATAAAGTGTTATTGTATTTCATTATAATTATAAATAATGTTTATATTTAATGTGAGTCCTAAAAGAGTTGTGATTAATTATTCTGTTTTACTGTTTTCTCCTACAGGAGACCGCTAGAGATGAACAAGGCGATACAAAGCGGCCAATGAATTCCAGCATAGTCAATTATCCAAATGCTATCAGTAATCCTTTAGCCTGTGGTGTTCTACAAGGTAGTATGTTCAGTTCACAGTATAGTGGCGACACATTGATTGGTACATCAGTTAGTGGTTTACTTAGTCATTCACCTCTACTGAATACATCTCAGTGCCTTGATCATATTGGTAATCCAATAATGAGTCAGTTGGTTTGGTTAGCTACTAAAGCTTGCGTGAAACTGCCCAATATTCTCCTATACTTTGCATCATCTTTAATGAAGGATAAAAGTGTTAGCTTACCGTCTACTAGTGGGAAATCAACATTCCCTCCGCATAAATTATCCTATTTATCTAGTGAATCAGAAGTTCGATGGTGTTCTGTATTGTTTAATTATAAAGAATTATTAAATCATCCTAATCTATATCAATCTCAATTCACTGCAAAAACTCAATCCAGTCATCAAGGTAACAATAATCCTGATTCTGTGAATACAGTGAATTCTTCAAATCATTTATTCCAATTTATAAATTTAGAAGGATTTCAGCATACTTCAAAAATAATTAATCCACTTGGACGAGAATTACAGTCTGTAAGTTATATGGATTGAGAAATATATTATTGTTCATTATTATTGCTCAGATGTTATTCTCCATAACACACAGAGAATGAGAGAGAGAGAGATGTTGTTAGTTTCCACACTCCTAGTGTAACGATAGAAGGCAAGAGTCAGACAACAGATCGTTTATTGAGGAAATCAAGAGATATGTCTATATTTTTATTTACTTAATTATTAATTATTATTATTATTATTATTGTATCCTTTAGTTCCTAGAGGAACATAGGGCTTCAGCTGCGCACCTCCATTGCCTTCGGTTTTCTGCCAACTTTTTCACCCCGCTCCAGGTCTGTCCACAATTTTTCATCTCCTCCTCGCATGACCTCCTCCAAGTCACCCTCGCACTGACGACCAACTCGCCGCTTCCTTTTCGGGTTCCACTCGAGCGATGGCTTGTCTAGTGATGTCACTTGATGGTTTCCTCAGAGTATAGCCAGCCAATCCATCTCCATTTCTTCCTGCCTATTTGTTTCACAATCGGTTCCTGGTTGGTTCGCTCATTTCCAGAGATCCCTGTTGCTGATCTTTTCTGATCGCCATCTGATCTTGAGTATTGAGCGAAGACAACTGTTAATGAAGGTCTGAAGTTTGTTTGAGATGCTCTTTATGACGCACCAAGTCTCTGATCCGTATAGTAGCACTGACTTCACATTGGAGTGGAAAATTCAGATCTTATTTTCATTTTCGTGTTGAGTGCTGTTGACCTCCACACAGATTTGAGAGTAATGAAAGCTTGTCTTGCTTTTCCGATTCTGGCTTTGATGTCCTCGTCAGTTCCGCCTGTAGTTGAGACGATGCTTCCCAGGTAGGTGAAGGAGGCTGTTTCTTTCAGGTTCTTCCCACTTATGCTGATTGTTGTCTGTTGTTGTTGTTGTTGCTGCTGTTGGCCAGGAATCTTCATCACCTCTGTTTTATCTATGTTCACTTGAAGTCCTATCTTTGATGCTTCTTCTGCCAACTTGTTGCTTTTCACTTGCATATCTTCCAGTTTGTGGGAAATCAGACATATATCATCGGCGAAATCCAGATCCTCCAAGTCTTTTGTGTCAGTCCATTTTATGCCTGTTCCCTCGTTGGTTGCCGTTGTCTGTCGCATTATCCAATCAATTGCAATCAGGAAGATCATTGGTGATAGTAGACAGCCTTGCCTCACTCCCGTCCTCACTTCGAAGGCTTCCGTAAGTTTCCCGTTGTGGATTACTTGGGATGCAGCATTGTCGTATAACTGTTGGATGAGATGTATAATTGTCGATGGGACCCCGTAGTAGCGAAGTAGTTGCCAAATGACCTCTCGATCGACGCTGTCGAAGGCCTTCTCAAAGTCGATGAAGTATGAGATAGAGAGGTGACTGCCATTCCAAGCTTTGTTCAATGATGATCCGTAGAGTGGCGATTTGATCAATACATGATTTGTTTCTCCTGAATCCAGCCTGTTCCGGACGAAGTTTTTCATCCAGGGCTTGTTTGATTCTCTCCAGGATGATCTGTCTGTCTGTCTGTTTTCGACATAGAACTTTGCACAAATGTGCGGAAGTTCAAGTCGCCACATTCCGTGTAGCACGCGAAGCAAGAGAAGAAAGTACAAGAAAAGCATAATAGAAACAGTGAGCAGAGGTGTGAGACAAAGGAGTAATAAAGAAATACAAAACAGTTTCATTGAAGATCATAAGTCACAGGGAGTGGATGCATCTGCGCCACTGAGAACGATTTTGAGCCATGTCACCAATTGTTTCCAACCATAGATTTTTACCGTCCCGAGGACCCCAGCCTGGAAGTCTACACCTTCCTACGTGGCTTAGACCAACTGTTGTGGATTTCATTGACTGATGCCAAGTTTTTGTTTGACCGCCGCTAGCTTTTTTCCAGCCTGACCCTATATCCGCTAACATTGCTCGTCGAGGGAGGCGATGGCTTGGCATACGTAACACATGTCCTAACCATCTCAGTCTTTGTAGCTTCACGACTTCGTCGATTGATTTCCCCTGTTTACCTAGAACTCTACGCCTAACCTCCATGTTGCTCACCTTATTATGCCACTTTACACGGGAAATAGAACGCAGGCACCTATGATCAAAGACAGCTAGTCTTTTCATGTCTTCCACTCTCAGTGGCCAGGTCTCACAACCATAAAGGAGGACGGAGCGGACTGATGAGCAGTACACCCGCCCTTTGGTCGATAGTCGAACATCTCGTCTACGCCAGAGTCGGCGTAAACTAACAAATGCGAAACGAGCCCCTTGTATTCGTGCTGAGATTTCGTCAGAGATCAGCCCGTTGGGGCTGATGGTACTTCCCAAATAAGTGAAGCGGTCAACGTGCTCTACCACTTCACTTCCTATTTTTAAACTAGGCGTCGATGTAGTCCAGTCCTGTAACATCATCTTGCATTTGGCGGGAGCGAATCGCATGCCAAACATTCGTAGATTGCGGCTCAAGGTGTTTAGAAGACTCTGCATTTCGTCAGCGTCTTCGCCTAGAAGGACTATATCGTCTGCATATTCCAAGTCAACGAGATTATTCCCGGTAGCAAGTCAATCCCTGAGTCGCTGAAGTCACCTAGGGTTAAGTCCATTAACACATCTATGATGAAGTTGAATAGAAAAGGAGATAATGGGCATCCTTGACGGACACCACTGGTCGTCATCAGTTCAGATGACAGCTCGCCGTAAGCCCTCACCTGGCTGTATGAGTACGAGTAGAGTGCCTTAATCAGTGCAATATATTTTCTTGGAATTCCCTTTACAGCCAAGCATCTCCAGAGAACTTCCCGATCGACAGAGTCGAATGCTGCCTTTAGGTCAAGAAATATAATGACTGTTGGACGCCGGTAGGAATGCCTATGTTCTAGAATCTGTCGGAGGGTGAAGATATGATCAATACACCCTCTTCCTGGTCTAAAGCCTGCCTGGCTCTCTCGTGTTTGTGCTTCCCGAGCACCACTCAGTCTACGCATGATTATTGAGCCTAAGACTTTAGATACTATATTAGTCAAGCTAATCCCTCTGTGATTATCACAGGAAGACTTGTCTCCCTTCTTGTATATGGGGATAATCAGTGACTTACACCAACCCGATGGGACTTCTTCTGATTCCCAGACGCTGCCTAGTACCTCAGTTAATCCGGACAGTAAGCTGTCTCCACCGTACTTAAATACCTCTGGCGTCATTCCATCAGGTCCCGCTGCTTTGCCTAGTTTCAGATTGGTGACAGCTTTAGTAACCTCAGTTAGTGACGGAGGACCTGTGTCTATATCCCATTCAGGGAGGTGTTGGATGCTCGGAAGGTTGAGCGTGGCTGTGGGCAAATTAAACTGCTCCTCATAATGCTCTTTCCAACGATCCAGTCGTCTATCCTGTGAGCTAATTATAGTGCCATTTTTTTCCGAGATTGTCTCACTGATGATTTGTCTTCTCCCACCCGTTTCCCTGATGAGTGTAAAGAGTTGCCTGGTGTTGCCTATCCTCAAAGCTTTCTCCATCTCTTTGGCTTTTGTCGCCCACCACTGTTCACGGTCCTTGCGGAGACTTTTCGTAAGTTTCCTCTTGTGCAGCTTTCGCTCCTCATTGAATTCGGAGCTCGCCGGAATAAGTCTTCTAGCATCTATCAGTTCGGATGAGGCGGTGGAGATCCAGTGGTTTTTACTCACCTTTGGGTTTACCTTATTCACAGCTTTTACAGCTGTATCTATGGCTGCCTGGATATTTTTCCAAGCTTCTTCAGGGTGAGCACAGCTGTCGAACACAGATATGTGTTTAGCTAGTTCTTCCTGAAATACGGATTTAGTTTCCTGATCGAGCTGGGGACGTGATGGTTTTACCGCCAGCTGTTTCCTACGTCCGTTCAGTCGTAAGCACACCCGAGCACACTCCAGGATGATGCGGCTTAGTATTTTGCTTGGAATGGACAGAAGCATAATTCCACGCCAGTTTTTACATTGACTTAAGTCTCCTTTCTTTGGAAGTTTGAATAAGTATCCGTTCTTCCAATCCTCGGGTACTTTGCCCTCTTTCCACACCTTCTCCAGCAGTGGCGTCATCAAGTCCGCTGTTGTCTCTGGGTCTATTTTCAAAGCCTCTGCTGGGATTCCATCTGGTCCTGGTGCTTTCCCAGCTTTTAGCATCTTGATTGCATTCAGGACTTCTGATTTCGTCGGGGGGTCAGTGTTCACTGGTAGTTCTGCTTCCGTTGTTGGTATTGTTGGGCGCGTTGTAGGTGGCGGACGATTTAGAAGTCTTTTGAAGTGTTCAGCCCAGTGCTTTCTCTGTTCCACCTCTTTGGTGATTGACTTTCCATTGTCGTCCTTTATTGGCTTAATCTGTGTCGAACGTTTGCCCGAAAGGTGCCTAGTTGTTTGGTAGAGTGTGGCGAGGTCTCCTTTGCCTGCAGCTTGTTCTGCTTCGTTTGCCATGGTTTCATAATATTTTCTTTTGTCTTCCCTGGCACTCTTCTTCACTCTTTTGTTCAGTGTATTGTAGCTTGCATTCAGCTCCTGTTTTTGTTGCTCGTCAGTGCACTGGATAATCTTTTGTTTCACTGTCCTTCTCTCTTCTATTAGTTTCCAAGTGTCCGTAGTGAGCCACTGTTTGTCCTGTCTCTTTTTTCTGCCTAGAATTTCTATGCAGGTTTGACTCCACACCGTTTTCAAGTTGTTCCAGTGCTTTTCGACGCTGACCTTTTCGCTGGTGTTGATTTGTGTCTCGGCTTTGTCCTTTATGCTTGCAATGAAGATGTCCTTTGTAGCCTGGTCCTTCAGCTTTTGAGTGTTGAACTTGGCTTGTGGTCTATCTGCAGCTCCTGATTCCCTGAAAGCTTTTAATTTGATTTGGATTGTCCCTTGTACGAGATAGTGGTCTGAGCCAACGTCTGCTCCTCTTCTTGCTTTTGTGTCCAGTAGGCTGCGCCTCCACTTCCTTGAGATTGAGATGAAGTCGATTTGGTTTTTGGTTTGCCCGTCTGGTGACACCCATGTAGCCTTGTGGATATCTTTGTGCTTGTATACACTGCCACCAATCACCAGTTCGTTGAAGGCGCAGAAGTCGGCGAAGAGTTCTCCGTTTTCATTCATTTCTCCTAGAGCTTCTCTACCCATGATGAGTTCCCTTCCCGTATTGTCTGGTCCCAGTTTGGCGTTCATGTCTCCCATTAGTATTTTCATGTCGCCAGCTGGAGTATTGTCCATTGTTGCCTGTAGTTGCCTGTAGAATTCTTCTTTCTTCTCGAGGTCTGCGTTGTTTGTGGGTGCATAACATTGTATGATTGACACTTTCCTTCCTTTGGAGTTGAATCTGGCGGTCATTATCCTGGACGAAATCGCCTCCCATTGTATCAGGGCTTTCGTTGCCGTTGGTGACATCATGATAGCCACGCCCTCGGTGTGCGTGTGGTTATCTTCTGGGTGACCGGAGTAGATCACTGACTCACCCGTTGACAATTTGGTGAGTCCACTCCCATTCCATCTGCTTTCACATATTCCCAGCACTTGTATTCCGTATCTTTTCATCTCGTTGGCGATCTGGGCAGCTTTCCCAGTCTCGTACATAGTTCGGACGTTCCATGTTCCCACACAGACTTTTTCTTTTGGTGCAAAGAGGTTCATCATACTGAAGTTTCTTTAGCAATTTTGTTTACAGGGTGGGGTTGCTAGCCTCACGCCTGAGAAAGGAATGATTACATTAAGTTAAAGTTTAGAGAGAAGCGACTTTTTGGGTTGCTCCCCTCAAAATCAGAAAATAACGGACAAACAATGAGAACAACATCAACAAAGGAAACAGTTCACAGAAAAAAGGGCAAAAAGCGACAACAACTATACAATACAACAACATGCAATATAGTTCAGCACAGTTAACTAAAATGATATCTTAACCATAAACTCACTGACTTGGAGCAACTTGAACATGTAAATCCAACAATATATACAATTATAGATGTGTTTATGTTTAAAAATTCCACAAATCCAAATAGTTAGTTATATGTATTATCTGTCGATAAGATAGTATTCTTGGATTCAGTGTTCGAAAGGTAAATAATTGTGATAGTTTCCACAAACTCTTGGCATAAAATTTTACAGAAACGAGAGTTTTTATTAATAAGCAAAATGTAACGCAGTAGTCGAAAAGCGCGCTTCACATGCGCCACATAATTTACATTATTAATCGTAATTATTAACAGAGAAACAACGTCTTCTGATTGGATGCTTTTTTGCTGAAAGTTAATCTGTCGTCTCTTTGTGGCTATGTTTTTTAAGGTCAGACTATATATCTGCGAATCGTATCCGCCCACGCAGTCTGCTATGATTAGTTGTTGAGTTAGTCTTTGTTCTTGTTTTTTTTCTCATGACCAAGATTTTAAATGTAAACATTGGCGTAAATTTCTGTCAACCAATTTTGGCTATCAGACAGCTCTTACCACACTAGGGATAAAGTAGTAATACTGTATTATGTTAACAACCCCATCCTGTAAAAAAAACACCACTGCTACCGAAACTTCAAGCCGTTAACTTGAAGCCCAGTGTTCCATTGGGAACGTAAACGAATCAAAAAAAAAATAAAAAAATAAAAATTCTTGTGAATAAATTTTGAAGTTCCCCGTTATATTTGTTTTGAATATCTCAAGACATTTGAGAGTGATAATATATACGGTCGTTAGCGTACTACCCATCTCTATAAAGCATGCCGCATTACAATAAAATGTTATGAATAACCCAGTAAGGCTTATAATTCATCACTAGACTTCATTTAGCTGTTAAATGTAAATGAACCACTTCAGTTGGTCTGACGACTATTTATTCAGTTGTAGTTTTCATGAGAGAAAGATCTGTTCATAGCCTTCATGTTGTGTAACTTTAATCACCTGGAGCAGTTTGTTCATATACCAGGCTATTAGCCACATTATAGTGTAAGGGTCGATAGTACTACTCAGTTGTCTAGGCTGAAATAGGTGGAGCGGAACTCGAACCCCATTGGCTATACGTTTAGTTTTCAACCCAGTGAACCATATCTCCACATATATTCATATAATATTGGCGATTTAAAGTGGGATAGTAGTAGTCTGTGTTATTCTAATATCTACATGTAGCATTCGGTTTTTCCTTGTTTTCAGTTAGTACTTTTGTAACAACTGAAGACAAAGGCCAGGCAATAGATCGTTTATTAAAGAAATCAACACACATAGATTTTCATGTACATATTATAGATTATTGTCAGCAGAAAAACACAGTCTTCTGATTGGTTGTTTTTCATTGAAAGTTAATTTTTCATCTCTTTGTGTCTGTTTCTTGAATGTCAGATCATCTATATGCTAACTGTATCCGCCTACGCAAAGCCTTTGTTCTCATTTTCCTCACGACCAATATTTTGGGCATAAACCGTGATGTAAATTAATGTCTACCGATTTGACTAGCTGACAGCTCTCACCACACTTTGATTTCGAGAAGTTGATAAAATATCTCATCTATTTACACTAGGCTTAATCTCTCCCTAATCTATGTGCACCTATAAGTTTCCAGACCGTATATGTTACGAATTTCCTGGATTAATTTAAGCGCCGAGTCAGATTGAATCCTCATAAATTGTTTGAAGTAACCCTAGCGTGTTTGAGAAAAAGTCAAAACAAAAGTTTTCTGAACGTTTCGTTGTGTAAGCCACAGCTTCTTCAGCAGAATTATTCGGATTTTTTAAAATCAAAATACATACTCAAAAAATTACATAAATTGAAGTGAGTTCCTTTGAAGGTTACTTTTCGATAGACATTTGTAGTAATAGTAAAATGTAAGCAGTCATTATGTACTTGTAATGGCTAATGTCAAATTGTCATTGTGCGTACCTGTCCTTATGAGTGTGTGTGTGTGTATGTTATTTGTCTTATGGAAAAGACGTCAGTTCACATATGATAAACATGATAATATTTTTATAGAGGTTTTATCATCTATTTTGCTTCAATACAGTTTTCCATATAGGTGATAAGTCTATCCCTTCTCTCCTATTTACTGCATTCGATGCGGTTAAAATTTCCAAGACATCAGAGGTCGACGTTTCTTTATGTCAATAAAAGCGTCTTCCTAGAATTTTCAGTATGGTCGAAATCAATCTTATGTCCGCTGTCTACAGCACGCATTCCTATAGCTGATCATTTTTCTAGACTTTTGAATTCAACTTCATTTCTAGGTGGACGTTTCGTTCATTTATTCTGACCTTCACCTGTCTACTGCCCTCCTCTATATAGCAAGATTTATATTCTGAACACTCCTATAGGCACAATTGTTTTGTGACATTTTGGGAAGCATATCTTTGACATTCCCCATTTCCAATCAAAATTTGTTTTATATTGGATATCGCGTTCTCTATATCATCATTATCTGTTATAATGTTGAAAGTTTCACTGTTATTGGATGATCTGATCGGAAATTCAAAAACTTGTTGGAATGTGTACACTATGTACATCTAACCTGGATCGCCTAAGACAACCAAATTATCAGGAAAGTGGTTAGGTGAAAACGATTTCAGAAGACCATGAAATTGATGTTTCTTATGTAACAGGGAAAGGAAATTAATGTTGTTGTTGTAAGTAGAACATATAACGTGTGTCGGTGGTTCAATTGCAGAAGGTTTGAGATCCATTCCCGACCGATGCACTATGAAAGTCCACTTCATTTAGTAGCCGACATATCCCTGGAAAAGAAGGATGGATTTGACGTAAATTTTGCCTAAATCCTTCCTACCCGTTTTCTTCTGCGTATAAAGCAATTCAAAATCGTTACCTTTATAGGTATAATATTCAAGTTTCTGAGATACACCTGGTCGTTATCTTGATTATCATTTTATTTTAATAATCTTCAAGCTATTTTGTTGAATTCTTCATTTATTTCAACTTTTTTACTTATTTATTGATTTGTTTTTCATTTCATCTATATACTTTTAGCTACTTATAACCATAGTCGGACCTAAAAGTTATCGTCATTTACAAGATGTTCATCGTTTGGCAAAACTGCTACAACGAATTCGTGATATTTGTGTTAATACTGGTGGCTTAGTACTTCATGTTGATTGTGGTTCTTCTACACAGTTCACTGTTAGTGGACAGTTTCCATCATCACCATCACCATCGTCACATACTTCTTTAAACAATGTCAATAATATGTCACCAAGCTCAAAAGTTCATATAAATCCTCCTTCTAAAACAGTTAGTACTGATGATCGTGGAGTAAATTCAAGTTTCGATTGGTGTTCACATGATACAGATGCATTTGACAGGCAATTACGGTTACCGTATATAGCACAGAGAGAAATCGTAAGTTGTGTAGTCATCATTAAAAACCATCACTACCATTTCTATTTCATGAAAATTATTCTTATCTTGTATTTGATCATTGATCATAAGTTGTGTTTCCTGCATCTGTATGTGACGATTAGTCATTCCTTGTTGTACCTGACACACACCTACACACAATACTACACAACTAAATCAAAATCATCCACCCGAGCTACAAATCTTCGCTACTAACTAAAACCTTTCTGTACAACCCTAGTCCTAACGAAGTCTATCTTGTATCCCATTTCTATCGAGTGTAGTGCATTCACTGGTCTGTTTTCTAGCTTCTTCAAATGTGCAGAGGTCTTTAAAACCACCTGTAGACATTATTTATGCTCCTTTACTATTATATTTACCTGTCTAGAAGTTCCTCCTACACATACCGCATCACAGTCCCTACAATTTATCTGATTAATGCAATTTTGTTAGTTATCTTCTGTTTTATCGTTAACCTTCACCAGTGATGAGCCTAAAGTGTCCGTTGCACGAAAATTCACTCATATCACAACTGTTAAGGATTCGCTTTATTTCATCTGATGCTTGTTTGTGATAAGGAATCACGATTCTACCAACCCAATCTTAGCAACAGGTTTTGATATATATATATATATATATATATATATATATATATATATATGGGGTACAGCAGGTTGAAGATAGGGCAGTAACTCATCGAAGAAGACATTACAAAATGGTCGCGCTATATCGTGAATTGGCAGAAGTTAGAATTCGTGGACTAGTCATTGGATCGGGTCCCAGTGACTCAATGGTCCACGAGCTTGCCTTGTAACCAGAAGGTCCCGTGTTCGAACCCTGGTGGGTGCGTACTGCTGAACCAGAGTCCCGAACTAGGACGAAACAGCTGTCCAGTACTCCCAGGTTTTCCAGTGGTTCTCTAACTAATGTCAGGTGATGATGGAATCCTCCATGCAATCAAACAAAATTCCTACAAATCCAATACTTGAAAATATATTCCTTTGTTAATATAAATTTTGATTAATCTCCCCAGAGAAGTTTGGACCAGTCTGTCCAACGAAAAGCAGGAATTATTGATTTGAATTTCTCTAATATTTTACAAATTTAACTTCTACATATGTTTTTTTTCAAAAGGTTCAAACTCTGGTTAGGCATTTATGAAATCTTTTTAATTGTTTTTTTTCTTGTAGTTGGAGAATGTATCATCGTGTTTAGTTATTGCAGTACGCAATAGACCTTATTGGCAAAGATTATGTCTACGTTCATCTCGTGAGTTTAATAATTCTGTGTTTTTGTGACTTTCACTACTTCTTGGGGAATGTCATCTCAGATTTATTTCACTGTCCACAGAAAACAAATTAACTAAGACGGTGTAGTGCTTAGCATTAAGGTTGAATGACCGTAATTTTAGCCTGTTTTGTTTTTACAAAGAATACCGGAACTGTATGCAGTGAATTTCGTATATATTACACCGAGAAGTGTGTGTGTGCCAACACAGATACTGACATACCGATTAATTTGATCCATGGAGATTACCAGAAATTATTGATGTTCAAACAATCAACAACTGTTAGCTTCTTTTTTTAGCACAAGATGTGGCTTTTGAATTAGTCGTGTTCTCTGAGCTGGATTGATTTAAATGCGAAGCTTTCGTCGTCCTTCTAGATAACATCTTCAGCGCAGGTTTTCGTATAAATTGAACTTATTTGGATTCTCCATGTATGATGTAATTGTGTCTCCTGGCAGCCAGCGTTGTGATTGGCTGTTAATTTACGTTTCTATTGATCAATTTTACTGATTTGAAATTTGAACTTCCTTGTCATGTGATTTACTTTTTATCAGCTGGTAGATTTTGTCTGTAATCATGTTTAGTGCGTCGGTGGCACGGAGGTAGAATGCTCACCAACCACGCAGGTGGTTCGGAGTTCGACCCTTGGCCGGCGCACTCCTTTACCTCGTTAAGCCAGTAATAAGACCGGTAAAGAAGAAAAGTTAGTCATGAGGCTAATGAACCCATCCTGTAAAAATAAACACAACTGCTACCGAAACTTCAAGCCTCTAGCTTGAAGCCCTCTGTTTTACTGGGAACGCAAAAAAATAAAAACTAATGTTTTTGTTAATCGCTGATTCATTTGAGTGCCAGGCTACTAGAAATTCCCTTGCATTTTCGGTGTTTCCTCTATTCCCAAATTATCCCAATCATATTGGTGTCCGTAATTATCTGCAAATCTTCTCCATTATAAGATGTGGCTATTGCATGTTGAGTAGTCAAGTGAGCAATCTTTCTTTTGTCCCAAACGATAAGTGAATTGTCACGAGAATATCATCACCTAATCTCAAGGAGAATAAGACGCCCATCCGAAATTTCAATGTTATGAAATTAACCATCGAAAGTTAATGGTATATTTATGTGTTAGTTTTCTGTAAAGAAATTTCTCCTATTCTCTATAAATTTATTCATGCTAAAATGTGACCTCGTAGATTGTACACTACATAGTTCATTTGTACCACAGTATTCTTCATTCATTCTATTTTTATCCTTTTGAATTGTGTTTAGGTACATTGTTGTTCTTAGTACATGCTAGTTTGGTTCTTGATCGAAAAATTGCTCGTAATATGCTCTATTTAATTCAACTGGCTATTTGTCCAACCTCAGTGGAATCTCGCAGTCATGGTCAAACAAAACATGTAAGTTACTCTTTCATTATCTGTGTGGTACTGATCACCTTAAAAGTAGTATACTAGATGTTTTTATCCTGAATCATCTGAAGAACTGTCGATCATAAGGAATATACCACACAGTTGTTCGATGCCGGTTTGTGATCTCCTTGACACCTCTCATCATGACATGTATGGGGAATAATACCTTTTTCTTTTAAACTGTTTGTCATAGTCTCACCTCCATGCAACACTTCATATATATATATATATATATATATATATATATATATATATATATATATATATATATATCAAAACAAGGGAGTGTGTGATTGATTAGCACATTCTTTTTCATTCTCTACAAGTTTTCTGTTGATCTTTTCAAGTACTTTGAATAAACAGCAATCTGACTTCATTCATTCACAGTAGTTGGTATGGTGATATGTAACCATTTCTACTGGCTAAATCTTCGGAAATAGATTTTTTTTGCAGGCAAAGTTACAATAATTCCAATAGGAAATGGAAATATGGAAGATATTATTACCGCCAGTCAAATCAGAAGAGAATAATAAATAATCTTAAAATTCTATTTCAATTCAAGCACATCACAACATTCTAACAAGTTACTTATTTTGACTGTAAAAACACTCGTCTTATTTCCCATTTGATTGTAATTGATCAACAACACTCGTATTATTATTTCTAAATGTACATTATCCTACATTGATTGTTATTCAAATATCTAGTCAATTTCACTCATGTATATAAATAAAGAAAAACGGTTGTGTGAGTGACTTGATATGATTATGAGTGACAATAGTTTGTGCTCGAAACGTCATCAGTTAATATTACTGCATAACACTGTGTGATTTAACAAATAGAAAATTCTCACATAATTGTTATCGCCTGGTTATTAGGTCTGTGCAAGAGTTGTTCCTTTGAAGATAGATCTCATTCATGAACTGAAATCATCCATAAGGTGATTGTAAACCATACAACACAACGGTAAAATCGATACAGCGCTCTTGGTAACTATCATGTTACGCATTGTACACATCATTATTGAGTTAGAAATAGAAATAGAGGGTAAAGACGTTAAATAACGATGTCATTATTTCCTACTAAGGGTACACTGCTAGTATATATGCCTGTGTTTAAGATATTGATAAACTATGGAAATTTCTTTAAAATACTGTCTCTTTTCGTTGTTTGTTATTCTTCCAGTGCCGCATAAAATGCATTCATCTTAGTGCATCGCTCATTGTAATACTTAGTCATATAAATGAGTTAAAAAAGTTGTTCAACTTGTATATCTATGGAGACCGTCTGTAAAATGTCATTATTAAATAATCTTCTCGTTCAATGAGTCGTTATCATTTGCACCATTCTCTTATTGTGCATATAATATTAAACTCTCATATGTTTTATATTTGTTTTTCCCCTTCAGTTACATGATGGTTTTAGGCGTTCAGCGCATTCAATTCAACAGACAGAAATGAAGCTATCACGAATCATTGCACGATATTTAATACTTTCAAGCAATTCGCATACTTCTACTTATTCTGAAACCAGTTTAGAAGAAAATATTCCTATCCATTCAGAGAATACAGATTTAAGCATTTCACCGTTGTTTGTTCAATTTATTCGAACATTTTTATGCCAATGCCCTAAAAAGTCTATACGAGATTCTGCTGCGCATATATTGTTTGCAATTTTCAAGTAAGACTGCAAACTTTACTTCATTTTGATATATTAATAATCATGATAATAGTTATTTTTTTTATATCATTTTCTACAAAATTTGGTTCCAGTGGAAAAACTTTGCATCCTAAACCACTGAGTTCAGGTTTGAATCATATCATTCACCCTAAACTTTAGTAGTTTTAGATATTGGAAAATCTTTCCTACACTGCTGTTCGTTCAGCTGTCCACTTCATTCTTCTTAGGAATTTATCGCATAAATTACCTTGTCCACTTGGAGGTCAAATGGAAGAAATTGTGGTGTTTCTTCTAATGAGTATAGAAATGCTATTTTAGTAGTGAGTATCAAAAGATATGTGAAACCATACCTATACTGTTTGGTTCATATCGGATGTGGTTGTGGTAGTAACAGTTAAATGATCAAATCAGTTTCATGTTGTAACTTTGAATCTTTTTTTGAGTGATAGGTCAATGTAAATTGATTTTTTTATAAATCTAATGACAGTTTTAGTCCCAAGGAAATGATAAAGTCTATTTAGATTTGGACCAGTAGTCTGATCAAAAATGCCCCCCCCCAAGTCTTTATCAACCTCATGCCATAAGTCAGGTGATACACAATGGAAAACTCAGTGAGGCATTCGAATTGAACACATGAGTAAGACAAGGCTGGCTGCCCTTATTATCACCGGTGATATTCTTCATTGTGGTGGATTGGATTATTCGTCAAAGTGTGCATTAGGAGTGAGAAGACAGGAGTGAATACATTGAACCGATAAGAAGGCTCTAAGATCTGAATTTCTCGTGGGGATGATTTATGTTGAAGGCATGCAGACGAAAACCGATAAATTGGCTGAAGAGGCAGCCAGAGAAGACAGGACTCCTGGTGAACATAGAGAAGACGGAGGTGATAAAGATAACCAACCACCAGCAACAACAACAACAACCAGCACCAATTACCGTCAACGGGAGAGATTTATCAAAGGTTACCTCCTTCACTTTTCTGGGAAGCATCTTTTCAACCACAGCCACCAGAACGGATGAAGATGTCAAAGCAGGCCAGAATCGGAAAGGCATCAACCCGAAATCGGTTTGGAAATCTTCTGCACTCCACCATAGCATAAAGAATAAGATTCGGATTCTATTCAACACAAATTTGAAGTCAGCGAGTCAGTCCGCTCTTCTATGTGAGTCATAAACTTCGATTTCCAACAAGTTACAGACTTTTAGCAACAGCTGCCTTGGCTGGCTCCGTACTGAAGATAAGATGGCCTACCAGCCAGAAAGAATTAACAAGAAGAAACTCTGTCTGGGGAACAAATCAACCAAGAGCCGACCTCTCAGCAAATATGTAGAAAATGGAGATTGATTGAGCATACGTTGAGGAGGCTGTCGAATGAAATCGTGCGCAATGCAGGCTAACGCTCAGGTGTAATCTGAATGGGAAACGATGAGTGTGTCGTCGGTGTGAGGTTGACATGGAGGAGGTTGTGTGGCGAAGAGGAGACGAGAGATTATGGGCAATCGTGTGGCTAGCCAGCTGAAGAGGAGAGCAGAAAATAGAAATGTGTCGTTGAAGCCTTATGTTCCACTTGGAACCCAACGGAATAATAGTAATAAGTCTTCAGGTTGTTGCACCGAATACCACTGAAACAGCCATTTGAATCTTGCTGTTGACGTTTTCTTGTTTCACTCTAAAGATACGAAATTTATGAAGTCATACTAAAACTGTCATTGTTTCTTTGATTTTCTAATTTTTGTATTTTATAGCTGTGTATCCCGAGAAGCTCAATCGCATATTCTCAGTTTAATTTCACTTTTATGGTCTGAGTTATCAACATATGTGCCTTACTCAAATCAATTTGTTCAGTTAAGTATTCACTTATTGAATTCATATCCTACATGGTCTGGTCGAGCACAACTTATTGAACAAGTTATTTGGATTTTAATGCAACGTCTTGAAGCTTTAAAACGTCATCCAAACCGTACACTTTATACAGCACTTATGGTAAGTATTGTTTTTTTCCTTCTTCACAAACTGTGCATATTCTGGTGCAGTTAGTCACTGAGTTGATATTCTTCAAGAAAAAGCTTTCAGTGGCATTCAGACTGCCGTTTCTATCATGATTTGAAATATCACTGAAACCTCCACTGTAAGTAATACTGAATTAGAAAACACAAAATTAAACATTAGTGTTTTGAGTTAAATTCGGCCATTATCATTTCAACTAGTGCGTATGTGTCTATTGTAAGAAAGGCTGTGATTCTTAGAAGTCCCTTGTGTTTGTTGGATGACGTTTGTTATTTAGACTAATGTATTAAATGATATATTATCTTTTCATCCGTTTTCTTCAGCATTTCACTCATTCTCAAAAAGGACTTTTACCCGGTGTGTCGATTCCGTGTGATTCTTCTACAAAAAGTGGATCTTCTGATGAAAGTATAGATGACATTACATGCTTACAATCCACTCATAACGATTCATCAACTCGGACATGGGCTTCTGTAGCAGCACATAAACCTGGTAGTTCTCATGCGCCTCCAACTGGTAATAGTGGAGGTCCTAATGAGACGACAGATGCTGACCAGACTGGATCTACAGACCTCAGTCGTAACCTTTCTGTCCTCCCTACACCATTTTCTTTATCTAGTTCAGCCTTCACTTTTGAACTGGAACCATGTTTGTTATGTCATGCAAAAGTGATAGATGAGCCATTTTACGTTGTATTTCGTTGGGATTCTGAACCAAATGTTCCGAGACGTTCACTTCAATCAGTCGTATCTACTATCTATAACAGTCGATTTACACAACAGTTTCGACAGTCACCATCAAGAATGTCAATGGCCCAAAACTCTTTACGAGGTACACCTCAACAATCTAATCTAAGCACAAGTGGAGTTGGTGAGTATTATTTTTTTCCTCGTCGGTATTCATTTATTCAAGTAAAATCTAAATTATTCGGTCTTATTTATAAAGAGTTCAGTTGTCTGGTACATGTTTTTTGTGTCAAGCTATTATTATTATTATTCTCTACGGTTCCGAGTGGAACAAATGGGCTTCAGTAGAACGTCTCCATTTCACCTTGTTTTCTGAGTTATCTTTTAGATGACTCCGCGATTGCCCATAAGCTTTCATTTCATCCTCACATGTCACCCTCGAACACGTAACGTCGCTTCCTATTCAGACTCCACTCGATGACCTGGCATGTGATATCACTCAACGGTCAATCCATCTCCATTTCCTTCTGCATACCTGTTGGGCAATAGATTATTTGTTGATATTAGATGGTTGGCGGCAATCGACAGGATGCCTTGGATCTAGGTTTCGTGCTGATTGGCATTCACTAGTCACCAAGCCATATCTGCAACCCTTCTGAGATTCGAACCTGCGTCACCCAATACTGCATTCAGAAACATTACCACTGAGCTATTCGAGCTGTACCAAGCAAAGGACTGGACACATTACACTAGTTGCTAAATAGTGTCCAACCAATAAGTTCTCTACTGGTTCATTTCCCAGATTCGTTGTTACTTATCCTTTCTGGCTGACCACCTAGTCTTCAGCATCTAGTGAAGTCAGTTGTTGGTGAAATTCTGCAGCCTGTCGGGAATGCTTTCCGTGACACACAAAGTCTCTGAACATACAGAATCACTGATCTGATGTTAGTGTTGAAGATCCCCATCTCGTCCCTTTGCTCAATTTAGCAGACTTCCACACTGATTGCATAGTAATGAAGTTCTCTCTTGCTTTTACGCTCCTGACTTTGACATCCTCATTCTGTGTCGCCTGTAGTTGAATTGCCAGAGTTATTGACTTTATTGATTTTATGGCATTTGACCATACCATACCATCCAATCGCCCAAGCTGAAGTAGTTAGAAAGAGATTCTAGACACACTGCTTGAAAGATTAAAAAAATAGTCATTCTCACGCATGTATAAGGATGATAATTAAATTTAACTAAAATATTTAAGTCATTAAATGATTGAAACCGGTGTCTTTTAATGTGCTCATTTAATTCGCTTCAATATATTCCTTTAAAATGTATTCGGTTTATGATACTTCTGTTAAATAAAACTATCCCTACAACAGAAGTCCTTTCAAAAAAACGTAAGTTTAGTCTCCAATTTGGGTAATTTTTAATCCTCATCATCTATGCGAGTACTCGGTGGCATAGCGGTTGGGACGCTCGCTGACCATGCACACGGTCCGCGGCTCAATCCCCGGCCGACGAACTCCTTTACCACGCTAAGCCAGTAATAAGACTGGTAAAGAGGGAAGGTTGGGTTTGAGGTTAACAGCCCTATTCTGTAAAACTAAACCCCATTGCTATCGAAACTTCAAAACTCTAGCTTGAAGCCCTATGTTCCACTGGGGAATGTGAAGGAAAAAAATTATCTGTGCGTAGCACTGCTTATCCGTGCTACCTTTTTGGGGCAATAATTTGCAAACCAAAGCCTATTATTTATCATTTCTCTGTTTAACAGATATTCAATTCACTTCAAATACAAGTCATACGTCTACAACACCAAACGCTTCTGGCGTAATTCAAACCACGTTGAATACACCTAAACCGTCAACTACACCAGTCAATACAACAGCCACCACAAGCGCTACAACAACAAAGACAACAACAATTAATACTACTGCTAATGGTGGTGGTGGGGGTCGAAGTGTTGGTGGATCTGCGACATCATCAAATAACGCCTTTTCACTTATCGTTCCAGTTCAATTGAAATCACGTGCCACTTCATCAGTTCATATTTTTGATCTTGAAAGTAGTTATTTAATTTCACAAATCACTGTTAAGGTATGCCCTAAAGAAGTAGTTTCTTTTCTTCTCTTTTTTTTCATTCTTTATTAATATTCGACTGAATCAAAGCTAGGAGGGAAACGGTGGTTTACATGTAGATTAAATTAAAATCTCAGAGTTCATGAATTTTATTCCCGGGCATTAATTAGATTCAGAGCTTGTTTTCCGCCTACGCAAAGTATGCTGTGATTGGTTGTTAAGTCAGTCTTTGTTCTTATTTTCACATGACCAATATTTGGGACGTACACATTGACTTAAGTTACTGTCTACCAATTTGGCTAGTAGCCAGCTGTCACCACAGTAGTAATTGATAATCGGTTCGTAAACAAATACGCCTTCATGTTAACTTTCGTTTTGCCAATGTTTGCTATTTTTTTTTAACCTTCCTGTATTAACTGACTGAGCTTCAGCGTAGAACTTTGTACAAAAGTGTATTAGTTTGAGTTGCCACAATCTATTCAGCACACAAAGGCAGAGAAGAAAAAGAAATTCAAAAGAACTGCACTGAACAGAAATATGAATAAGAGGAAGAATAGTATCGTGAATGAAAAAAACACATGAGGGTTTAATGAATCTGTGCCGATTATTAAGAGTAAGTGCATCTTCACTACTGAAAACGATTGATAAGCATATCATCTATACTTTCTAATCATTGGTTCTTAACATTCCGATGGCTGATGACTGTTGGTGATATGGTTCAAAATGATTCTCAATAGCTCAGATGCATTCACTCCGTATAATTTTTATGCTAAGGACTTTGTTTCTCATACGATGGCCAACAATTTCATTTATATTTTTACTAGCAAACCTGTGATTACATAATTGGCAGTTAATTAAGTAGGGCATTTAAAGTGTAAGTTTACTATGTAGAAATCTTTTAATACATCATTGGAGTATACTGTGGCATAGGCTACTGATAAGCTTTATAAGTAGTACATAAAGACTTGTCCATCGGTAGGGAGATACATTTGATGTCGGCTAAAGCAAATGATACAGTGTTGTGGAGATACATGGGAGACGTGAAAGGAACACAAGAAACACAATACGAAGGCCAGAAGTAGTATAAACAGATAGTGCGTTGAAGATAAGGTATGCATAATCTGGCTATATAGAGATACGAAATCCCAAATAAACATTCTTTTACCAAGTCCTTTCGTCTTCTACCATTGCAATACTACATAATGCTTCGTTCACATTCTTGTTTCCATTGTTCGTGGTTTAATAGGAAAAGGTCTTGTGATTTGGAACCACTAGCATATTGAACAATAGAGTTTCATACTTATGCTGTATTAATTTTGACCTCTAGTTGATCCTGGGTCATGTTACCCGTTACTTTATTTATTTGTGATATATATATATATATATATATATATATATATATATATATATATATATATATATAGTTAGATTAGATTTTCTAAAATATACTTTTATTACTTAATTATCTTTTCACTAACACAGTTCACCGTTATATCGAAACGTCCACGATATGTTCGAACTTTGAATGTGTATACATGTGATTCAACTGATCGTGCATCAGCAAGATTAATTCATGAACCACAATTATGGCAACCAGTTGCATCTGTACGCTTTAATCGTAATCAAACAATGGCTAGAATATGCTTTTCACATCCATCTCCTGTGCCTACATGGTTGACTGCAAATCAAGACTATGCTACAGATAAACGAATTTCAATGAATTCAAATTTTATTAATGATTCACTCAATTTAAAACAAAGTCCTGGCCTACCGATTCGTGCATCACGTTTAATCTTTGAATATGCAGATTTTCATTCTACTGGTCAAGAGGAACGTCGTGTCTGTCCACGTTGTCATGCCTCCGACTTACAGGGCAGTACATGTATGATGTGTCGTAGTAATGTGAATGAATGTTTCCGTTGTCGATCATTAAATTTAAGCAATGAAGATGTATATTTATGCGCAAATTGTGGAACATCAAGGCATGGTAAAATTGAATTCAGTATAACTGCCAGGTAATGTGAAATCATTGCGTATGAAGATATTTTCATGCATGTTCGTTCAAAGAGTACTTTTTAGAATTTTGGTTTATAAAAGATAAAGGCATCAACAGGACTGCCAAGTTTAAATAGTCAATGTTTCAAAATGTTTCCTAATTATTGGTTGGTTTGAACAGTACACCATTCCGAGATGAATGCAGTAATCGTTGTCTCAGACATCTGATTAATCCCGAAATGCATTTCTTTACAAACTGACATTCGCGTAGAAGTTAGGCAGAACTGAACAACGGTTTAATCAGATTTCGAGACTGTTCTATTGTGCAAGATCACACTCCTGTTATCGTCGTTATGCATTATGCTGCTATACAAAAATTGCCGATTTCAACAACCACAACTAGTAATTAGAACTCAGGAAAATTCATTTAGGAAACTGATACACTTTGGATTATCATTAGTATTTATCTGACCAGGAGGAGAAATGTTTAGTAAAATGTAGTGATTGTTTAGTTTCAGGTTTGATCATAGACTGATATCACTTAGAGAACCATTGGAAACGAGTCAGTACTGAACAGATGTTTCGTCTTTGTTTGGGGCTCGTCGTCAGTACGCACCCACTTGGATTTCTAGTAAGAGGTCGTGGTCAGTGGGGTCGGGAGTAAAAAAAATACTCGCCGAGGACACTGGTTGACAGTGGCACTAAAATCACAATTTGGTAGAAGTTAGAATTCATGGGCCATTGAATCGGGTTCCATTGGTTGAGTAGTCTACGTGTTTGCTTTGTAACTGGAAGGTCCCAGGTTTGGAACCTGGTGGGTCCTTACCTCCAGTGAGTTCCGAACTAGGATGAAACAACTGTCCAATACTCCCTGTTTTTTCAGCATTTCTATAACTGAAATTAGTCCATGATCACATTTGTTTATCTTTGCACCAATTAGCGTCATATTTTTTAGGGGCTAAAACACAGTAAATTATAAGAAACTAGTAATAGGAGTCTTTTAGTTGCTCACCTTTCATTTACATAAAAAATGTCTATGAAGATGGATCTCTGAAGGGTAGCTGTTATGGTCAAAATGCATCAAGCTGATGTGAAATGTATTCCTTCACTCAGCTCACTGCACGTGGTCACAGTAAATCGACTAGAAACTTTGGATCTGGGTTTTATGTTCACAGTGTCTTTTTGCACAAGCTTGTCACCATATTGGACACACTTCATCTAGGTATGTTTTCTGCATAACACTTTATTTGTTTTATTTTCTCCCTTCTGAAACCTTTTACAGACCATGCTACTCGGCTATTGAACCTCTACATGATCGAGATGATCGTGAATCTGCCTGTGGTCGTATTGTAACACTATCTCGAGAGTTAAGTAAAACCTCTCGAACACTTTCCCGTCTTATACAAGTTGATGTAATGGAGTGCTTATACAGGTTATGTTCACTAGATACTGGTACTCTTGATCTCATTTCAATGCCAGAATCTTTTGTTAGCAAAAATTCAAATAGAGCCTCGAGTAGTAGTAGTACTTCAGCAGGCGGTAAAGGTCAAGCAAACTCAAAAGATTTATCACAGTCTACTACACAGTCCAGTTCCAATTATACCAACTGTGTTAATCCAGCAATAATACGTCTAATTAATACTGCGCTAAAAGCAAGATGCTTAAGCTTGGATGCAGCTATAACAGCACGTCGTTTATGGGCTGCACGTCAGTCTGTTGTCGAATTCAATTTAGAAGAACAACATGAATCTGTTGGTTGTTTCCACAATGAATCTCCGGGCAATGAGAACAAACTTATAAATCCTGAAACTTCAAATATCAACTCTACTAAAACTCAATTAAATTATACCGAGTTAGATCAAATGTTTTGTAAGTTTACCCTTTATACGTTAAATGGAATTTTGGCTATTGCTACATGTATTTAATTTGTTTCACTTAGATAAACTGGTACCATAATTGAGTGGATAAATTGGAGAAAAACGGGTCTGCGAATAACAGTTTAACAGTTTTTCTTTATTCATTATCTCTATGAAATCTAATATTCAAACTTTTAATCGTAATGTCAAGTCAGTCAGTCCTTCTACATGGTTCAGATATTTGTTGCACATTTTGCCAAAAGTATTTCCAACAGCCTGCTATAGGCTTTCATTGATATATACCTCCCCTCGATGCTGAAGATCAAATGGGCCCCCGGAACGTATATTTATTTATTTATTTATTTAAACGCATAAAAACTTGGTACAATATGGCACCAAGAAGGATGCGCCACACAATAATAATAAAACAACATAGATCAAAAGCAAAAAAAATTAGAAGAGAAATATATATATATATATATATATATAAGTAGAGAACAGATAAAGAACTTCGTCTAGAAGGAAAACAGTCATGCTTAACAAGTTCAGACAGTATTCGTTAACTATCATCGGGAAGGGAAGAAAGAAGGAAATTGCAGGACGTGTAATAGCACGCCATTCAGTTTCCTTGATTGTTTGTTGCTTCATTCAATTCGTTGTGTGAGGGCTGAGATACTGCCCGGGCGCCCAGACCGAAGCAGGTGGTTTTATTAAGGGACCACCCCCGAACCTTTGACTTGTAGTCTAATCCGCAAGACAGCAGAGCAGCGTTAGGAGCTGCATTCCCATGGCTCCCGGTGACGCATATGGGTTCATACGCCATTTGATCCGACTGGATACTGGAGCCCATGTACCCCATGGTAACTGCTTTTAGTTTAACCGCTATCCAAACAACCTTCCTGACATGGTAGGACCTGCACGGACAGAGTCCCAGTCAGTTTAGCATGTTGGGTCATTACGGTATTTCAGTCCGACCACCACGACAAGGTAGTAGTTATCGGCCGGGTCGAAATGTATAAGCAACTATTGTCTAACTAATGAACAGAAGGAATTGGAGATGGGTTGGATGTATGCTGAGAAGACTGTTCAGTAACGTGTTACATGGACCCTCGAGTGAAACTCGAATGGAGAACGACGGGTTGGGCATACGAGGTGATTATATGAGCAGGAATTTAACACTTGTGGGGGGTCGTAAAGACATTTGTAATCGATAGTAAAGATCTGAGTGCTGTAAAGATGTGCTACTGAAGTCCGGCGCTACATTCAAAACTCAAGAGATGAACAGTGATATTCCTGTCATCATTAATATACGCGAAATAATTGTATTATTGTATGTATTATTGTTATTTTTATTTTATTCCTTTACGTTCCCAGTGAAATATAGGGCCTCAAGCTGGAGCCTTGAAGTTTCGGTAGCAGTGGTGTTTATTTCTACAGAATGGGGTTACTAGCCTCATACCCAACCTTCCTTCTTTACCGGTCTTATTACTAGCTTAGCGAGGTAAAGGAGTTTGTCGGCTGGGAATCGAACCACTTGCGTGGTTGGTGAGAGCATTCTACCTCCATGCCACCGATGCACACATATTCCTGTATTGCATATTTTTAGGCTAAACAAAAAAATTGAGATGTCTGACAATTCAAGGTAAACACACACACCTTCAATGATTGTGTATTGTGACTAGTAAACTTATTTTTAGCAGGTATTTAATATCCAGCTTTCAATGAGAATCTAGAAGTATCAGATATCTTTGAAATCTTCATGTAACACTTCTCTTAGTTATTTAATTGAATTTTTGATTTTCCCGTCGATTGATTGGACCGAATTGCTCGATCTCAGGTTGACATGTCGGCTTCTTGTGCATATGCTTCGAAGATGTCTGGGTATGTAATTAGAATTTAATTGGCGACTGGTGACTAGCAGTAGAATCCAGAATGTGCATTTCGTCCTATTTAGGACTCGTTAGTCTTCTACAGATCAGTGATCATTTTGAAATAAATTTAAACTTTTCCAAATGAATTTATCTGGAACAGTGAAATCCTCCTTCTAAAAGTTAGCAAACTGATCTCATCATGTTTATCTTAAACTTTAAATGTTCTCGAAACCTTCTCATTAAATCTATATCGAAATTTATGCAGTCGGTTTGAAGTAACCATTTTCTGTGATTATAAATATCTTGTGTTATTACTTGACTCTTACTTACACTTTGTTTTAGATCCTTCTCTTGCTGGTTGTTATTGGTGTCTGATGAGTACTATCTACCAGTGTAGTCATTTTCTACGATGTATTTCCGAATTCACTTCGTTAACTACACTGAGAAATGTAAACAGAACGTGGAACAATTCACACTGGTTATTCGGTGTTACATCTGATGATCATACATTCCGTCTGTTCAATGCATCATCATCTAAAAATTCATCAAAGACAGTTACTACTTCTGTGGATATTGTACAGAATTTAATTAGTGATCTCATTGAATCTGGTTTAAATATTTATCCTCAACATTTACAACAAGAATTACGTGTCCTGTTGATATACTTAACCAAGGATTGTCTACCTTTGGTAGGTTTTAATTTTTGAGAACAAAATCTGTTTTAGCTATTTTATTGTCAGTGTTCATGGGTTTCACACTTCTGAAACAGTCATTTGTCAACAACTGAAAGTGCAACCATTGATTTCTAACATTTTCTTCAGATACCTTATTCAGTGCGATATGATACCCTGGCTAGTGACATTCAGTATACTGAACTAATGCACAGTTTTTAATTAAAATGTATTGGCATTACGGGATGTCATCATGAGCTAAAATTAGTTAATTAGACAACCATCGGAAAACCTGAAAGTACTGGACACCTGTTTCATCCTGGTTTGGGACTCTTCATCAGTACGTACCCACCGGAGTTCGAACCTATGACCTTCTGGTTACAAGGCGAGCTTGTATACCATTAAGCCACTGGGACCCGATCCAATGGCCCATGAATTCTAACTTCTGCCAATTCACGACGTAGCACGACCCCTAGCCAAAGTCTTCGGTAAGTATTTGTCCTCCTACCCCACCTGCTGCACCCTACCGGTCATGACTTCTCACTAGAACCCCAAGTAACTACCTACCTGAATAGGGCAAGTTGCCAGTGAGCATCTCATTGGTATTTAAGTGTTGGTTTGTAGGGATTGGATTGGTTACAGAATTTCATCATGAGCTGTATTGCTATTAGATAAATCGGCTGATTTTACGGAGATGATGACTGATTTTGAGTATATCTTTCAGTTAGTCGATGGAATGACCGAAACTTGAGTGTTTTTGCATATTATACGTCTGTCGTTAATACTTCTTTTTCCACTGATATAGCTAGATGAGGAAATGGAATTTGTAAGACCGGTCGTAGTGTCCTGGAGTTATATTTGTACTTTTCTAAGCATTATTTACCTCCAATAGTATTATTTGCACCACTACTTCAACAAACCTTAGAATAGATACCGAAACTTTGTTAGCTGTAAGATCACCTTACATTTAGTGTTGGCCTTATTTAGACTGCCTTTACTAAAGCTACTGTTTATCGTTTGTACTCATCTATTCTACTGTTGTATTGCCGGATAACTGGCGATACCACTACGCCTTTAGACGTAAATCCTTAATCGTGAAATTACCTGTTTTCAGTCCCTTCTCCAGTTAATTTTTGGGCAACAGAGAAGTTCAGTAAACTAACATTTCAATCGGTGTAGCATAGTTAAAATCCTTCCGGTATTCAAGTTATGCTATCAAAATAAGGTGTTTACTACTGGGAGGAGTTAATCACTCATAGCAGCCTTTTGTAGCACGAGTATTCTATTGTGTAGACTACCGTCTGTTTTCAGCATCACACGTGAGAAATTATCATGTCGTGTTACTATATTTAATTGCCTAACTTTGTATTATATTACACATTTCGGTGCTATATTTTAAGTAACACCTCCCTTAAAATGATATGACTTTCACTGTGTATTATTTTTTCTTTGAAAAAAAAAATAGATTTCTCATCTTGGAGATATACTTAGCGAACGACTAATTAAAACAGCTTATACTCATGGTGATCAAGCCCATCTGTTGGGACCTTTGTCATACAATGATGTATGCCTGTTACAAAGTAGTGTTGAAGCTATCCTACCAAGAAAATCACATGGCCAATTGCGCAGACAACCGATAGATCATACTATCGAGAATTGGGAGGCAAGAATTCGTCCTCTCTTCAAAATTCTATCAAAACTTTCCAAAAACAGCACTTCTGACTGGAATCCCTCTGTTCCTGTCGTACAAAATATCCTGTTACCGCTTATAGAATCATTGCATGTATTAGTTTCATATAAACCTAATCCTTTTAGTTCAACACTTACAAGTCCATCGATTATACGTACAATCAGTCAGTCGACTGACAATGCAAATGATGTTCAAACTGGAGCCAGCGGTGAAACTCACCATCATCAATCAGTTGTTGTTGTTTCAAATCAGCCTAATTCAGCTAGCGGAAGTGTGAATATTCCACATATGCTACCTCATCTACATTCTAAACAATTTTCACATCTAACTGATACAGAGTCGATTGATTTCCATGCATGGCTGTCGAATCAACCCCATGCTTCATATGTGGTAAGCTTCTTTTTCTTTTCTTCAAATGATTCCTAGACACGTCATTTTTGTGTTGATCATTGAGTACGATTAGCTAGCTATATCGATTTGCAGGATAACACTCAGATAGGTTGCATACTTGGAAACACTAGTGTTGTATGCTGAGGATCGTCGTATTCAAAGTGATGTTTAAGCTTCGAATTGTTCTATTACACTGTAGGTTTATATTAGTTAAATAAAATTTCTGAGCTGTAGGACTAAAATATTAACTAACAAGCTAGCAACTCTACGGGAAGAATAATTGTCTACATACGCCTTGCTGACGAGTGCCTACTAGCACGAAACCTAGGTCCAAAGCTTCCTGCCGATTGCCTCCAACTATCTAAAATCGTCTACATAATTATAAAAAGTTGTAGGAAAAGAGACGTATAACACGTATTATGAGTATTGTTACTAGTAAAAAGGATGTACAACTTTCACTACTCCTATTTGAGGTGGAGTGCACGAAAGTGTTACGTAATGGGGGATTAAGATGACGTTGTATTACTAAGAGACGGTGGGAAACGAAAAAACAGGGATATCCTGGACCGACGTGAAGAACCTAGAAGACCTGGATTTCGCTTGTAGATGATTTATGTTTGATGTCACACAAAATCGAAGACTTACAAGCGAAAACCAACAAACTGGTCGAAGAAGCAGTCGGCGAAGACAGGACTCCATGTGAACATAGACAAGATGGAGGTTATGAAAATAACCAAACAACAACAGCAGCAATATCCAGTGTCAATCACCATCAACGGGAGGGATTTGAAAGAGGTTACTTCATTCATTCATTCACTTATCTAGGAAGCATTGTCTCAACTACAGGAGGAGCGGACGAGGATGTCAAATCGAGCGAGAATCAGGAAGGCGAGAAACACATTCATCAACCTAAAATCAGTCTGGAAATCTTCGTCACTCAGCCAGAATCAACAACAAAATTCGGTTTTGATTTTCAATACAAACGTCAAGTCAGTCAGTTTTTCTATACGGATCAGAAACTTGACGGGCGGGTCAAAAAGAATATTTCCAACAGTCTGTTGCAGACCTTTATCAACAACTAACTGTCTTCGCTCTATACTGAAGATCAGATGGTCGGGCCGGGCCGGAAAGAATCACCAACAAGAAACTATGGCTGGGAACAAACAAAACCAGAACCAATCGCCCACCAAATATGCAGGAGGAAGTGGAAATGGATTGGACACTCGCTGGCTGAGGAGGCCGCTGGGTGACATGGTGCGCGCGTCAGGCCATTGCTCGAGTGGAACCCGGCGAAAGAGAAGCGGCGAATTGGTCGTCAGTGCAAGGATGACATGGAGGAGATCGTGTGAAGAGGAGTTGAAAGAGTATGGACTAACATGGATGCAGGTGAAAAGTGTAGCAGAAGACAGAAGCAAGTGGAGACGTACAGTTGAAGCCCTGTGTTCCACTAGGAACCCAAGGGAGCAATAAATAATAAAAAATGTATTACTAAAAACCTAATCAAAAGTAAACATTGTTGTTTGAAGCATCCTTTTGAGTTTATTCACAAACATAATTTCATGTATCCTAATTCGTTCTATGATTATAAAGCCAATTTAGTTGATCTGAGTCGATTAGGTCATCAAAGCAAAGGATCCTAACTCAGTTTAAACAAAACTTGATAACATTATTCCATTAAACAGAAGGACTGGTTAGGTGATAAGCCTTCAGTCTTACGCAAGAGGAACTGATAATAGAACGTTTGTTTACTGAATCAACGCTAGACACTTGCAATAAGAATTACTCATGATTTACTTCAGTTATTTGTAAAATGTAACGAAAATATTATACCATTTGATGTGATAAGACACTAACACATGTGCGTCTGTGGCACAATGGTAGAATGCTCTCCGACCACGCCTCATGTGGTCCGGGGTGCGATCCCCGGCCACCGACACACTCCTTTACCTCACTAAGCCAGTAATAAGACGGATAAAGAGGGAAGGTTGGGGGGGGGCATGAGGCTAGCAACCCCATCCCGTAAAGAAATAAATACGACTGCTACTGAAACTTCAGGCCTCTAGCCTGAAGCCCTTATATTCCATTGGGAATGTAAAGGAATAAAAAAAGACACTTACATATATAAGTAGTTTGATTTGTGTTTTAAGAAGCATCATTATACTGACTGCATACAGCATTGTTTAATTTGCCTCAGTAGCCTTATGGCTGTGACAAAGTCCCTTAAGCCAACAGTCTTTAAAGCCGACTTTTTCTAACTCCTCTTCTAAAAGTTTTTCATTTATAAATACCTTCTGCTTACCTCAAAATTATGCTAAATACTTAACAAATTTGTTTGTTTCAATTTTTTTAGGCTTGGAAAGAACATATGTCAATAAAAATGAATTCTGTGTTCGCGTCATCATCTCATCAGTGTGTACGCTCACCGTCTACTCAAACTGATGAACAGATATCCCACTGGAAGGATCTAGATTTCAAACAATCCTGTCTAGCTATGCGTTTCGCAAGACACTGGAGATGTATTGTTGAAGAGAAACGGTGGGCAAGACGCTGGGGTGTATTAACCACTAAGTCATGTAAGTGTTTCCTGGATTTCATTTTCACATATATTATGAAAATCCATGAATAAGCAAATTCTATTGAAAATGAGGATAATAGATAAAATTCATGTAAAGTGTGTGCACTGATTTGTACATCTCCTACAATGTATAAGTCATCGCCTAATCTCTCAATGAAATATCCATCGTCTAATGTTTTAGGGATATAGTTCATTGACTTAAACACTCGGCTTACAGCTAATAGGTTCCGAGTTTAAATAGTAATACACCTAATGCAGCCTCGTCAAATCTCATGAAATAAATGTGGCTTATGGTTTGTTACATGAACTACCATAGCTAACCCCTGACAACAGCAACAACAACAATCTAATATTTCATCCTGGTGAACATCTGAGCCATATTTCCCAGCTGTCCATAGATATATCTGCTACGATAGGGGATATTGGTGGCTCATAATACGTTTAATCCTACTCCAAAAAAAATATGGTGGAGATATGTGGATGACACTTTTACTCACAGTGTTAAAAACAGAATATATCTCTAGCTTCTTGACACACATAGATTCACTAGTGGAGGGAATAAAATTCACATTTGAAGCGGAAAATGAACAAGGAGAATTAGCAATGTTAGATTGTAAAATAAAACGAATAGAAGAAGATAAACTGCACACTAGTGTGTACAAAAAAAACCAACTCATTCTAATAGATATTTGGACTTAAATTCATCTCATCCGTTAACTGTTAAGGCAGGCTTAGTTAAGTGTTTAACAAACTGAGCAGTAGCACTAAGTAGTACAAGAAAAGACCTAAATGATGAAATAAAACAGATAGAAGAGGCGTTAGTGTTAAATAAGTATCCTTTAAAATTCATTAGGAAGATCGAAAAAGACCAAAGGAAAAATAAAAATAATTGTGGAACTAGTAATAATAACATAAATAAGAGAGAATATAAGTCATCTACAGTTATGCCATATAAAGAGGGGACATCTGAGACCGCACTTAGGATTCTAAATAAAGCAGGAATTAGGGTGGCATTTAAACCTAAAAACTCACTCAGGGACAAGCTCTGTAGGTTAAAGGACCCAGTTTTTTATTTTTTTATTTTTGATTCCACACTGTATTTTTGGTACAAGTATGGAATTTTCAGCATGGATATCGGTAACCCAAATTTTTCAGGCCGACCATAGATATCAGGTGTGTGTCGGCGAAGGCTCGAACCCCGGACCATGTGCATGGTCGGCGAGAGTCCTAACCACTGTGCCACCGACGCAAAATAATGTAGTTTACAAAATACCCTGCAATGGCTGTGAGGTCAACTACATAGGTCAAACTAGTAGGTCGCGGGTTATCAGATTATCGGAACATAAGAATTTAGCTAAGGTAAGAATATTTGACCCCGAGAAGATAAGTAATTTAAAAGAACGCTCAGTAATTGCAATGCATGTATTAACACAACCTCACAATAGGATAGGAGAGGGTTAAAATTCTAAAAAGTAATCTAGGTAGGTGGAGAGAGAGGTTGATTACTGAATCCTTGTTCATCGAGTCTACACCCAACACATGCAATAGGAATGATTCATCACTCATACCTGAAATATGGAAAATACTACTACCAATCAAATCAAGCGAAAATCAAGTGAAAAATAATGGAACCATATAAATGAAGTTAGGAAGTCGTGTGAGGACCTTGATATGATTATGAGCAATAAATTGTGCTCGAATCGTCATCACTAAACATCACTGTGTCATAGGAATTCATCATTAAAATGATTTCGTTTTACATTATACCTAAATGTATGCTTATATCTCTTATTATGGCTATTTGCATAGATAAAGTTAAAATACTCTTGCAATGAGTAACTGCATAAAATCCTACAGAATCCAGATTCTTGTCATATAACATGCTTGTAAGCGATTATTATTACCCTATGCAGGTTCATCCATTGATCATTCACCAAAAGTTGATACTCACATATTGATCTGTTCTCCTCTTTTTCTCTCTTCTGTCTAATAGCTTCCATAAAAGGCTGTTGTATATCGTCTGATAGTTGGTTGACAAAAATCCTCTTCTCACCACCAGATTCCAATGCACGCGGAGTATATGATTGTATGAAGCTACTGAAAGAAATCACAACTAACTTTGTACCAAAACTGATTTCAGAGTCGTGTAGTCAATTGTCACTTAGTACAGAATGTATCAATGCGTTGAATATTTTGTTCAATAAACGTCGATGTATTGTACTACGATTTCTCACTGAAATTTGTATTCCTCGATTGGATGAATTGGCATCAACACGTGATGCAGCCTTATTACTAACTGATGGTGGTAGTGTGCCAACGACTTCAACTTCATCATCCACAACAGCAACGACAACAACCACCCAAACAGCATCTTCATCATCATCAAAGAATGGTACAACACCTTCTGTTCCAACGGCTGGAGATATTTTTGTTACAGAATTTTATCACTTAGCTACATCGTCCACAATTTCATCAGAACAGTCTTCTAAAGAAAGTCAGCAAAAACTTACGCATGCATCTGCTAAAACAGCAACAAGTGCTACTGGTCAGAATACAACAATTTCTATTTCAAAATCACCATTTATTCCTTATTTATTAATTAAAGGGAACTTTTTAGGTTAGTTTAATATTTTATTTTTCTCCTATTCTCATTCTAATTCATCTGTGTTGAATGATTGATTTTAATGGCGAAGTTCAACAACAATAACGTCCCAAGGAGTGCGAACGCATGATTAACCTTGAGCCGACCAATCATACAAGTGAGGAATTTTTGCACAACAAAGTGACGTATATTCACAGGAAAATGCAAGAAAACATATTACACAGGTTATCTTTCTCTGAAATCACTTAGAAATACATCCAAGTTAGAATGAAGAGTTTCATTTGCTAAGTTAGACTAGTTTCTTTCTGTACATGTATTCACCGAGGTTATTGAAGACGAGCTGTTTTTCTGAATCGTTCATCTCTCTTATCCTGTTGTGCAGCCCTCTCCAAAGCCCTCGGTTGAATTACTATGGTTTCCAGTAAGAAGATCGACTACTATTTACCAGGAAAATGTGGATAAAAAAACAAATTAAAGTAACCCTAATTCTAACTCCAATGAGCTATTAACACATTTTCCAAACAGTACTTAAAAATGTGATTGGAGTAAAATTTGCTGCTTAGTCGGTGAATAGTGTTGATATTTCAGCTATGATAATGATAGGTGCTGTGAGCCAATGACTAGCGTGCATTCAAGGTCCTTGAAGCATTCGCACTCCTAGGACGCTATTGTTGAACTTCGCCATTTTAATATCACATTTCCTAAATACCTAGGTTGGTGTTTCTAAGTATTCATGTCACAGTGAACATGGAGTTTATTATGCGACTATCTGTCAAGTATCCTGCTAACTGTAATATAAAAGAAATTGATTTATCTTGAAACCATACACGTCTTCACAGAACCTCTAAAGTTCAATGTCAGGACATTTATTGATCCTTTTTTGGTAATCTATATGCATAATTTATTGTTCTATAATGTATTTAATCTCCATATATTATAGGTTATGTCAGAATTTTAGTTCGAAAGCTGTTATCACAAATAACTTGTATTGAATCTGCACGTATTCAACATTGGAATGAGTTGATGGCTGCTACACTAAGCCCCATAAGTGGTTCTGGTGCATGTAATGGAGGTGCTCCGGGTTACGCGATAGCCTTAGTTGCTGAACTGCTGAACGTACTTAAACCACTTGTGAGTTATTTTGTTGCCTATATTGAATTTTAATGTGTATTAGTGTATGTATTGTTACTATTATTGTTCCCTTGGATTCCTGGTGGAACATAGGGTTTCAACTACACGTCTCCACTTGCTTCTGTCTTCCTCCTGCTGTACTTTTCACCTGCATCCATGTTAGTCCATACTCTTTTAACTCCTCTTCACACGATCTCCTCCATGTCACCCTCGCACTAACGTCCCACTCACCGCTTCCCTTTCGGATTCATGTATTGTTATTAGTCAACATAAATTAACTGATGAGAATAAACAACTGAAAATACTGTAAACGTTTTACTTTTTATCTGTACAACTGGCAGTTGATTCTTTAATTCAAAGTGTACTTTTTAAAGTGGATGAAATGAACTTTTCGGAAGGTTCTTTTCTGTAATAACCTGAAAACGAGAGCTTTCAAATTATTTCATCGTATCCCACCGAATCCTTCCAATAGACTTCGTATTCATCTACTGCACATAGCTGAGGCGATAGGCATTCGAAGTATTAAGCCTAAACTATGCACTCAAAAGAAGTTCGTACAGCCATTATGCTCTTCCTTAGCCCATTAAGGCATAACCAACTGATAATGTCACCACCACCCCTTACTTATATTTTCAACCCCTCTCTTATCATCCCTTAATCTTATCACATCTTTATTAAAACGTAGTTTATTTACTTCCCTTACAATCTAGCATTAACTAATCGGTTCATTTGTTTTTCTTAACCTTTATCGACAACTTCTACCTGAACATTTATGTCTATTTAATCAGGCTGTTTATTTTCGTTATTCTTGTTATCACAGATCGTTTCATTTTTTCATCCTTTTTGTTGATAGAACCATTATTATATCACGAATTGGCAGAAGTTAGGCTTCATAGGCAGTCGGATCCCATCTCCAGTGGCTGGATGGATGGTCAGTGAGCTCGCCTAGTAACCTGAATTTCCTGGTTTCGATCCTTGGTACTTCACCATGGAAGTGTACTGCTGAAGAGTCCCGAACAAGGACGTGTCCAATTCTCCCTCGATTTTAATATTCCCCTAACTGAATTCACTCGGTGATCAACACTTGATGTTATTCATTTTATGCCCTTGAAACATTTTGCCCACCATCGGTTTTCATTCAGGATGTCTCAGCTATCCTAGGTAGACTGACTCTGACTATACGAAAGGTGTTTTTTTGTTGTACTAAAACTGTTCACTCCGGAAGATTGATTAATTGATTCTAATCCGTGTAGAACTAACTACTCACCATAATCGGTAACAATTTTTTATTTATACTGTTGTTCATGAAATAAATATTTTATTTTATTGGACATGTTTGTTTTTTGTGCCTTCAGAAACAGTTGACAAGATCACAACAAAATCTGTTACTGCGTATTCTGTTACCAGCATGTGCTCAATTAAGATATTTAATATTTCAACGCGCTGATTGTACTGTTAAAGCACAGACTATATTCGATTCTATGCTAGCTGAATTGACTGGTGTTTCCGGTGCACAAATTAAAGAATTTCTATCCGTAAGTTCCGTAAAAATAATAATAATAGATAACCGATATATTTTTTTATTTAATCATTTCTGTATATCTTAACGTATTGTATTATTATTATTACTTCTTTGTATTGTGTTTAACAACAGACTGTGTTAGATGTCCTAGCTGAATATCCAATTGATGATCATCGATCTGGAACTTATTTGTTACAAAGATTGTGTACTCCTGTCTGTCCATTGCACACTGATCAGTCTGTTTTCCAGATTAAATTAGAAGTATGGCGTCCACATGAAGATTATCTATTGGCTAGATCAAGAATTGAAATTTTACCGTGAGTGTTGTTTTATTATTCCATTGGATTAACATAATTCAAGTTGTGGTATCAATACAGATGGTATTAAGAAGACAGTTGCATCGAAGAAAAAATTTTCTTGGCGAAGTCATCATCTAGGCTGTACATTCATGTATTTATATCAAATGGATGGGCAAGTTCCAGAATAATTTCCGGTTAAGGGTCAAATTAGTAAAAATTAAAATTAGGAATTATAATGCCATAATAAACAGGGGGATGGATAAAACAAACAAAGTAGCATCATAATAACTAAGAAAATTGACATTTGTGCAATTGGGGGTTAGAAATGTAGAAATAGTAAAATGACAAAATAAACAGGGAGTTCGAATATGAAAATATGATAGTGTAAACAGGGATTAAGAAAAACTTAAAATAACATGAATAAGCAGGAAGTTTAGATAAGAAAGGCGATGGGATGGTAATTACTAAAAAATTACCTGTTTATGATGACCATGGCAGGGACAGGGGTTGGACGTATTTCTTTTGCATACAAAGCGTGGGTTTGAGCTTTTGGGTAGCTAGCGTCTCAGCTATACCCAGATGTCTTGATTTCACTCCCTTTGATAGGTTTGGTTGAATCTTGTATGTTACTTTGAAGGATTTTTCGAAAGGCGCTGAATGTCCTGAATTGACCAGATGTTCTGTCACTGAACTGTATACACGCTTTTGGTCTCATTTTACTAACCAGGCTGGGTAGTGTACACGAGCGCGTTTTTCAAGTCGGCGCATGGTACGGCCAACGTACTCAGCTCCACAAGAGCAAGTTAACACTCTTGAATTTGTTTCATACATCTCTATCAAAATGTGAAACAAAACTCCGCGTAACAATTCTATGTATTTATATGCATTTGGCAAATCAGTCACGCGTACTTTTATTTAAGGACTTGTGATACTATCAACCTGTCTAAACCTTGGCAAGTGAAGCTACTGCTGAGTAGTCTGAAGTTGGATGACTTAACAAATGAACTGCATTCACGGTTTCTTGACTTACTTATTGACTTGGCAATGTTTTAGAACTGTGCACAAAACTCATCACTTAATGTTACCACATTTGAAATTCAGCGTTTAACTATCGTCTAATGCAAATGAAATCCCAAAGTATGCCTCTTTTTTTCATCATTTGTTGTAGCTTTAGTTTCAGATTACTGAAAACTGTGTTGTAGTCTCTTAACACGTGCATAATCTCCTCATCACCAAGTTAGGACCGGGTCCCAGTGACTTAAGTGGCTTACGAGCGAGCTTGCCTTATAACCAGATGGTCATGAACTCGAACCCCTATGGTGGATGCGCACTGCTAAAGAGTCCCAAACTAGGATGAAACATCTGTCCAGGACTCTGTAGGTTTTTCAATGTCTCTCTAATTGATACCAGCTCACTCACTTACTTCATGTTTATCATTACTTTGTTCCAAACTATAATTGTGTGTTTTTTTTTACTTTCTTTTCTTGTGTTATTTCAAGTTCTGATACACGAGGTTTAGGTCCACGTATACACAATCTCATACATTTCATCTGTGATGCTAACAATTTGACCACAGATATGCGATTGGAAATTGTATGTGAAGGACAGATTTTAATGCCTCAATTACGTCTACACGATGTGTACAACCAAATATGGTGTGCTAATAAAAACAATGTAAGTGCATACTTGTATTCTCATAAGTTTTGTCCCATGGGTTCCGAGTGGAACATAGAGTTTCAGCAGCAGCACATCTTCATTCCACTATGTTTTTTGCAGTCTTTATTATACTTGGCTGCACTATTGCACATAGAATTTCATCTTCTCATCACACGATCTCCTCCACGAAACTCTCAGACGCTTACGTCGTCGTTTTCCATTCGGGTTCCACTCAAGTGCCTGATACATGACGTAACCGAGCAGTCTCACCAGAGTGTCCCATCCATCTCCATTTCCTTTTATATATTTGTTTGACAACAGGTTTTTAGTTGATTCATTGCCAGAGTTGTTTGTTGCTAATCCTTTCTGGCCGGTCATTAGATCCTCAGTGTCGAGCTAGTGAAGACAGGCGCTGGTAAAAGTCTCCAGTAGGTGGCTGTTAGAAATACCCTTCATGATGCGCCATTTCTTTGAACCGTATAGAAGAGCTTACTTGTTCTTTATATTACCCCAGAACCTATTCTCCAAATAGATTGTTGAACATTATAATTGATGTGAAGTGTTTTATCTTTCAATTAAATTGTTTGTAATTCTTTTATTTCAACTAACAGACGACGTTTCGTTATCCTCCAAGAAAAATACTTACAGGTATAAGTTTCAGCCCAACGATCATTATCAAAATGGCACACTTTTGTTTTACTCTTATTTTGATACATTTTTGTTTCTCATTTATTTTTGTTCACTTCTATTTTTCAAGATAAATAAACCTATGCGTTTACGATATCGTATACCTGGCTTGGAAGCAGATAATCTTCCCTACGTTGAAAATTTATCCTCAGAACAAATTCCACCAGAACAATTTTCACATATATCTGTGCTGGCTACACATCCTCATGGATTAGGCGATTTATTAAAACGATTGGCTAGTTCACGAAATGCCATCTACAATCTTGATTTAATCGATGTTATAGTACATATACTGGAGTATTGTTTGGAAATACCTGCATGTACAGAACGTTTACTGATCAGGACATAAGGTAGGCTATTATTGATTTTTCTTTCTACTTATTTTACACTGGCTGTGCGTAACTTGAGTTTTTTTTCTTTAATTGAATTTTTTTGTTCTTCAGTTTCGTGGGTATTTTTAGGAACTTAGGACAGTTGGACTCCTGGTGCGGTTTTTCCCCTTTTTGTTGTAGTTTGTTGTGGTACTCAGACTGTTGTTTTCTCAGAAGTTATATTTTTAGACCTCACGCTCTTTGTTTATCTGTTTTGTATCCTATGGTTGTTTATGATAAGATGAATGGTCGTCTTGATACTAGTCTTTAATATTTGACCGCGGACGTTTCATCGTTAAGCTTGAGCGTTAGCATCTTTGGGAACTACTTTTACATGTGCGTTTGGTTGGTTTGATCGTTGAACTGTTGGCCAATTTGCTTGTTTTTAGATTTTAGGATCCGCTCAATCTACTGTCACCTCAATAATCGCGCATAGAGTTTTACACACTCCCCAGGCTGTATTGTTCGTTGTCATTTCTACACGTGTAAGCATGAATTGTTTAGCTGTGAGTAGTACATGATTTATATCAAAAATGTACTCTTATTTCCTTTGGTACTAAATTCATCATCACTAACTCTTTGGATATCGCATGAATATGTACTGATAGATTGTTTTGTATATTTCTCATTTGTGATTATCGCGTAATCATGTATACCTTCACACATCACCTTCGGGTGGTGGCCAGCTATGCTATCGGTGGCACAGTGGTTATGACTCTCGCCGACCATGCACATGGTCCGAGGTTCGATTCCCTGCCGACGCACACCTGATATCTATGGTCGGTCTGTAAAATTTTGTCTACCGATATCACATGCTGAAAATTCCATACTTGTATCAAAAATACAGTGTGGAATCAAGCTGTAATCGAAAAAAGGAAACACTTCTGTTACATCCTTTTTCGTTATTAGTATGAATTTGCCCACAAACTTTCAACATAGTGTTAACAACTTACACTGCGGTAGTAGCTACTTTTAGTCCAATGGCTATCCAAACAACCTTTCTAGCATGATAGGACCTGTAGGAATATTAGTTCCAGCTAGTGCATCTCGTCGGGTGACCACGATATGCAAACCTTGACCACCACGTCAAGGTAGCAGCTATCGGTCTGGATTATCCTACATTTATTCTTTCAAAACTGATTTTCTTCATTTATTCATTTGTTTATTTCTGTTTAACAGAGCTGTACCTAGATTGCTGTATACGCTAATTATATGCTTGCAATCAAGACAACTGAAATCGATCACTAATACTCAACAACAACAACAACCACAATCTCAACAGTCGATTGATGTTCTCGAAGATATTACAAAACGTTTAATTGCAGTATTCAAAACAATCCTTGAATTAGTTGACGGAGAGTGGAATTCTGCTGGTTCATCTCAGTCAGGTTAGTGAATTTACACTAATTTTAATGAATCACTGGATAACCTAGTTTACATTTGAGTCTTGTGTCTATGCGCTCAGGCCTTATTCAGAAATATTAATAAGTACCCGGTTAAAAGTCAACTTTCATTTCCCGTTAAATGGTTATGTCTGTCTGTCTGTTTTCGACATAGAACTTTGCACATATGTGCGGCACTTCAAGTCGCCAAACTCCCTCCTAGTAGCACACAAAGCAACAGAAGAAAGTAGAAGAAATGCATATTAGAGATAGTAAACAGAGGTGTGAGACAAAGGAGGAGTAATAACAAAGAACGATATAGTTTCATTGGGAATCATAAGTCACAAAGAGTGGATGCATCTGCGCTAGTCATTGAGAACGATTTTGAGCCATGTCATCAATTGTTTCCAACCATTGGTTTTTACCGTCCCGAGGACCCAAAACCAGACTGACAGTCTACACCTCCCTACGTGACTGGCTTACACTAACTGTTGTAGATTTCATTGACTGGTTCCATGTTTTGGTTTGACCACCGCTAGCCCTTTTCCAGCCTGACCCTATGTCAGCTAACATTGCCTGTTGTCGAGGAAGGCGATGACTAGGCATACGTAACACATATCCTAACCATTTCAGTCGATGTAATTTACAGCCTCGTCGATTGATTTCCCCTCCCACCTACCTAGCACTCGACCGAGGTCTAACCTCAACATTGCTCACCTTATTATACCGCTTCACACGAGAGATAGAATGGTAGAGATAGAGATAGATGGTTATGTTGGACCAAGATGCTTGAACTCCATTGATTTACACCCGTCACGCATGAGTTGACTGTCGTAGCCTAGTGATTGATGATTTCACGTTTGAAACAATGAATTCCAGGGATGACAAGTCCCAAATCGAACACCCATATCTCATTGGTAATGCAGATGTTAATCCAGCTCATGAGTTTTAAATAGGACTAAATGCGCATCCGCTGAATTCCACTGTTTGTCATTGTCAACAAATGGTTGAATGAAAGTACACTTAAACGGACAGTATTCACTATTTAGTATTATTTATTACAATTATTATGATTATTAGAATCAGCATATTAACACTTATAAAACTCCAGAACTTAATATTTATTGTCTTTCTTCTTTTTTTTCCTTTTCATTTTCTGTTCTTCAAAAACTAATTACAATGTGGAATGTGTCCGTTTATATGTTGTCATCGATTTGGTAGATCTGAATTCAGTGAAATTCCTGTTGAATTTCATCAATACTCAACCAGCTTTACCAAATATCAGCTTAGATGTAGCACGTCTACTCGGTTTAATGACATTTTCAAATGAAAAGATAATGGATGTGATAATTGACTTCTTGAAAGTAAATTTAAATCAATTAAAGTAAGTTCAACAAAACGCTACGTTTCAATTCATTTCTTTAAGAGGATTATTTCATCTATAAGAAGTGTGTACCATCTAAATAAATAAATAAATGTATGCATATAATGGTAAAGGAGTTACATAATTAAGATGATGAGCGACTAATAAATTAGGTAACAATGGACTGAGTTCAACTTAAATCATAGAAACAAAATAGATAAGCAAAATTACACTACATCAAAAGGGGTAAGGTTAAAGCCAAAGATTACATAATCAAATGAAGGAGAATAAAGACATCCAGTAACCAGGTTGGCAAGGAAAGACTGATAACTGCTTCTTTCTGGACACATAAGTCGGGTTTCAGGCGTTTGATAAAGATCGCTTCGGCAAATTTGAGGAAAATTGAGATTTTTCGTCTATTGTTAATTTTAAAGGATTTTGCAGTTTCCACCTCATGACCTGTATAAAGGAGATGCGTGGTAATGGCACTAATGTAAGCGTTTGCATCCTTGAGACGTGTGTCTTTCGGTACACGTTCAGAAAATCTTCTTTCTGTTCTCCTAATGTAACTGCTCCCGCAGATACACGTAAATTTGTATACACAGTTGGAGTTGTTAACCATGAGAAGGGTATCTGTCGACTTTTAGCTGAACTAAGAAACATGTTGTCCTATAGATGGGAACCAGCTTGGCTGCATGATAAGCTCTGGCTAGTAACGTACTCAATCTCCTGTTGACTATCGCTGAAATATTTTCACCTTTAAAATAGAGTTGATTGAAGACAGGCTTTTTTTCCCCACTGGGATTTATTTGATGTTTGAGCCTTCGCGTCTAACATACTTATTATAATCAATCTCGTAGGGTAACCGTTGTTTTTCAACATCACTTCGAGAATCATAAATATTCTTCCTCTAATTTCTCTGCAGAGCATACTCTCCTAGCTTTAGTGCTCATTTAAAGCTATATGGACAAAAAACAAGTAAAATCTTTTTTGTTTTCTTTTTCAGACCATCAGCTCAATTCAGTCCAAGTGAAATAGCTTTATTAGATTGTTGTTGTGCTTTATTATTTGCTATACCAGAGCATAGTCGTAATGGTGTATTATTTAGACAGAGAGTGAAACAGAATGCAATGCTTTTACAGATTAGTCTACAATTCCTCTGGGCTACATGTCCATTAGCCTGTATTACTGGTCAAACTGAAGAGTCATCTACTCCAACGACAACGGCAACCACTGCTTCAATATTTAAGTATGTGTATAATCCATTATAGCTATGATTATTCGCTTTTATATTTACTCTGCTTTGTTTTACTATTCAAGAAATCATATTACTTGAACCTTCCTTTTTCTGTCACTACGGAGGTAATGGTGATGATAACTAGAGCTGGAACAATTCAAATTGAGGATGTCTTTCAAACCATCATTTCATTTCATGGATAGGTGGGAAATCATAGCGATAGAAACGTTCACCCCCACCCCAAAAGTGTATGGTGGAGGTATGTAGATGACACATTCACTGTACTTAGAACACAAGATATAGATAGATTTTTCGAGCACATCAACTCGAAGGTAGAGGCAATTCAATTCACTTATGAATTAGAAAGTCAGGAAGGGGAGCCTCCAATGTTAGATTGCAACGTAAAAAGGAAAGAAGATGGGAAGTTAAACACTAGTGTTTACAGAAAACCAACACATTCAAACAGGTACTTGGACTTCAGATCATCCCATCCTATGTCAGTAAAAATAGGATTAGTGAAATGTTTAAATGACAGAGCACAAAAACTAAGTAATACCAAGGAATATCTAAGACAGAAAGTGGTACACATAAAAGAAGCTTTGAAATTTAATAATTACCCGGATAAATTAGTCAGGAGATATGTAAGGAATTCTAAAAATAAAATAAATAATAATAGTAGTGATAGTGATAATAATAATATTAATGACGACACCAACAATAAGGAATTTAAATCATCAACAGTAATTCCATACAAGGAAGGAACCTTGGAAGCCTTACGCAGAATTCTTAACAAGGCAGGAATAAAAGTGGCATTCAAACCCACAAACTCGATTAGAAACAAGCTTTGTCGGTTAAAGGATCCTGTGGAGCCAATAAAGCAAAACAATTTAGTTTATCTAGTACCCTACCTGCAATGATTGTCAGGTCAAATACATAGGTCAAACTAGTAGAATATGGGCAGTCAGACTAGCTGATCATAAAAACTTAGCAAAATCTAGATTATTTGACCCGAATAAGATAAGAAATCTAGAGAATAGTTCATCTATAGCACTACATGCAGCTACACACAACCATTCATAAAATAGGATGGGATAGGATGACAGTTTTAAAATCTAAGGTCATAGGGTATAGGGAGAGATTGATAACAGAAGCTTTGTTTATCGAATCAGCTGCAAATACATGCAATAGGAATTATTCAACACCTGTCCCAGATATCTGGAAAATTCTACTACCCCTACGACAAATAGGAGAAGACAGAGAAAAGTATAAAACTCAAGTTTCAAAGTCGAGTGATTACAATTACCTCACTATGTGACTGACTGAAACCAACTGTCAAGGATTTCATGGATTAATGCTAGATCTTCGGTTTGACCACCTGTAATTCTTTTATAACCTAACCTTGTATGCCGGCTATTAACATTACTCAACGAGGAAGTCATTGGCGTGCTTAACACATGTCTTAGCCATCTCAATCCATGTAGCTTTACAGCCTTATTAGTCGACCTCCCTTCTTTATCTAACTTAACTTTCAAAGTGATCTTACTCAGTAACTACTGTTGTGAAGACAGGTATTTGTTATGAGTGAAAACAATATTTATGTGACCACACATAGTGACCTCCTTGTATACATACATAATTAACAAGTTTGTGAATCACTTTGTCCATTGTGTTGCAGTCTTTTGATAAACAAAAGCATATAAAGTTATAATACTACTTACTTTGTCTCTACCCTTTCTTTTGTATCATTCAAGTCCATTTATATCTTTGTTGTCTCATGTCTCCTTTTTTATTATCTAGTACAAGTGATCCTGAAATTGTTAAATTTCTATCTGAACCATCATTACCGTATATTTTACAATTGATGCATGTCTCTGTGGATGGTGATCAGGTTGAAACTATTCTAAATCAACCTGAGGATAAGGTTGAAACAGGCAAGACACGAATTGAAGCCAGCCAGCTACTGCATTTATTCCATCAATTGGAAACGAGTAAATCATCTGGACGTGTTGGTCTATTGGCTGAAGACATGTTAAATGATTGGGTTAGTAAAGAAGATAACAACCGTACAACTACTGTCCAGTCTACAGGAAATCGTACAGTTGGTCAAGTTATTCATAATCTACGCGAAGCAACAATACGACGTGCTAGATCAATAGCACAAAATATGCGTCAAAAGCGTTTACGTAGTCTTAATATGCGTGTTAATGAAAAAGGCCAAGTAAGGTTTTATGGTTTATTTTCATTATTGAATTATCTTTTTTTTTAATGTTTCTTTATACGTATTATTATTATATCCTTTAATTCCCAGAGGAACATGGGCTTCAGCTGCGCGTCTCCATTGCCTTCGTTTTCTGCTAACTTTTTCACCCGCTCCAAGTCTGCCCACATGCTTTCATTCCTCTTCACATGACCTCCTCCAAGTCACCCTCGCACTGATGACCAGCTCGCTGCTTCCCTTTCGGGTTCCACTCGAGCAATGGCTTGTTAGTGATCTCACTTCATGGTTTCCTCACCGTATGGCCAATCCATCTCCATTTCTTCCTGCCTATTTGTTTCACAATCAGTTCTGGTTGGTTCGCTCATTGCCAGAGATCCCTGTTGCTGATCTTTTCTGACGACCATTTGAACTTGAGTATTGAGCGAAGACAACTGTTAATAAAAGTCTGAAGTTTGTTTGAGATGCTCTTTATGACGCGCCAAGTCTCTCATCCGTATAATAGCACTGACTTCACATTGGAGTGGGAAATTCAGATCTTATTTTCATTTTCGTGTTGAGTGCTGCTGACCTCCACACAGACTTAAGAGTAGTGGAAGCTTGTCTTGCTTTTCTGATTCTGGCTTTGATGTCCTCGTCAGTTCCGCCTATAGTTGAGACGATGCTTCCCAGGTAAGTGGGTAAAAGATGTTGTTTCTTTCAGGTTCATCCCATTTATGCTGGCTGATTGTTGTCTGTTGTTGTTGTTGCTGTTGCTGTTGGCCAGGAATCTTCATCACCTCTGTTTTCTCTATGTTTAATATCTCCTTCTTGTCAAAGAAATATTAATTTCAATGTTGTAGACTTCGTCACATCGATTAGAAAACTATGGAAAACCAGGGAACACCTGGATATATCAGCACTCACCCATGACTCCACCAGAGATCGAACCAAGGACCTTCATATTACGACAGCAGCCTTATTAACCTTTAAGCCACCTGGGTCGTAATTGAATAAAATGGGGATTCTGACTTTGGCAATTTGTGAAATCGCGAAATATACACATTAGTTAATAAGGAAAACACAGTTTTCGTTTTTGTTCAGCGATGAAATATCTCTTTTCAACGACTTCACTTTCAAACTGTACAATCGTCTTTATATTATGGAAAATGGCATTAAAGTGGCACTAGAAATTGCTCAGTCAATATTGCACATATGATAAGAATAAAGATATCTAAAATGACGTATTAAGGGAATAGAGTTGAAGTGGATGAATTACAAAACTTTTAAAGATTACTAAACGAGGGGATTGTTATTAAGATTTTAAAATTGTAGGTCGTGTTGTCTAAAAAAATTAACAGTTCGATGATGATAACAGTAAAGACAGCGAAGATAAAGTGAAACGGAATGAATTCAAGAGGTAAAACAAAAATAAAAGAACATTACCATGACCAATGTAAAGAAAGGGGTTTAACAAAACGTTTTTAAGCACATTATTTAAGTTTCTATCCATGTATAGCTAGAGCTTCGGTTATGCATAATTAGAGAAAACGTAAGCTGTTAGGGTGGTTGGATTTAGTCTTGTAAATAACTCTGAATCACGTGGGGCTGAATGACCTGACTCTAGAATGTGGTTCACAAATTGAAGACTCTCTCGTCCTATGTTCATCTTTCATTCACTAAACCGGGTAGTGCTCAGCTACGCGTTTACGGAAAACACACTTAATGCCTTTTTCCGTAATATAAATACGACTGTATAGCCTGGAAATGAAGTCGTTGAAACTCGTGAAATAGCGCTACCACCAACCAATGCTATAGATGAGTGTCGATTTCACCTTGACATTGGGGGACCTCACTGACTTCTCATCACAACTTTTAGGCATCCATTCAATTCAGTAACCGCCTAATGAGCTGAAGGTTGATGTTTAAATCACAGGTTTTGTAAGAATTCGGATTTATTTCGATACAGATTTCGTCACTGACCAACATCACTTAGAGAATTACTTAATGCTAGAGAAGAGTCCTAAACTGGGACGGGAAGACTATCCAGTTCTCCCTGGTTTCCAATGATCCTCTCACCGATTTTGGTTCGTGAAAAAATGTACATTGAAATTAATCCACATCCCTACAAAACCCCGTAATGTAAAGAAATGTTACTCATGGTAATTTTCTTTTTCAAGCTAATTAGCTGTTGAAACGCGTTTTCGTTTACCTTGTTCATATATATGTGTGATAAAAACATCTCTTAGACAGTATATAGAACCTCTGCATGGCCATTATTAAGCAATAGTAATTTAAGACTATTAATAGGTTCCCATGATTACTAAATTGTCACGTTAGTAGTAGCAGTATTAAATGTATTTGTTCACAAATTAATCTATTCATTGTGATTACTTCTCGTTTGGACAATAAATACATTGACCCAAGTGGATAAACTTTAACGAAGACTATGTCAGCAAAAGTTCACTTGGAAAATATTCATTTTGGAACTTCACTTAAACTTTTATTTTGATAAAATATGACTGAAGGTGAATGATATGTTGCTAGGCTGTTCAAATACTTTAGAATGTGTCCTAATAGCTAGTTCACTCAAATCCTATGTCTTTTAAATAGCTTAGCAACATGTTGCCTACTGGCAGTCTAAAATATCAATTGTTCTCTCGTACGAATTGAAATTCCTGTTCCTTATGTGAAATTTACACATTTACAATTAATCAATTCCAATATTAGAAGTAATGCATAAAACATGTTCTCTATACAGATTAGATTTGTTATCATTCTATATCTTATTATAAAAATTGAACGAATGATTTTGACTTTGTTGCAGCAGACGTATTTTAACAGGTTTAGTTCGCTTTTCGAACCTTACAAGTGTAAAACCCTACAGGAGATCGATCTACATCGACTCCTAATTTACGTTTGAATATATTGAGAATTGAAGTTATCTTCGGTTACTTCATTTCTCATACTGTGAGTGTAATAGTAATGAAATATGTGCATATATATAAAAGTCTCTTTATGATGGCTAATAGTATTAGGACGACATGTATGGTGTTTGGTTTGTTTGAACACATTTGGATTAATACGTTCAAATTCTAGTTCATTCATGCCCCCGTACATCTTTTAGTGGTGGTTTTATAAAAGCTTTGCCTATTACCTCTAACGGTTTCCTAACCCACTACTTAACCTATTTGTCCCATTAACCCACTGTCAAACATCGAGTATTACTACCCAGCAGGTTTTCCTCCGATCGTATCTTTGTCTCTCAGTAGAGCTAGAACTCACAGCGAATAAAGGCTCACTCAATTCTTTAACTCTTCACTATATATATATATATATATATATATATATATAATCTTTTCCTTTAATATATGTGATTGTTTTTCAAATTTAGGTTGCTATGGTGGAGACAGATCGATTGAATAAAATGACTGCTGTTGTTCAAGAAGAAACAGGTCTATCCTGTGTTATATGCCATGAAGGACAACGTATTGCTCCGAATGAACCATTGGGTATTTATGTCTACGTTCGTCGATGTACACTAGAAGAGAATCTCTGTATGACTGGTTGTGATTCGCCCAGTGGTAATAATCCACCACAGAATATACCTGATGGTTATTCAACTTTGTCAAATTTTGTTATTGTACATTTTTCATGTCATACAAAAGTAAGTTATTTTTCCCTTATTTAATATTTATTTATTAATATTTGGAATTCACAGAATTTTATGTAAATACTGTGGACCTTTTTTAAAAGGGAAGACTGGAAATCAAATTTACTGCTGGATAGTTACCTCATTCTAGTCTGCAAATGTGTGGTCACTTTTGAATTCATCTAGATTACTATTATTACTATTCGTTCCGAGTGGAACTTGGGGTAGCACATCCCGATTGCACCTGGTTCTTTACTGTCTTCTTAGCCGACTCCACGACTGCCCAGAAGCTTTAATTCCCTCTTCATATGACCTACTCCAGTTCACCACTTCCTATCCGAGTCTCATTTGACGGCTTGGCCTGTGATGGCACTTAATGTCTCCTCCACGTATGTGTCCTGTCCATCTCCATTTCCTTGTGCATAGTTGTTGAGTAGTGAGATCTTGACTGGTTCTCTGCTAGAGTCCTTCCTTGCTTATCCTTCCTGGTCCGGTGTACAATATTGAGGCAGTGAAGGCGTCTGTAGAATTACAATTTCATTAATAAATAACAGTCTTCTCTGTGGAGATATGTCGTCAGTAAATACGCTGGCTGAAAGAAGAATCTCACTTTGAGTAACATTCCTTTTTTTATTGTATACTTAAGGTGCAGGACTGTTAGTGGAGCAGAATGTATTAAACTTGTTAAGAGTTGTTCTTCGGATGTTATTAATCGTTATATACGTATTTCTGTGGGATAAACGTTTCATACTTCCTCGTCATTATCACTAAAATTCATCAACTTCCCTTTTTGCATCATCTACTTCAAAAGTTAAATACTTCCCTGATTTTCTAGACATGCGGTACTGGTAATTGGAGGCCAATGTGTTTACCTCAGGATGTTTCAACGACTGACTTTTAAGTTCTAATATCTGACTGTAATGAACTCTAGTGTAGTGTCAGACAGTTTGATATGATCCTGTGGAAAAAAATCGATTTATGAACAGCATATAGAAATTATCAACCATATTACTTACCAGTGAATTGTTTCTTCACATACTCAATCAGATCATTGTCTATCTCTATTTGTATTTTTTTTTCATAGTCATTTAGAGCCTCATCAGAAAATGAATGGGTAGTAGCTCAACGCCATAATTGGGATGTTGGTTGTAATAATATCCTGCCTATACTAAATCCACCAATTAGTATTAGTACAACTTCGAGTACTGATAGTACATCAGTGGACAATAAAACTGCCTCGAAGTCTACACAACAACAATCACCAGATACAGTATATAGTGGCCATTTAGCTAACTTTATGGAATTCATTATGGTAAGTTGGTTTATGTAAATCTTCTTTTTTATATATACACACAAGAAATATTTTTCTTGAAGTGTGGGTTCCATTTGTTTTGTCGTCTCCTACTAGTTTCAGGACATCATCAAAGTAATAAGTGGATTATTATATTTCGGGTTGGTTGTTCATAGTAATACTGTTACATTGAGTGGTGATAAAGTATACCCTCATATATATATATATATATATATATATGCCAGTTTGAATGAATTTGTATTGCTAGTCTGTGGCTGTAAATGTCCGCTTAATAATCATATCTAAACAGCACTCATTAAAGTTAGGCGTATAAAATTGTGTTTCCATGGTTTTATGCTAATATTTGTATTCTACTGCATCGGAAATGCTTCGTTTTTACAACGGAAAGTGTTCAATGCTTCATTTTACATAAACGCAAAAATTCTTACTAACCAACGAGAAAGTATGAAGTTTTCATAAAGTGAATTTATGTCAAAAAAAAAAATAATAATAACAGCTGCTACAACAAATAAACCATTTTAGTAGGAAAAGTATATCCCTCCAATTATCCCTTCCTTCTTATGTTAGCAACATTTCATCAATACAATTCAGCTGATTGGACACTAGTAACTAGCGTGTGTGTGTGATGTGTCCAGTCCTTTGTTTGCTGCAGACCGAATTCTACCAGTCAGGTTCGTAATATGGCCACTATTCTAGGTAGCTCACCATCACGGTACACTTCGAATTGTCGATATTAGATGGTTGGACTCAATTGCCAGGTTGCCTTTGACCTAGGTTTCATGCTAGTTGGCACTCACCAGTCAGTCAGCAAGACGTATCTGCAATCTTGAAGAAACTCATATCCCTTCTGGGATTCGAACCCGTGTCACCTATTGCTGCAGTAAGATTCGTTGCCACTGGGCTATTATCCACAGTTCAACTGAAACATGAACGCTTGCAACCAATATGTAAAGAGTATCGCCGCCACACCACACCAATATGCTATCTAAGCGGTTCGAAATTTCCTACACTGTCAACAAACTATTACACAATTCTATTGAAAATTACTTTTATCTAAGCATTTTAAAAGTGGAGTTTCAATGACAGAAAATCCTCACTTTGCTACAGTAAGCTGTGACATGACAAGATGCTGTTTACAGACAGCCATTTGTACTTGTATATCACAGTGGTTTTTTATTCCTTTACGTTCCTAGCGGAACATTAGGCTTCAAGTAAGAGACTTGAAGTTTCGGTAGTAGTGATATTTATTTTTACGGGATGAGGTTGCTAACCTCATACCTAGCCTTCCCTCTTCACCAGTCTTATTTACTGGGTTAGCGAGGTAAGGGAGTGCATTGGCTGGGGATTTGAACCCTGAACCACATGAGGCGTGGTCGGTGAGCATTCTACCATTGTGCCACCGACGAACCTGTGGTGCTCTTTCAAAATTCGGGGCTATGCTTTATGATCATTGCTGCATTTTAAGGGCTTAAGGTCATTCTTATTTCTAATTTTGTTCAACTGTACTAAATGCATACTTTTATTTCTTTAATTCTTCATTTTTACAGCACAAACTTAATATTTGTCCTGGTTACGTAATGGCTCTACATGATATCAAACTGTTACTGTTGCGTTTTGCATGTAACAAGACATTCACTGTTGAAACTGGTGGCGGTGGAAAAGAAAGCAATATGCAGTTGTTGCCACATTTAATGCAAGTAAGTAAAAAAGAAAAATAAAGGTACATTTTTCTTATCACTAACTATACTTTCAAGTATTGGTTTTGTAGGGATTTTTGTTTTGATTGAGTGAAGGATTTCATCATAAGCTGACATCAGTTAGAAAAGCACTAGAAAACTTGGGAGTACTGGACGGCCGTTTCGTCCTAGTTTGGGAAGTACTGCTGAAGAGTCCCAAACTAGGCTGACGAAACAGCTGTCCAGTACTCCAAGGTTTTCCAGTGCTTTTCTAACTGATGTCAGCTCATGATGGAATACTCTATCACTATACTGTTCTTTTTGTCATTATTACTAGGCTGTTAATAGATGAAATAGAGCCTTGCCACGTTTAACTGAATTGTCATTTATAGTCAACTTTACTGATAACTTTGTAGATTCGGAACAAGTACTCAAAGTGTGTGTGGTGGTAGTGGGGGAGAGGGTTGTCTCATAGTTTGCGTTGTTTAGAGTAGTACTGTTTAGTATCTATGTTTGCTCCTAGCATTTAGGCTCAATGTTACCACATACTATGCTTAATCCCTAGGATTTAAGTAAGTGTTATTGTTCTACGTTTTGAGGACATTTTGCATATTTTACTATATATGCATTTCGAAATTTTCGAAGTGTTGTTTTGCAGGGATTCAATTGATTGCAGGCTTTACCACGAGTCAACATCAGTTTGACAACCATTGGCAAACCAGGAAATACTGAACAGCTGTTTCGTTCTAGTTTAGGACCCTACAGCAGTACGAATCCACCAGGGTTCGAGCCCAAGACCTTCGTAGACCATTCAGCCACTGCGACTCGACCTATGAATTCCAATTTCTGTCATTTCGTGACATACAACACAACCGTCAGTCAATATCATTGGCGAATATCTGTCCTCTTTACTTGACTGGGTTAGACCCTGTTGGTCACGATGGATACGTGCTTCTGAAGAGTCCCCAGCTAGGACGAAATAACTATCCAGTATTCCCTGGTTTTCCGGTAGTTCACTAACCGTCCACCACCGTTATATTGTGTGTGTGTGTTCTTCAGTGGAGTTTGAACTTTTTTAATTGGAAAATTTTTTCCGAATAGATCTATATTACTCATTGTCTTAAATTTACAGCAGTGAATTCACGTGAAATTGATGTTTCCTTTCTCATATACAGGTCTATTTACACACATTACTGATGAGTTCCCAAGTTGATCAAGAACTAGAAGCTTTGAAACAGTTTACTGAAGTGTCTGGAACTTAGTAAGTTTTGTATGTGTGTGTGTTCAGTTTTAGTGTTTGTTTCTGTCAACAGATACTTCATGTGTACTTGCCATCTCCTGATTGGTTACAGGATTTAATCATGTGCTGACATTGGTTAGAGAACCATTGGAAAACCTGGAGTACTGGACAGGTTGGTTCTTTAACCAAGGTCAGCTCGTGGTGAAATCCTGTAACCAATCAGTCAGATCCCTACACACCAACACTTGAACATCTCCTGATTGTTAAAATAATGACTTTTATTATATTACAAAGCACATTAGTTCTCATTGTTTTTTTTTATGGCCGTGAAACATGCCCATTGATGAATGTGGAAGGCATGAGAGAATTATCTATCATACTAACCACAGGTGTTTGCGTTCTATCTCCCGTGTTAAGTGATGTAACATGCTCGGTAACAATGAATCTAGGCGTTAGAGTGTTAGGTAAAGAAGGAAAGCTAATCGGATGAGGTTGTAAAGCTTTGCATACTGAGCCAACACCTTCTTCGTCGAGCAATGTTAAATAGATCCTATTATAACGATTAGGTTGGAAAAACGTTAGGAGCGGTCAACTTACAAAATGGCATTGATGTATGAAATCTTTTTCCGATGGTTTGAGTCTAACGTTAGGAGATATAGACTATCTGATTGGAGTAGTCGCTAATATCCAACGGCTTGAGAGACTATTTGTGACATGGCTCAAAATAGTTCCCCGTGGCGCAAATACATTCACTCTTTATGAGCTCCAACATCCATCTCCCCGTGAGACCACCGAATTTCTAGTTAAACTCTGTAGGGTGTAATTACAGTTAATAGAAGCGGTAACCGATATGGAAACACAGCCCTATGAACTTTGAATTGTCTATGCGAAAATTTATTGACTATGATAGAGATTGTCAAACTTTTACCTCAGGTTAAATTTTGAGTCCACTGATTGTTGTGCTGTAAATTTGGTAGTGTTCTTTGACACCATTGAAAATAATTTTATACTTTTGAAATAGTTGATGATTGAATGAAAAGTTCTATCTCTGTGCATTTAGTTGGACTCCTGCATCACCACCCTATACTTAACTCTGAACTGGTCACTGGCTGTTTCGAACTTCGCTTCTGAGTAACGAACCCTAACATATTATATCTGACTGCTAGTATATATATATATATATATGCGCGTTCCACATCATAGTATATCACTTAACACGCTTTTTATCGATTTTGTTTTCATAGTTGGATCAAATCAGATAAATGTTGGATTACAACAGGACCATTGTATCGTATAGTCGCAGCCTTACACTTATGGTCATGTGATGAATGGTTAAAGAATAGAGTAATTCTATTACAAAGTCTTTTGTATATGGCTGTGGGACGGTTAAGCAATCCAACCAGTTCTAATGAAGTCAGCGTCACATCAGACAGTAGTAATACTGACAGTCGATTTACAATGATTAAACCGTATTTAGTTTATTTCGGTCTTATTGATTCAATGTATGAATATTTATTCAAAGTAAGTGCTCTTGTTATCACTTACACTATGCATTGTTTTGTTTCATGTATGAATATACGCCGATGACATTTAGATCCATTATCACTGGTGTATATATGCCTTTTGGTACTGAAATGTGATCAATTCTTAGACATTTATATCAATACTCTGAATGAGTACACTGTAATTAGTGGTCAAGTTAGTGCGAATCGGTGTGGAATTTTCAACAGACTGCAGACTTTCATCAACAACTGTCTTCACTGGCTCCATACTGAAGATCGATCAGATAGCCAGCCAGAAACGATTAGCAACAAGTAACTCTGTTGACAAACTAGTCCAGAACCTAGTGCCCAGTAGATATATACCGAAGCGAATGGAGTTGATGGTGACCATTGAGTAGCATCATGCGATTGGCCCCCGAGTGAAATTTCAGTGGGAAACAATAAAATGGACGTCGTCCGAAAGTGATATTGAGGAGACCATGTGAGGGGGAGGAGGAGATGAAAGCATATGGACAGTTGTGAAGTTAGCTAAAGAGGACCTGCAACGAACATGGTGAAAGAGAGATTTTCTGCTGAAGCCCTGTGTTCTACTCTTTTCTAAGAAAAGTTTCAATACTGCTTACCAGTGTACAATCTTTCCTTGTACAAGATGAAATTCTGATGTTTTTATTAAAGGTTGCATTACTTTTATCCTAACATCACAATGGTGTTTTGTACTAACAGTTTTGTTTTTACGATTTACCCTTGCACAAATTCCCATTTGCACCTTTTGATCTTTAGTTTCATCGACTTATTTGGTTGTTTTTTATTATTTTGTCTTTATAGAATGTCCAGTTGACTGTTGTACCAGAGGTTAAATCAAAGTCCAGTAGTAGTACGTCGACATCACAGACACCGTCATGGGCAGCTTCTTTATCACACTATATTCGAACATCAGATGAAGCTTTAATGATTGCAGCTCCAAAGTTACTCGCCTATTTCGAAGAGAATCTATTGACAATTGCAAGTATAGAAGAATTTCTAGATGTTATGGGTAAGTTTTATAAATTAAATAATATTTTTTGCAAAATTTCATTTTAATGCTTCAATGATTTTCACTAACAGTCGTTAAGAGTTAAACATACATGCTGGGTTGCCACCAGTGGTGTTCATAGCTAATTTCGCGGTCTTCAGCGCTACTAACTTTTAGTGGGATGAGGATAATTTTAATTTGTTTCATTAGTTCAGATATTCTCAATGCTCAATTCTTGTTTACATTAATTCACTTTCGTGTGTTCACTTTAAGTAAATTCATACTAAGACTCAACTTAGAAGCTACCACATTTTATAAGCACACATAAATATAAGGGGAAAAATCCAAAGGAACTATATGATGTACAGAAATCTCCAGGGAGAAGTATAAGTATATGCAGAATGATGAGAATTTAACAGATAGATCTAGGAGGTCGCAATTAATGAAAGCACTAGCGCCATTGAGGATGATTTTAAACCAACTTTATCAACAACATCTAGCCATTGGATGTTTGCGTATTTGAGAACCCCAGTCAGATAGTCTACATCTCCCTGTGTGTTTCAAACCAACAGTTAAGGACTTCATATACTGGATATTATTATGTTTATTCCCTTGGGTTCCGAGTGGGGAACATAGGGTTTCAACAACACATCCCCACCTTGTCCTACTTGTTGTTGTCCTCTTCAGTTGGGTTCACGATTGCCCGTAATCCTGTATGCTGGATATTACAGCACATAGTTGTTTAACAACCTAGTACATACTCTTAATTTCTTCTCATATCTCATTTCTATATTATTCCTCCCTTACAACGAGTGCTGACATTTAATGAAACTGTCTATTGTCTTCGTTATTTGATTGAAAGGGCTTAAGTTGGAAACTTCCTCTAAGTTTTGGACCACACCAGAAGTCTGCTTGTTTCTCTTTGATTCCTTCAACTCGATTTGACAAAGCCTTTCTTTATTTACTTTCTTTTAAATACAAGGTTTATTGGGAAGTGTCACAACTGAAGAATTGGAGAACATAATTAACAACGCTTCGATTAATCAATGAATCTTGCCCACTACCTCTTTTGATGCAAAAACCAATCCAGATTGTACTTGTCAGTGTGTGTGTACTTGTTGTATTTCATCCTGTAATTCACGACTGATTTGTGATAATTGTTGATTGTTTACAAGTTATTCTTCTTCGCAGTGTTAAATAAGATGTACCCGTGAAGTTTGTTTTTGGTTTCGCAGTAGTCCTGTTGCTATCCTAGTGTTAAAGAGAAAAAGCAACTATAACTCCTGTTGTTCAAATTACCATTAACTATTACTCACAATGTATTAAATATTTCAAAAAAAAAAAACGAATTAGTACAATTTTGCTATTCTCCACCCACCCCACCCCCATATTTATTTTGTTGCTAAATTTTTGTGCTGTTAGTCTGTCCCAGGTGATGATTAGTATTTCCTAATGCCATGTGTGTATGTGTGTGTGTATTGTACGAATGATTACATAGACTTGAATTCATCTAAAAAGATATCTGTTGCCATTTCAACCTTGAATTTCTTTATTGATGATCAAATAAATAATAAGTGAATGTAATATGGAGACTTTTTTCGCAGTTTCATTCATTGAATATTCACTGGATGTTTAATGTAAGATGAAAGTAGGTGGAAAATCAAGTCCCTTAGACAAACTAGACAGATAGTGTAGCAAATTTGCGATCTGTGCAGGGTTATATTAGTTCAAATCCCAGTTTTTATCCTCACATTTGGTCAATAAATGTTTGTGAATTTCCGTTTCTTAACAACAACAACCGTTTGTACGTAGTCTTATTGTATAAGCACTGATATTTTCCCTGAGCATTGAAGTTTCTGTGAATTCTCACCACAACAAGCTGGATTCAGGAAAGGCAAATCATGTTCTGACCAAATTGCAACTCTACGCATCATCATCACAGAACAAAGCATGGAATGGCAATCAAACCTCTACCTCAACTTTATAGACTTTGAGAAGTCCTTCGACAGACAGCGTCGACCGCGAAGTAATTTGGAAATTACTCGAGTACTATGGCGTACCCCAAATATTCATCAACCTTATTCAACAGCTGTACGACAACGGAACATGTCAAGTCATCCACAACGGAAAACTCAGACAGGCGTTTGGAGTAAACACAGGAGTCAGACAAGGGTGCTTACTATCACCAATGATATTCCTAATTGTGGTGGACTGGATTATGCGTCAGACAGTGGGAAACGAGAAGACAGGAATATCCTGCACCGACCGACGTGAAGAACCTAGAAGACCTGGATTTCGCGCGTGGATGATTTATGTTTGATGTCACACAAAATCAAAGACTTACAAGCAAAAACCAACAAACTGGTCGAAGAAGCAGTCGGCGAAGACAGGACTGCAGGTGAACATAGACAAAATGGAGGTTATGAAAATAACCAACCAACAACAGCAGCGGCAACATCTAGCGCCAATCACCATCAACGGGAGGGATTTGATAGAGGTTACTTCATTCATTCATTCACTTATCTAGGAAGCATTGTCTCAACTACAGGCAGTCGGAACGGACGAAGATGCCAAGTCGAGAATAATCGGGAAGACGAAAAACACATTCACCAACCTGAAACAACCAATCTGGAAATCTTCGTCACTCAGCCAGCATCAACAACAAAATTCGGTCGGATTTTCAATACAAACAACGTCAAGTCAGTCAGTTCTTCTATACGGATCAGAAACTTGACGGGCGGGTCACAAAGAATATTTCCAACAGTCTGTTGCAGACCTTTATCAACAACTGTCTTCGCTGGCTCTATACTGAAGATCAGATGGTCGGGCCGGGCCGGAAAGAATCACCAACAAGAAACTATGGCTGGGAACAAACAAAACAAGAACCAATCGCCAACCAACAAATACGCAGGAGAAAGTGGAGATGGATCGGACACTCGTGGCTGAGGAGGTCGTTGGGTGACATCGCGCGCGCGTCAGGCCATTGCTCCAGTAGAACCGGGACGAAAGGGAAGCGGCGAGTGGGACGTCAGTGCAAGGGTGACATGGAGGAGATCGTATGAATAGGAGTTGAAGCAGTATGTACTAACATGGGATGCAGGTGAAAAGTACAGCAGAAGACAGAAGCAAGTGGAGACATGCAGATGAAGCCCTAAGTTCCATTAGGAACCCAAGGGAACAATAAATAATAATATAATTGAAGTTTCTGTGACGTACCCTATACCCTCGAAAGGGACTTGACTGGGGGGGGTGGTAACTTGGCCGTGAACATGTAAGAGATTATGTAAGGAGGAAATGAGAGCTTATGGGCAATCATCGGCAAGACAACTAAACAGAACTACAGAGACGGCGATATGATGGAGGTGTGCTGTTGAAGCCCCTGTATTCCACTTGAAACTCAGGGGGAATAAGAGTAATAATAGTAAGCGCTGATGATACTACTTGTCCAAGGTAGAGTTCGAACGTATGACCCAATTGTTGATAATCGAGCCACAACTCTAGTGGTGGTAAATGTTGAGTTCTGTTTAGTTTGGTAGTGCAGTAAAATTGTATAAAGGTGTACGCATCCATTTAACTTTGATTCAGATAACGGACACAAAAACAATACTTCATAATTGGACGTGATTTCGAACTTAAGTATGTCAGTTGCGCATTTGTTGGCTTAAAAATGACTAAGCCGGGAAGTAACAATCGCCCTCACAATACGAAATGCGCACGAAACCTCTTTAATCCTCACTCATCTTTGTCTTCATCTATATTGCCTTGCCTTCCTCCCACTGATACAACTCCTCTACTTGATGGCTCCTCACTCCCTCTTCACTCTGTGTCCACTAAAAACGACGGAAGCCAAAAAACCACCGATAGTCTCCTAAAGCCACGCCACTAATTTCATATAGGAGCATTTAATGTTAGGACACTTTACCGAATAGGACAACAGGCATCACTAGCCAATACTCTGGCGTCCCGAGCCATTGATGTATGTTGTGTTTAGAAACACGCATACAAGACCCAAGTGTGGTTATTGACCTAACCCCACCTGGCCAACAGGATGAATCTGCAAAATTCACCTTGAGGGTATCAGGAGATGCCACAGCTAGTTCACGAGGATTAGCTGGTGTAGGGATAGCTTTGAGTACTAGGGCAGAAAAGGCAATCTGAGGATGTCGGTAGCACCTATGGAGTTCCGTGCCAGCGAACCGACAACGGTGACCGTCTCCTACAGTTCTGTTCAGATAATCATTTGTTTCTTGTAAGCACTAACTTTAAACACAAGGAGAGACACTGTTTAACCTGGCGACCCCCATCATCAAACCAACGCTGGACACAAATAGACCACATAGCAATAAGCTATCGTTGGCGTGGGTCGGTAGGAGATTGTCGCTCCTTCTGGAACACGTGTGTAGATACCGATCACGCACTGGTCCGGGCTCGTGTGTGCTTACGACTGAACGGACGTAGGAAACAGCTGGCGGTAAAACCATCACGTCCCCAGCTCGATCAGGAAACTAAATCCCTATTTGAGGAAGAACTAGCTATACACATATCTGAGTTCGACAGCTGTGCTCACCCTGGAGAAGCCTGGAAGAATATTCAGTCAGCCATAGATACAGCTGTAAAAGCTGTGAATAAGGCAAATCCAAAGGTGAGTAAAAACCACTGGATTTCGACTGCCTCATCCGAACTGATAGATGCTAGAAGACTTATTCCGAATTCAATGAGGAGCGAAAGCTGCACAAAAGGAAACTTACTAAAAGTCTCCGCAAGGACCGTGAACAGTGGTGGGTGACAAAGGCGAAAGAGATGGAAAAAGCATCGGCGATAGGCAACTCTTTAGACTCATCAGGAAACGGGTGGGAGAAGGCAAATCATAAGTGAGACTATTTCTGAGAAAAATGGCTCCTTAATTAGCTCTCAGGATAGACGCCTTGAACGCTGGAAAGAACACTTTGAGGAACAATTTAACTTGCCTACAGCCACACTGAACCTCCCCGCCATCCACCACACACCCGAATGGGATATAGACACTGGTCCGCCGTCTGTAGTGAGGTCACAAAAGCTATCAGTAATTTGAAACGAGGCAAAGCGGCAGGACCCGACGGAATTATTCCGGAGGTGTTTAAATATGGGGGTGACATACTAGTTTGTAGATTAACTGAGGTACTAGGCAAAGTCTGGGAATCAGAGACAGTCCATCAGACTGGGGTAAGTCACTTATTATACCGATATTCAAGAAGGGAAACAAGTCCTCGTGTGATAATCATAGGGGGATCAGCCTAACGAACATAGTCTCTAAAATCCTAGGCTCAGTAATCATGCATAGACTAAGCAGAACTCGGGAGGAACAGACAAGGGAAAATCAAGCAGGCTTTAGACCAGGTAGAGGGTGCATAGATCATATCTTCACTCTTCGACAGATTCTAGAACATAGACACACTTTTCGGCGTCCAACAATTGTCATATTTCTTGACTTGAAGGCGGCCTTCGACTCCGTGGATCGAAAGGTACTATGGCAATGTCTGACTGTGAAGGGAGTGCCAAGAAAGTACATTGCACTAATCAAGGCACTCTATTCAAACTCACGTAGTCGTGTAAGGGCTTATGGGGAATTGTCATCTGAATTGGTAACAACCAGTGGTGTCCGACAGGGATGTCCACTTTCCCCATTTCTGTTTAACTTCATCATAGATATGCTGATGGAAGTATCCTTAACTGAACGTAATGACTTAGGAATCGACTTGTTACCAGGGAATAGTCTTATGGACTTAGAATATGCAGATGACATAGTCCTGTTAGGGGAGGATGCTGACAAAATGCAGAGTCTTCTGAACACCTTGAGCAGCAATCTTCGTATGTTTGGCATGCGATTCGCCCCTACAAAATGTAAGATGCTGCTACAGGACTGGACACGTCAACTCCTAACTTAGTGATAGGGAGTGAAGTGATAGAACATGTTGACCACTTCACCTATTTGGGAAGTTGTATTAGCACCAACGGACTGATTGGCGATGAAATCTCAGCACGGATCCGAAAAGCTCGAGCTGCTTTCGCTGACTTACACCATCTCTGGCGTAGGCGTGACATCCGGTTATCAACCAAGGGACGTGTGTACTGCTCATCAGTTCGCTCCGTCCTTCTCTATGGCTCTGAAACATGGCCAATACGCGTTGAAGACATGAAAAGGTTGACTGCTTTCGATCATAGATGTCTGCGATCTCTGTCTCACGTTAGGTGGTTTAATAAGGTAAGTAATGTTGACGTTAGGCGTAGAGTGTTGGGCAAAGAGGGAAAATCAATCGACGAGGCTATAAAGTTACATAGACTAAGATGGCTAGGTCACGTGCTGCGCATGCCTAACCACCGCCTCCCCCGACGGGCATTATTAGCTGATATAGGTGCAGGTTGGAAAAGAGCCAGTGGTGGCCAAACAAAAACATGGCATCAATCCATGAAATCCTTGACAGTTAAACTGAGTCAGGTAGGGAGATGCAGACTTCCGGGTTGGGGCCCTCGGGACTCTAGGAATCAATGGCTGGAGACAATAGGTGACATGGCTCAAAATCGTTGTCAATGGCGCAGATGTATTCAGTCTCTGTAATCTTTCATATTCCTTTCTACCATTACCCATTCTGTTTCACTCTTATACTTGTCAAACTCTATTGATTCTCTTCACTCATCTTCTTGTCTACCTTTGTGTGCTATTTGGAACGTGGCAACTCGATGTGCTGCACTTCGGCGCCAAGTTTTATGTTGAATTCAGACAGACAAACAGATTAGCACTTTTCAACCCAATACATACACTATACATTACTGGTGATATGAAACTCTCTCTTAAATACCTTCTTCCCTTATAATTCTGTGGATAAACAAGCTTAGCAGGATACTGCAGTGTTCATTCATCCCAAGTGGACTAGAAAAAGTATACAGCAACAAGAAAAGGTTGTTTGTTATTTACATAATGATTTCTAAATAACATAAATTAGGAAGTAATACGGGGTTTTCTCTTTTGAAAGTTTGTAAACATTTAAGTAATATAAAAATATACAAGGAAGAAAAATAATAAGTCACAAAGCAGGAAAAAAAAGAAATTAATATCAGTAAAAAGTTTGAGCATTGTGGATTAGATCAAATAAAGTATAATTATATTTTAATAGTTTACACACAATGATAAGTTTTGTTATTGGTAATTTTGCTCGAAATATTACCAATAACAAAACTTATCATTGTGTGTTAACTATTAAAATATAATTATACTTTTTTTTAAAAAAAAAGAAAGTTCATCATACACTCAGTTGTAGTTGTTAGTTAACTTTACGATAATTGTACAAAATAGGATATACATTGTTCAATGCCTCATAGAGATGTTCACGGGATTTTGCACCTGTAAATAAAAATAACAAATCGAATTGTAAAGCATGTTATTTAATGAAATAAAAGTATTAAAAAAAGTATTAAATGACGCAGTCAATGTTTCAGACGTCAACAATAGACTAAACGCTGAATAAAACGTTAGGACTCATTTGGTATGATACCCTTCCTGATATGCCATAAATTATACTCAGAGCCTTGAGAGGATTCACACGCTGAAGTTATAAACTCTGCCATTACGGTAGTTAGGCGATGACTGACCCTTCCCCATATTAGCGATAAATCCAGACCATGTTAAGGAAATGGACGTTGGATTTGAATACGCATAACAAAATCCTTTTTGATTACGGATTGATTTCAGTTAGAGAACCGGGGAGTACTGCATAACTGTTTCGGACTCTCCATCGGCGGTCGAGCCCACGACCTGTAGGTTACAAGGTAAACCCGTATAGCACTCAGCCTCTGGGACGAAATCCAATAGCCCTGGTGGGGTTATAGATGCGCACTGACGAAGAGTCCCAGGCAAGGACGTAATATGCGTTCAGTACTCCCTGCTTCTGCAAATCTCTGCAAACCAACACTCGATAATGCATCTTATTCTACGCTCTCCCTATGCTGGTCATTATATCAGGGACAAATGGCATAGAAGAGGCAATTTATAAAATTATAAACCACTTACCAGTCATAACAACTTTCCCATTTACAAATATAAGCATCACCAAACGAGGTTTAATTATTCTGTAGATCAAAGCTGGGAATATTTCAGGTTCATATCTGGAAAATAATAAAATAAACAGGATTAAAATACTGATTTTATAGACAAAGCGTTACCATTTAAAACCATAGGTGTTGTGTCCCAGTCTTATCAATGAGAACACTATTACTTTTTGGCACACAAGTACATCGAGATGACGAGTCTCACACAAGGTGAAGCCCAGGTCCTACATTTCACTGTTAACCGATACCTATCAAACAAAATCATGTTCTACTGTATTGTAACTAAATACTTCCAGATTTATGAATGTTAGAAAGTTTGTAATTATTTTAAAAGGAACAACCGAACTTTTCATACTTTTTTTACTGTTTACTCAATAATTCATTCCTAATTAGCAATTTGGACATGGGGTGATTCGAACCAGTGGACAACTAGTAAAGTGATAAAAGAGATCAGTGAATCACGTCTAGTGTGATACCGACGAAGTCTATGTATTTTGACTACAAGCTCAGTTTTAAGTCCATACGCCATTTTAAAGTTGAACTCTACAATAGAGTGAAAACTCATCACATCGAAGATGATAGCACCATAGCACATTACAACTAACTAGCCAATTATAAGACAAGTTTCTGTTGTGTATCTTACTACATAATGGAGTTACACTCTACCACAGTGACCAATTTTTATCCTTAATTCATAATGATATTTTTATTTAAAAAAGACTGATGAAGTAGGTTTCTTCACAATTTGAAAATTAATTCGTGATTCGCAGTTTACGCATTTTGAGGTGGATATTCACCACAATTCCCTTTGAAAACTGAAGTTAATTACGTCACAATATATGTGATCCGCTTGATCTCAATAGTTACGGTTTTCAAAAGGAACTGTGGTGAAATTCCACCTCGAAATGTATAAATTGCAAATTGTGAATTACCGGTTCGCACACACGGAGATAGACAGAATTTGGGTGCTTTCAACTGATTCAGCTTTTTGAGCTCTGCCAAACCAGGTACACCGCTGATGAGCTCAATACCAGACTAACGACACAACTATCTGGTGTTCGGATCACTTCGATCTGACTAACAAGTACTTACTACTAGTTGATGGCAGTAGTAACCAACTACTGATCTCAATCAATCAGTAGTATATAGTATCTATCAAGCATTTATGAACTATATTTTTTATTGAACAAAAGTGAATTATTTAATACAGGTATGTTTTGGATAAGAATAAGAAATTGAAGATAACTAATAAGTAGTTCAAATCAAATTTTTTTAAGATAATGTCTTAGGCGCACAAAATAGATAGTTCATCTAAATACTTTAGTACTACAAGTACCTGAGCATTGAAAAAGGCGAGGTTTGTATCATTTTAATTCGTAGTGAATTTACGAGTAATACTACGCAAGCGTCACCTTCTGATTTGCTGGTTTGGCTTCAAGTAGTAATTCGGTTGTTATTCTAATTAGTTGTACTTTAATGGGGGACAATATAGCAAACATTTATCACCTTCATATGGATTTATTAAAAGCAGCAGTGGATATGATAAAGTCAGAGAAGTAAAAACTTACTGTGTCATCTGTTCATTTGCCAGCTGTACGCCTTCTAATCGGATAGGAAATCTTAAATCAGCTAAACCAACCATATTTTGGATTGTAAAATTCATAAATTTCACCTAGATCAAGACATGAAGACATGAAAAGGTTGACTGCTTTCGATCATAGATGTCTGCGATCTCTGTCTCACGTTAGGTGGTTTCACAAGATAAGTAATGTTGACGTTAGGCGTAGAGTGTTGGGCAAAGAGGGAAAATCAATCGACGAGGTTATAAAGTTACATAGACTAAGATGGCTAGGTCACGTGGTGCGCATGCCTAACCACCGCCTCCCCCGACGGGCATTGTTAGCTGATATAGGTTCAGGTTGGAAAAGAGCCAGTGGTGGCCAAACAAAAACATGGCATCAATCCATGAAATCCTTGACAGTTAAACTGAGTCAGGTAGGGAGATGCAGACTCCCGGGTTGGGGCCCTCGGGACTCTAGGAATCAATGGCTGGAGACAATAGGTGACATGGCTCAAAATCGTTGTCAATGGCGCAGATGTATTCAATCTCTGTAATCTTTCATATTCCTTTCTACCATTACCCATTCTGTTTCACTCCTATATTTGTCAAACTCTATTAATTCTCTCCACTCATCTTCTTGTCTACCTCTGTGTGCTATTTGGAAGGTGGCAACTCGAACTGCTGCACTTCGGTGCCAAGTTCTATGTTGAATCCAGACAGACAGATCAAGAAATAAATACATAAAATTTTAAGCAAATGTCTTTATTCAGAAGTTAAGGCTAGGAGTAAAAAATAATTTCTTAATTAAAAATGATATGGTACTAAACTATGAAGTAATACTAAATATCTGGCGAATTACTATTACTATCTGACTCCTTCAGTTAAAGTAAGTTGAATGAGACACAAACCCTTGAAATTATTTCATGAAAACAAAATATTACTTAACATGGTTCGTTGGCTTAAGCTTTCAAATTTCAGCCAGTGAGTTTCGGGTTCGAATCTCACTCCACCTAATTTAGCCTGGACAACTAACTGGGTAGACTGATTGAGTTCCAAAATAGAAATTTGTACAGAAGTGCCTCAGTCTAATTTGCTACATTCCATATAAAGCACACAAAAGCAGAGGAAGGAAAAGGAAAATCCAAACGAACTATAATGAGCAAAAATGTACGGCAGAAAGGATAGTAAAATGAAACACCATGAAGGTCAAATGGGTCTCGGAGACTGCAAAGAGTGAATCTATCTGCGCTATTGAGAACGGTTTTGAGTCATATCACTAACAGTTCCAAAACATTTGTGCTTAAAGTATTGGGGACCCCAACCAGGCAGTTTACATCTCCCTACATGGTTGGCTTAAACTAATTGGCAAAGATGTCATGGGTTGATGGCAAGTTTTGATTTAACCACCCTGACTTTTTCCCAAAATGTCAGCTACCATTTCGCAACTAGGAATGAGGTGATTAGGCAAGTTCGACATGTGTTTTGGACATCTCAATCGATATAGCTTCACAACCTCACCGATTGACTTCTCCCCCCCGTCTCCATCATCTAGCACTCTACACCTAACCTCACTATCACTCATAATGTTATACCACTTGACACGAAAGATATCAGTGTTCAAAGGCAACTAGCTTTTTTCATATCTTCCAGCTGGATAGCATTAATAGCCATCAATAAGTATGACTCATGGCCCGGAACATGAGAACTCTGTACAGGGAACTGAGTTCAAACAAAACTTCACACCCTAAATTATTCCACCAAGACTTGTAACGTACTAAAAGCTGACAACTCGAATGGTAAATCAGTCTAAGAGTTCAACATACTGAGACTTCATTCTTTTAGGTGTCCAATGGCATATAAATATTAGAACTATTTGGCAACGAAAATATTGACACATGTATCTCTAAAAGTTTGATTTTGATTAGGATTAAGGAACATGCAAGAAGAACTACGCATTTAACCTAATCACCCAGTAATCACAACATACAAATGCAGTCAACTAATGAGGTAAATGACATTTCGACCCTCAACGTCTGAAGAAATATAGAATGAGAGCAAAGCATTCGCAAAATCAATATATTCAGTCCCTATAAACAGTGGTGTCTGTTTTCTTTCCCTATGTTTCATCATCTACTAGTGTCGATCCACTTAAAGGGATATTTCATGAGGAAATAACTATTTTTACTGCTTAGTTACCAAATATGTCTTATTAAATAGTGAATCATCATCAAAACCTAGGTTAGATCTCCCTTTTTTGATTGACAAAACATGACATTGCAGAGAACTAAAAATCTAATTACTCGCACTAAGTTGTGAGATATGTTAAAATACCAAAGACTAAAACTTACCTAGGCAGTGATGCAGTAAATACAGTTAAAAAGACCCGTTATTTTTAAACTTACATCAAATCCAAGTTTCTGTATGATACGTGCACATTTACGCGAGCCTAAATTGGCCTCCATTTCAGATCGTGCGCCAGTACATACCATACGACCAGTGCCAAACACTAGGCATGTTACACGGGGCTCACGTAAACGTATAACTACACCAGGAAATCTGCGTGGATTGTATTCAGCACTACGAACATGAAGTACTAGTTTCCTCAGTTCAATAGGACATCCCAAGTCTACAGTAGATACCATATTGCTATAAAGAAATAAAAACAGGATGTAATCTTTTATTGCACTTCATGGTATACTTCATAGTTACTGTTTCATACAAGTTGTGAACTAACTATTGTACAAAGTACAACAAATACAACCCTTAGATGAAATTCAAAATATGAAGAGTTTAACTAAGAATCAGTGACTTAAAGTTTGCGATTGGAATTAAGGTCATCAAGGTACACCCGAGAATATTTAAACTCACGTTCTACAGGTTAATACCTGACTTAATAAGTTGATTTTTATTTTTTTTTATTACAGCTTGATTCCACACTGTACTTTTGGTACAAGTATGGAATTTTCAGCGTGGATATCGGTCGCCCAAATTTTGCAGGCCGACCATAGATATCAGGTGTGCGTCGGCAGAGGATCGAATCCCGGACCATGTGCATGGTCGGCGAGAGTTCTAACCACTGTGTCACCGACGCACAGATATCATATTCTTCCTCTGTTCTTTGAGGATGAGATAAAAAACAGATATGTGAAATAAACAGCACTTAATGCCACCACGACAATTCATAAAAAAGTGAAAACAATAGAAAAAGACCAACAGTCCAACATCTACATTACATAACTACACAGTCAATACACAATGAACATACCGATATATCGAAAATGAAAACCCATAGTTACAGCTTAGTTCAAATAAACTTGATAAAAATCGGCTTAAACAACAACCAACTTATTTGACTATTATATGTTTCATTCTTTCTTAAAATTCAAAACAGGCAAGAATGAATTTATGCTGAGTAAAGAGCATCAAGTTACTACATTTTAAAACAGCACTTCCACACTTCAACGTTTACGTCAAACCGCTAAGATAGTGAGAAAAAGACCACATTATGATCTAAGAGCAGTCAAAATAAGACTATATAAAAAGGTATGAAGCCGTTAACTACCTAGCTGAGAAATACACGTTGAAGACCTTAAGGAGTAGATATAGACTGATATATGCACATGTGTTCTTAGGCGACTTTGCTTCACCCTCCACTTTTTGTACCTTTAGAGATTCCACTAATTGTTAACATGATGTTTTGATTTACTTGTAATACTTTACATTATGTTCTCTTTGACTGGTAAATAAGAAATGTGATAAGTTGAACCAACACGCAATAATAAGCGGCCCTATGTTGATAACTGCTGACTGACTGTATAATGACCTCTATAATTTCACCAGAATCACCAATACTAGCTCACTCAATCATGAGACCAGAAGTGTAAAAATGAAATGTAGGACCCGGTTTCACACAGCACACATTTCAGGCACTCATTCTTCACTACAAAAACCCTACAATACGGGTTTGAGCCGCGCTATATCGCCCGACGTTTTGACAGTCAGGTAGTTTCAACAGCACTTACATAATAAACTTAATTCATAGCCAAGGGCAGTTAAACAGCCAGGAACGCGAATAGGCAACAGCTGAAGCTAACATATGTCTAAAAGGCATAAAAGACAGAAGTGTAATGAAACTTTAATGGATAAACGTTTCCAGTGACAAAAAAGTCTTTTATGATCTTCTGATCACTTAGAGGATTTTCGAAGATAAATCCCGTCATGAATAATCATAGTGGACAGCTTTTAAAAGCAGTAACATATTTAACTACCCACAAAATTTTCGAAGAACACCTGAAGGAACACCACTTCGCAGACAAGACGACACTACATGATAATGAAAAATGAAGTATTCGTAAGCACTAGTTAAAGTTTTGTTTCAAAGTTAAACAAAGATTAAAGAGAAAGGCACTCACTGAATAACAGGCTTTCTGATGCCGCACAAGAGGTCTAGTGATTCTGATTCTGAGGAAACAGGTCGTTCAGCAGGCATTTGTTTCGGGCAACTACTTGAGTCTTCTGATGACATATTGAAATGTCGACTTAGATTACCTGTAATGAGAAAAACCGCAGTATATGATTCAAGATTTTAATCCACAAGAAGTTATAAAGGTGAACACATCATGTATACTATTTAGAATGTGTTAGCAATTAAAATACGTATCAGCGAATGACAGCGGTTTCCACGGCTACATGCACTGTTCACATCACTTACCCTTTATCTACGTAAACTACATGTTGTGAGGGTATTGAGATCTTAAGAAACAAAAATTGCCGTTTTTTTCACGTGGTCACTCTATCCTGAATATCGCCCACACACGCCATATTTAGCTGGTGACAATACATTTACCAGGTGTTCTCGTAAAAATCGTCAGACATGAATTGCGTAACCTAAATGTGAAATCCACTGGAGTTTGAGAACCAAAAAAGGTTGTGAGGTTTTAACAGTACAAAAGACAGAAAAGCAGCATGTCTCTTACAAAGACTGACTATTTCCTGGTGACGAAATTCACTCTGAACTAGATTTATTCCACCATAGTGAAATAAATGTATAAATTTGAGACTATAGTCTCAAGTCTCTATAGAAGGCTGAAAAGATGAGTATACTCGAGTAAGTTATATATAACCCACTATATAGATGCCCACACCTTCATAAAACCAGGCTAATATGTATGACAGTAATATAGGTAGCGGTAGTGCCAAGCGGATAGAGGATAGCGGCACAAATGGCTTATGGAGAGGCTGAGCACTTGAAGGTCACTTACGCACACTGTGATTGGTAGATTTTCCTTTGCATAAACGTTGCGGTTAATACGTGCCGTGCGTTACTGAGGCGGGCTTTGAAGTAGCAATAATAAAAGCGGATAAACATTATATTTTTTAGCTTAAGGGAACAAGTTAACATGCTTATAAATTTCACAGATGTGAGAAGCATTAGATCCAGTAACAAGGAGAATACTACTGGGTAACTTAATCACAGAAATTTAAAGTCTGGAGATTTTATGTCTTTCAGTTAATTGTAACGGATGGGTAAGAGTCACTTGTGTAATATTTGCTTTTTATAGAAGAAAAAGTGTGACAGGTGATTTTGAAGTTACACGATTCCTGAAATCTATCGTGGAATATATGGACGACTAATCTGTAGAATTTCACCAACTCTGTGGTTGTTCTTTGCCTTGTTCACATATTCACTGTGGCTAAGATTAGGAATTGTTCACCAAAGGTAAGATTAATTTACCCGATATGTATACATCCTCAGATATTTCTCAATACGGCCGAAGGCAGTCGAAGGAATATAATCTCAATCTCTGCTTGAAAAGTTCACATCCAGTTTCTGCGAACGGAACTGGTGGTGACGAAAACTGCAAAGACTGGTCCAACACCGCTAACAACGGAGGCAAACTGACACAGATGTTGCGGTTAGAGTGTTTGGTGGACTTTATGATGACTACGATGCAGCTATAAAAAGTCTACAACTGTGATTTTTTCACTGGATTGTTATTAACTCTTTTTTGTGTATATATGTACTCTTTTATTCTGAGTCATTTTTAATTTGATTGATTATTGTTTCCTTACAAATATATGCATTTATGTCGACTAACTTTGTCTCTTTTACTTATTTTGAGGACATTGCAGAGTTAACGAGAATGATAGGCAACGTTCTAATACTTATGTGAAATGCGTCAGTCATAAACTGTTATTACTTCCTCTATGCGTCATCAAGCCTTGCGTAAAGTGTTTCAGTTGCGTGTAAGATTAATATTCAAGATTGTTAAGAAAGTAGCCGTCAAATATGTGTTCGTACTGTAATAACGAAACAAAGTCTAGCAAACGTAGGTTCTATATGCAGACGACATGTAGTAGTAGTCCAGGCACTGCAAGTACACAATGCGACGTGTGTCCCACTTATCACAGATACTCTGTTATTATTATGTTGCGTTTAACACCACTATCTCGAAGGGTATCATTAGGTAATAAGGAGAAAACTACATTACTTTTCTTGTGTTATCATTTCGTATCAAAAGGCTCTTACATGATCACACCAACACTTAGACTCGTGCATTAATGCAACTAATTAGTTGACTACGTCACTAAACTTCGTTGATTATTTTGCTATCATGAAATACTGTGACGCATTAAATAGGCCTTTGTTGTGCATAACGTCTATTTAAGATTTACTAGCGAAAGCAATTACTCAAAAGCGATAACAGTACCCCATCGTGATGAAATTCAGCAACGTGTGAATATGCCATTTTACGAATATTACGTCTTCTACATTGGCATCACTTTGCAACTCGACAAACACTAAGTATTAATGGAGCAAAATTTGTAAAACAATATTTATTTCGATAAATATATTATTAATATCACAAATACTTCATCATTTACACAAATATTATCGTTTTTAATCCCAATTAGAATGTCTAAATGTATTGAGTGATTGCGGGATTGAAGACCATAATCTGGAAATTAAAAATAAACATTCAGTCAAGATGTGATGAGTTAAATAAATAAACATATAATACAGTACGTACTAGTTAAATGACTATCTCTTCACCGTTATCTGACGAAATAACCAACTCGATTTCCTTTATTTCTGAGCAATTTGGTAAAAGTCATGAAATTATAATTACCTCGATATTTAACACTTTTCTCATCATATACGTAAAATAAACTTCAAAATTTGTAATTATTTAGCATTTTCTATCATAATTGACATTTTCCAATGAATTGTTTCATTTCTTATGCATCTCGGGATGTCGATTCGATGAAAAGACAGCATTTCGTTAACACAATGAAAACGATTACTTTTCTCACTTTTTACACGTTTTTTCGTTAAAATATGATTTTTAAAATGCATTTCTGTCGAAAAAACCACTAAAAACAACGTAGAATAGCCTAAACACAACACCACGATAACACCTTAAAACTGCAGCAATCAGCTGATTTGTGCCTCTATCCTCTACCTGCCAAGCGTCCCCTTACCATATTGTGTTCGTATTAAATAAACATTTAAATGTTCATTATTTCGTATACATAGTTTAAACAGCTATAGCTAACCGTGGAATTTTACTGTTAGTGGTAACACTTAACCTCATTAAATACAAATACATAAAGAAATGGTGAACAAGAAAAAAAATTTTACAAAGCTATGTGTCCATAAAATAAATCTGGTCAAACGACCTTGAGGGCTTACTAACTTAACTCACCGCCCGAAAAATAGTATCCAATATCTAATTTCGTTTCTACGAGCTAGCATTAAATTTGAAGTTGATATATATATATATATATGCATACATATATATCGGTAATAACAATAATTAGCGCAGTTAGAGCTGTCAGGAGAATAAGATGGGGGGGATCGAACCTCGGACCATGTGCATGGTCGGTGAGAGTCCTAACCACTGTGCCAACGACACACATGAGATTTTAAGGGGATAGGCCACTTGGACGCAGTCCTTGTGTCGCTGCATGACTGTCCAGCCTTCGTTTAAAGACATTCACAGACGTTGTCATAGCTACACCTGATGGTAAGTAATTTCAGGGACGGTAAACCTGCAGTGAAAAGAAGTGGGAGCGCACCCGAGTCATTAACCTTCGGTGAGCCATCCTTCTGGGATTTCCACGAGGAAGTCTGTACCTATTCAATGGCAGAACACCTTTCTTTGGGTGACTCTGGTCATTTGTTATTTTGTAGACAGCGATCAAATACCCCCCTAAGCCGACGATAGCTAAGTGTAAATAGGCCTAATTTCTTTAGCCTTTCATCATATGGTTTATTTCAGAGACCGACTACTCCTTTTGTCGCCCGTCTTTGGACTCTTTCCAAGAGGTCGGAATCTCTTCCAAGTAGTGGGGGTGCAATAATATTATGCACTTCAAGATGTGGTCTGACGTATGTTTTGTACAACCTTAGAAAGAGCTCAGGAGTGAGTGCACGTAACTGTCTATGTGCAAAGTGTATGACCGCACATGCCCTCGCTACGTCCCCCGTGTAATTCACGCTTGTGTCTTTTTTTCCGTTAGAACTAGACCTAATTTGCGCCCCGACTCTATGAAGGATAAACTTTCGTTGCACAGGGTGTAACTTCCATTCTGCAGTCTACAAGTGAGCAACTTCACTACTTTGCACTTTTTCAGGTTGAAAGTCATGCCACTGGCCACCGCCCAGTCTTTCATAAGTTTTCGATCTACCTGCAGCCTATTTGAGTACTCCGGACACTTTATTGCCGTCCATATTTTTACGTCGTCAGCACTTAGAAGAGTCAGGAAGCTTAGACGGCATGGTAGATCATTGATAAAAATCAAAAACATCAGTGGTTTTAGGATAGAACCCTGTGACACTCCTGATGACGAGCTTTTCCAAGATGATCGGACTCGATTGACCTCACTGCAAAATTGCCTTCCAGCTATGTAGTCCTTTAACCATGATAGAAGTGGCTTACCTATACTTGCCTGACTTATTTTGTTTAGGAGAAGGTCATGGTGAACTGTGTCAAATGCTTCCTCAAAGTCTGGGAATACCACATGGACTGGAACACTCATATTCCTGCACGATGTCCAATCGTCCTGAGCTGATGGTCGGTTTGTTACACAGGATCTACCTTTCCTGGAACTGTGTTGGGCTTTATGGAGTATATTAGACCCATCGAGATAATCCCTGATGTGGTCGTCAATAATAATTTCCAGTACTTTTGGTACCACTGGAAGTAGAGCTACTGGCCTATAACTAGTGGCATTTTACCTATCCCCACCCTTGAAGATCGGAGAAAGGATGGCTTTTTTCCACTCCCTTGGTAGTTTTCCCGAATCCATCGAGTGTTGGAACAAGTCACATAAGGGTCTACAGAGAGCTTCGGCGCACTGTTTCGGAACAGATGGCCTGATATCGTCAAAACCTGGAGACTTCCAAAGTGTGAGTCTCTGTAGCTTCCTTAGTACTATTGGCGGGTTTATTCGGGTAGTAGCGACTAGGTCTTCCTCTGGTGAAACAATGGTGTTGCCGTTCTGATCCGTACCTGTAATACCCACATTGTTGTTTAACTGTTTGCCGAAGGCTAAAGTGGGTGTTTCCGCCATCTCCAGACCAATGAAACACTGACCGTTTGGGCCTGCAAAAGCGCATACCCCATGGTTGGTTGGTTTTCCCTCCCACATGAATTTATGCAAGTTTTTAAGGCCTGCTAGAAGTTTTTGCCAAGGTTAGCCTGGAATGACCCCCTCTCACTCCTGATTCTCGCGTTGCACCGGTTGCTGAGTTTCAGGTATGCGTCGTGGTTGGTCTGATTCTTGGATACGCGCCACGTAAACCAAGCCTTCAACTTTCCTCGCAGAATACGCTGCGCACCTCTCTTCAGCCATGATGACTTTCTTTCGGGCTGTGTTGTGACTAAAGGGATGGTATCCGAAACTCCTGTATGAATCATTTCTTTACCACTTCCCAGTGTTTATCCACAGACAACTCATCCCATTCTGAGTCAGACAAAAATCCTTCACATTTCAGCATAGCCCGCCTTGCCAAAGAACAGACATGGTCGCATAACCTCCCACTACAAGTGCTAACGGAGAACAAGATCGAAACCTATGACTGCATGGCCAACACTTCCGAGAGTAATCATGATCTGGACCTTATCGACGAGTAGTTGGTCACTAGTTAGAATGTAGTCTGGTTTCGATGACTTTCCCCTAGGGCCCTAACTAGTGTCGTCTCTAACATTCTCAGTCAGTCCAGCATTTCGAATAGTTTGCAGTAGATTTCGGTCGAATTTTCCCTTAGCATACCCCGAGCCAAGGTTCAGTGATGGGGCATTGAAATCTCCAGCTATGGTGCTTTGGTCGTAGCCCAAGTCCTGTATCCCTTTGATAGTGCTGAGCAGTAGCTGATTGTGCTCTGCCCCATCGGTGAGAGATAGGTAGATGCCACCCAATAAATGCTTGGTGTGGCCTACGGTGAAATGACACCATATGAAGTCTGGCAGTTCAATAAGCGGGGGGTCGGTTGCGCTCACACATTTAAGTTGCCTGTCAAAGTATATAGCAGCTTCCCCTCCTTCCTTATTATGCCTGTCTCTCCTGACCAGAACCATATCACCTATACTGATTTCGTTGTCGGAGATAGTAGGGGTTAACCAGGTTTCAGTGAGAATGATTATTTTGAGTTGTAGATGTGCTTGGAGTTTTCGGAGTTCGCCTACTTTTCCTCTCAGTCTTCCCACTTTACCATATAGGCAGCTGACAGTGAGTCTCACAAACTCAGCGTGCTGTGGGGTAGTTGATGTTAAACTGTCCACTGGTAGGGGACTTAATATTGAGACTAGCTGGCCGATTCCGATGGAACCGGCCCTCTGTCGTTTTTTCCATGGATTCAGGTGGGACAATTGGGTGACACAGGCCGTTATTCTCAGTACCGAATTGCTCTAGTGTCATCGGGGCTTGGGGTCGTATTAAGGCCTCAGTTCACTGCCTCCTTATGGTTCGAGGTCTGCTTCCGCAGCATCGGATTTGTCCTGCCATTTTCCCCTTGGCCTCGTACCGCCGTTGAAGTACTGTGGCCAACCGCTCCTGGGAATTGAATTTGACACTTAGCAGCCCTGGAGAACTAATCTGTGTCAGATGAGCGGGGCGAGGTAGTCGAAAAATGGAGATTGCGCCAGATGCGCTAAGAGCCATCTGAGATGACAGCCATCTCCATCGCTATACGTCATGCATGTGTTTTTCACAAGCAGTGCTCATTTCCAGCTCTGGAACACCGTGTATAAGCATAGAGATAGAAGGTGACTTCTTCGCCATTTGCCTGTTAGCCCATGGTCTATCATGTCTCACTCTTATGCTAGAACTCCTGTCGATGGCTAGCACCTGAGCCAGTAATAGTATCATTTCAGCTTCTTCCACGAAGTCCAGTATAACTCTTAATGAGGGTGGCCTACTCTAAGGTGTACGGACACCCCTGCACAGCCTGCACAATTTCGCTGAACCAGTGTTCAGACCTAATTTATTGCACAAATTGAATGACTGTTCCTGATCAAACAGGGCCCGTTGTTCAAGCAAGCTATCCTTTCTCACAGGTACATTAAAAAGGATAAGAGAATTAGACTGACTGACCCTACACTTAGGTTTAGTTTTTGGTTACTTGTCCTCCTTTGCAGGGTCAGTCACTTTGGACTTCATCAGGTTCTGACTACCGTTTTCTGTGCTGCTAGGCTTGCTAGTGGATGCAAGTGATGCTTTGATAATTCCATTTTCCCCTGATTTTGTATGTGAAACCTTGGGAGTCCTCACTTTATGAAGACTGGCATTTCCAGTCAGTTGGACTGGAGTATCCTTCTTGCTATCGCTACCAAGTTTTGGTGGCGTGGTGTTAGCAGGTGGAGAGCTGCTTGAGACTGTGTCGTGACACAAGAAAGGCGCACCCTTCATGCTATCGGCAGACGCGCTGTGTAGGACTGTGCCAGGATGACAAAATGGGTAGATATACCAGAACCGTGGGCGTGGGTTATTTCGCATAAACTCATAGTATGATTTTGGCACCCCTTTTTCACAACGGCAGTGTACCCATCGTTTATGAAAATTGCATTCCAATGCTGAATCAGTTTTAGAAACAATAACACTACAGGCCTGACGTTCATCGCTTATCCTAATTGACGTTTTGAGCGTTTCATTTTTGTTTTGCCATGTTTCACGCACTGCAGATGTAGTATCATGTCCACCTAGTACTGCCTGCGCCGCTTCAGTCCTGGGCTGTGACAATGCAGGCGTAGTATCAGAACAGGTGAGACCTACATGAGTCTTTGGGAACGGTATGCGGGAAGGGGTTTATGTCCCTGGGTACTTGCCTTCTCTGACTGAGGCCCTTGTGACTACAGGATATGGTGTTTTATTGCTTTTTCTAAGGCTACTTTCAACAGCCACATTAACGATCACTGCGGTTTATGCTATACACGAGTAAGAGAGCAACACTATCTAACCAGAAGAACACGAATAAGACTGACAAATTACAAGATAAGGAAAAGAAGAGGTTCTCGACCTTATCTAGTAATTTCTGGTTGATCGGCTTCACAGCAATCACGTGGTAGACCAACAAGTTGTGTTTTTCTGAGCGAGTGAGGAAGATACTGCTACCGAAGTGACAACTGAAGCTGTGGCAATAATTGGACTGACCACATAGAGATTTGATATGTAAGTAATGGTTGAATTCAATTCACCGGCTAGGAAGATCAGGTTTCCACCAAGAACTTTCATAATGGCTATTGAACAATGAGTCACGTCATAAACAAAGAATGCTGGGTAATGTTTTGCGACAAGAGTTTACTCCTGATCTGCTTTTCCAACTTTGTAGAGGCAAGGCATTAATTGGAACCCAGATGTGTGCGTTTTTGGTGGCACTGCATTTCTCTGGAAACATGGTTGTTCAGATAAGGGACAGGTTTGCATACATCACAACTACCTCCAGAGTGATTGTGTTCGAGATGGCATGTTGATTACTTTGCTTACTCCGGTATCCCCTGAACCTCTAGTCTTTTCTTTGCCAGTATCTTATCACACTAGTCAAATGTGTTTGGTAGAACGGTCCGCCAGATTCGCTGTAGCGGAAACTGAACTGTCCAATAGTACAGCGGTAAAAGAGATATTGTTCCTTGGGAAATGAAACGATGCATGTCAAAATAAAGTGCACGAAAAGAAGAAAAAGTTAAGGCGAATGTTTAGTGCTGGGACTTTAAAATTATAGGGAAGGCAACCATAGAAAAGGTGCCTGCACTTACATCTATTAAACAGATTGATTTCACTTGGCAATGTGGAGGTTAGAACCACCTGATGAACTTTAGGGATATTGGCATTTCCTCATCCCTTTAGAAATCTCATTAGCAAACATTTTTCATAGGTGAATACGTATTATATTTTGAGTTCTTCACGTAGAGTCTTTACTTATTCCAAGTTGTCCCTTTGTTCTTGTAAAGCTCTGTACCCCGTACCATTCTGTGAGCTCTCTTCTGGGAACATGATTGCCTCAGAGGTAGGACCATCGGTGGTTCATATTGCACCCACTGCCATCAGTCAGCAGCACTCCCGAACTAGACAACTAGAGCTCTGCCATTTGCGTAAAGTTGTCACCGCCATGGAAAAAACTGATGGAAGAGTTGTTCCTGCTTGACAGCTCGCTAACAGCTGAGCAAACAAAACATTGCTGTCTATTAGAGATGAATTCGTACATCCCATTACTGTAGATAGTTGTTTAAGTGGAAATAGCCAAGAGGGGATGATTTTCCTCCTGATGTCCAACGATCATCATGCCCAGTGTTTTCGTAGATACAGCAATTTCGATGGTACTTAGCAAGAATCTATCAAACCTTCTCTAAATACCTGTTTTTACACGAAATTAAACGATAACCGATTGATGCTAGCAGGTTGTTTTTGAGAACATTGGTTTTGCCACTCAGAAGAAAATTAGTAACTCATCTTGCAACTCAATCACTACCACTTACAACGAAGAACAGTACGTGTATGAAAAGATATCAGCAGCCATTCACTTCAAATGGCGTGTCCATATTAGAAAGTGTTTACGTGTGAACCTGTCAAGATAGACCACCTATCGCTGTTAGCTGTGGGGTAACGATTGATGCATCTGTTGAAATGCAACCCTGACCGGACAGCTTTTGATTTAGTTATTTCCATCACTTCTTCAAGTTCAAGCATCCAATCAATTACCTGTTTCTTATGTGTGATTTAAATTCCATTGGATTTGTAGACGACATATATGCCCTGTATTTAGTGCAATAAAGTTTGTTGCTGCCCTTGTTGCGGTTAAGCCTTACTTTTATGTGTCTACTCACTCTGGGGAATGCCTCCACTTGATCAGATGACCATAGCACCTTGTCTGCAGACACGTTCTAGTCAGGTTAGTCTGCAAACAACGAAGACCAGCAACATATTTTGGTGATGAGGTTCTTCAAGTTAGCGAAGTCAAAACAAAATTTGTCTTCACTAACAGTGAAATGAGTGAACATCTGTTGTAATTTTTTGTAATAGTAGTATTAGTATTTCGAGATGACCGAATTACAAGAATCCAAACAAAACACAGAGAGGGCGGAATTCAAGAATTTGTATTCAGCGGAATTATTATTCAATTCTTATAAGAAACATATTAACAATCAACAGTAAGTATTTAAACAATACAGAGATAGAAATTGTCAATCACCACATCCGCCACACCTCGAATATCTCCTTGCGTATTTATAACGATGTCTTGGTTTGCTTGCAAGTAGCTTCGACCTAACTGATTCTGTGATATTATTTTCATCAGTATTATCTGGACCTATTTCTGAATTATCTACAAAATCAGGATTATTGGCGGAATCATTAATATAATAATTGGAACGACCTACTTCATTTATTGTCACTTTGTCCAGGTGTCTGTTACGAACTGGGTGATATTTCATGTCTAATATCTTCACCACTCGATTTCCCATTGTTTGTAGTATAATTCCAACAGAAGGTCTATAGTCTTTCCCTTAATAATAATGTATATTAGAAGTCGTGGACATCAGATACTTTTTGAGAATTCGAGATTTGAAAAGTTTTGCAGGACTTTCACGGGTACTCGTATGCTCTGCATTCAACAGACGTAGTCTATGCATATGCAGCAATTTCTCCATTTTAATCAGTTGCTCACTCATCTTATTCAGTTTTTTTCGTGTTTTCGACAGTTCACATTGTAACTCGGCTACCTCCCTTTTGAGAACAGTTGACGCTTGAGTTGCTGAACTTGTAGTGGAGGTTTTCATTGGATGACATTGAGTATTTTGAAAAGTTGAAAGAGACATCGACTGCATTTTACCAGATAAATTGGAAGAATTATAAGAACTCTGAGTAACATAAGTATTCGAACTTCTGCAAACAGTCTTGATGTGTCCAACTTTACCACATTTGTGACACTTAGCACCCCGAAAACGTAAAGTGCTTCGTAGATGAATCTTTCCACCTGAAAAATACGGTTTACGTTTTTGATCTCTCGCTGCATTCCATTACCCGTGGACGACAATTTAGATTGCTTTCCATGAACACTTGTATTTTCGACTTTAGAAAGCATAACATCAGATACTGACGTAGTGGGAGCAGAGTATTCATTATTGACATCTTCATATGTAATACATAAATCTTTAGCAGTTTGAAAGGTACAAGAAGGAATCTGAATTAACTCTTTCTCTAGCTTAGGAATATTGATTCCAGCAATTAGACGATCACGTAGTTGAGTATGCAGCTGATCTCCAAAGTTACACTTTGAAGCTTGTATTTGGAGTTGCAGAATAAAGTCTCTAATCTTCTGATTGGGAGCACGACCCAGTTTATGGAATTGAGCTCTCTCTCTGGTGTCAAATGTAGTTACATGAAAGTGATTTATCAGAAGTTCACGAATCTTGATATGTGACAGAGAAATAGGTTTATTTTGAAATGACAGAGTCTTTACTAGGCTATACGCATCTAGCCCAATTGCAGTGATGTAATGTGCTGGTATTTTGTCATCCCGAACATTCTTTGAAATGCACCACGCATCGAAGCATTCCAAATAATCAGCCATCTCCCGCGGAGACCCATTAATAGGAAATTTTTCCAGGTTATTTAGTTCCATCGCGACGCCAATTTGTAGTAATTTATTGTAATCGTAGTATTAGTATTTCGAGATGACCGAATTACAAGAATCCAAACAAAACACAGAGAGGGCGGAATTCAGGAATTTGTATTTGGCCGAATTATTATTCAATTCATATAAGAAATATATTAGCAATCAACAGTAAGTATTTAAACAATAGAGAGATAGAAATTGTCAATCACCACAATGGGTGACTAGGTTTTTAATAATTTGATATAGCGCCCATTGAACGATCAAGAGCATCAAACGCTTATTGAAAGTATAGTTTGATAGGGAAAATTTTATGATAAGCCCAGGACTTTTAAGTGATATGGGGAGAGTTGCATAGTTCCTAAGTGAAGGAGAAAGCAGTGTTTATTCTGCATGGTAGTACCACATGCATGCTACAGGTTGTATATTCGCACGATAAAAATCTAATAGGATGTGCTCAGGACAATTAAGATAATGAATGAGTTATAAGAGTAAAACATAAAGGAAACATTCTGAAGTGGTTATAGCAATAAAAAGGACTTTTTGATGTTATATCGAGCCGATCGATAGCCGAAAGTCGCAAATTTTTAAACGGTTTTCTTTTCACGACGGCTGTTTGGTGCCTAACTTGGAGACTGAAGGTTATTTTTCTGATATTTGATATCTCTTGTCAATACCCAGTCCTCTTTGGCAAACCTTTTCGGTTCGGGATTGTGGACGTGAACTTACAAGTATTGATGGAGCCGCAGTTACTACCCAACAAGTGGATCTTTCACCCCAATAACTTGATAAGTTACACTAGTAATGTTTTTAGCGATGATGTGTTTACAAATTTACTTATCTTGGAAGCTTTGGATGATAAAAAAAACTCACTTTATGAATTTTAATGTTAACCACTATTAAGCAGAGGACTAACGGGACTCCATAGTCCCCTTTCTATCACAGATACTTGGAGTTCATTTCTGTGGATACTCTGTGTTGCTGAGTGATGTAAATCCGTGAAATTATAAGTGAATCAAATATCAAGCACAGCCATTTGATTATGTTCGATCAGTTTGCCATTTTCATTGTTATCTTAGGTCAAAGTGAACTAAGCATTTGTTTAAAACAATATTTACTGGTGGGGGTTTTTCGAAGTTTATCCTCACCCATTGACATGAGGACGTCAACTATTTTTTACAATGGATATTTCAGGCTTTTAATCGCTAGCTTGTGGAGCATGATCTGTTTGCTATTCAAAAGGCACTTAAAGACAGTATGGTCTCTCGTTTACACTCACTGACCTACTTGCAGGCATTGAAATACCAGAGTGTAAAATATGATATTGTTCCTCTCTCTCCTCTGTCAAAGTACCGCTTATGTGAGTTTACCAGCCATTTTGTACGCCATTTTCACGCAAATTTAATGTGTTGCAGACAGGCAGAACCTCAACTCCTAGTGTTTCCACACAGCTAATATCAGCAACTGCCGGTATACCGGCAGTTAGATTATAATCTAACTTATATTCAACGTGGTCCGGGTGTTCACGTTGAGTTTACTGTCTGTCGCGGTATTTAGGTTTTTGTGTTCGTAGCTAATTGCTGCATAGAGTCCCATCTGTCTGTCAAGCTCATGAATATGCTAACTGGGTCGTTGTTTAATCAAATGCTTGTCGTAGATCACTTATGGTTTCTCTCGCCTCACACGTGAAGAACTGTAGTTGTACGAAAAAGTTTTCAGTTCAGAGAAAATTTCGTATTCGTTCCATTTTAAAGCGTCTCAATAGTGTCACAGTAGCATCACGGTATTCCTATTTCACTCTGATCTCTTATTGAAGTTGCATTCTCTTATTTGTTTACATGTTACCTCATCGTATTACGTGTGGCAGCCTAGACTGGTATGTAAGGATTCTGGACACCACTTGAGGCAATCTCCTATCTGGTTTCTCGATATCGTCTTATAGTGTATAAAGATTGACTGACTGGGACGGTCGAGAAATACCAATTGCCGTGGGTTTGCAAACTTGGTTTCTGATTTTGTTGACCGAGACTGACCATAAAACTTGTGTAATCTACATTATTGAATAGTCACTTTCTCCCTATGCCTGATTTTGTGATGACATCCTTACATAGTACTGACCTTACGTTGACACCACTAATTTTCGCTGGGATCATTGTTCTGTTATTTTCCAGGACATTTGATTATTAAAGTGGACAGCTACCTTTGAGTAATTATTTACTTTGCTACATGTAGTGTGTATTCAGACTCACATGTTGGACTCGGGATATCCCTAATTCAAACACTGATATTCTTTTTCCGTAATATGGGTGGTAATGTCCTCGAGTCAACTAAGATGAAACCTAGATTTTCGTATGAAGTTTTCACGACTGAGGCTTACTTTTAACTTCCGAAATATGAGTCTGATATTTAGTGTTGTAATCCGAAATTTACAGACCATGCTATTGAGTCCATAAAAAACTCTGCGTTGTCTATGTGTGATCAATATCTCCCTGACGTGTTCTTAATGTGCTAAGTAGCAAAGCTGCACAGCAGTGTGATTTCGTATGTCACATTAAAGGACTCTTTTATGTCTGACTGCCTCATGTAAATTTATCTTCTGTAACATTCATGTCCGCGGACTGTCCAGATAAATTTACCTGTTATGGGATGCAGTAGTACATTGTGATCAACGAGATCTGTCTGTCTGTTTTCGACATAGAACTTTGCACGTATGTGCGGCAGCTCAAGTCGCCACACTCTATGTGTAGTACACAAAGCAAGAGAAAAAAAGTAGAAGAAATACATAATAGAGACAGTAAACAGAGGTGTGAGACAAAAGAGTAATAGTAATAACGAAGAACAATGTGGTTTCATTGGAAATCATAAATCACAGGGAGTGGATGCATCTGGGCTAGCCATTGAGAACGATTTTGAGCCATATCACCAATTATCGTAAGCCATTGGTTTTTACCGTCCCGATGACCCCAACCAGGAAGTCTGCTTCTTCCAACGTGGCTAGCTCAAACTAACTGTTGTGGATTTCATTGACTGGTTCCATGTTTTTGTTTGACCGCCGCTAGCTCTTTTCCAGCCTGACCCTATGTCAGCTAACATTGCCCGTCGAAGAAGGCGATGACTAGACATGCATACGTAACACATGTCCTGGCCATCTCAATCGATGTAATTTCACAGGCTCGTCGATTGATTTCCCCTCCTTCCCTAGCACTCGACTGAGGCCTAAGCTCAATATTGCTCACCCTATTATACCACTTCACACGGGAGATAAAACGCAGACACCTATGATCAAAGACAGCTAATCTTTTCATGTCTTCCACTCTCAATGGCCACGTCTCACAGCCAAAGAGGAGGACTGAGCGAACTGACTCCTGACAGTACATACGCTCTTTGGTTGATAGTCGGGTATCTCGTCTACTCCAGAGATAGCGTAAACTGGCATATGCGAAACTAGCCTTCTGTATCGGTGCTGAGATTTCATCAGAGATCAACCCGTTGGCATCGGCTGATGGTACTTCCCAAATAAGTGAAGCGGTCAACGTACTCAACCACTTCACCTCCTATTTCTAATCTATGAGTCGGTTTAGTCCAGTCCTGTAAAATCATCTTGCATTTGGCGTGAGCGAATCGCATGCCAAACATTCGTAGATTGCAGCTCAGGGTGTTCAGAAGACTGCATTTTGTCGGCGTCCTCGCCTAGAAGGACTATATCATCTGCATATTCTAAGTCAACGAGATTATTCCCTGGTAGCAAGTCAATCTCTGAGCCACTGAAGTGAATTAGGGTTAAGTCCATTAGTACATCTATGAAGTTGAATAGAATTGGGGATAATGGGCATCCTTGACGGACACCACTAGTCGTCACCACTTCAGATGACAATTCGCCGTATGCCCTCACCTGGCTGTGTGAGTACGAGTAGAGTGCTTTCATCAGTGCAATGTATTTTCTCGGCATTCCATTTACAGCCAAGCATCGCCAGAGAACCTCTCGGTTGACAGAATCGAATTCCGCCTTAAGGTCAAGAAATATAATGACAGTTGGACGCCGGTAGGAATGCTTATGTTCTAGAATCTGTTGGAGGGTGAAGATATGATCAACACACCCTCTTCCTAGTCTAAAGCCTGCGTGGCTCTCTCGTGTTTGAGCCTCCCGAGCACCACTTAGTCTACGCATGATTATTGAGCCTAGGACTTTAGATACTATATTAGTCAAGCTAATCCCTCTGTGACTATCACAGGAAGACTTGTTTCCCTTCTTGTATTGTATATGGGGATAATCAGTGACTTACACCAACCCAATGGGACTTCCTCTGATTCCCAGACGCTGCCTAGAACCTCAGTTAATGCAGACAGTAAACTGTCTCCACTGTACTTAAGTACCTCTGGAGTCATTCCATCAGTTCCCGCTGCTTTGCCTAGTTTCAGATTAATGACAGCTTTAGTAACCTCAGTTAAGGAAGGAGCACCTGTGTCTATATCCCATTCAAGGAGGTGTTGGATGTTCGGAAGGTTGGGCGTGGCTGTGGGCCGATTAAACTGCTCCTCATAGTGCTCTTTCCAGCGTTCCAGTCGTCTATCCTGGGAGCTAATTATGGTGCCATTTCTCTCCGAGATTGTTTCACTTATCATTTGCCTTTTGCCACCTGTTTCCCTGATAGGCTTAAATAGTTGTCTGGTGCTGTCAATCGCCGATGTCTTTTCCATCTCTTTCGCTTTTTTCGCCCACCACTGTCCAAGGTCGTTGCGAAGACTTTTTAAGTTTTCGTTTGAGTACCTTTCGCACCTCATCATAATCGGAGCTCGCTGGAATCAGTCTTGCGTCAATCAGTTCGGATGAGGCGGTGGAGATCCAATGGCTTTTATTAACTTTAGGTTTTAGCTTATTAACAGCTTTTACAGCTGTGTGTACAGCTAATTGTATGTTGTGCCAGGCTACCTCAGAGGAAGTCCTTCTGTCAACCTCAGACATTCGTTTCGCTAGTTCTTCCTTAAATGAGGACTCAACGAGATAGTGCTTTGAGAGCAGTTTGCTGCTCATAATCATATCGTGGCTCAATGTTTGTAGTTTTTGCCATTATCGGTCGTAAGTTATCCTGGTTTTTCAGCGTATCCACTCGTTACTCGTTGGTGGGTTATTAACTGATATTATTACTCATACAAGGAGTTCAGTGTCGGAGCACTTCCAGTGACGGAGGTTTCACTTGCCGTAAAATTTGATATTTTATAGATTTATACGTAAATTAGACTTTACGGACTAGAATCGCAAACATAGGTTTGTATGTTAAGCTGTAGTTCGACATATCCGCAACATTCCAGCTGCCGGTCACCGCTGATAGCTACAAACGTGCACAACACCACTCACAGATGAATTCCGATTGAGGTGAATGATTTAAGAATTATTTACAAACAATAATGACCAGACCCGAGTAACGCCGTGAAGACAGTAATAGTCGGACTTGGGAAGTCACCGGATATGTAAGCTTGTCCTATGCCAATGTAGTTTAGGAAATGCACCGCATTGCTAGGAGTCACACTTATCTAGACGAACTTTTCGATCTCATAGGCCTTACATTTCAGAGTGAAACCATGGTCGAAATCTCGCAAGCTTGCAAATGTATTCTGACAGTAAAAAGAACGTCATATTGCAGACAATGACTGTCAGGTGGTAAAGTGCGATTTTATGTTGCGCATCGTCTTGTCATGAGCACAAGCAGTCTTTCATTAACTAGTGAGTGTTGACCACTAGCATACATCCTTCACATCTGTTTCCAGAATGTTGATGGCGGTGGAGCAAGAGAAAAAAAAGCTAAACTCGGTAACTTTGCATTATCCGACTTCTAGTCTGAACGGGGATTGTATACCCTAACTTTATCTGACTTGATATGCAGATTGACTTCTCATAAACACTTCTGTAACACATCATCAAAGAGGAGTCCTATAAAATTAGAGAGCAATGAAGTAAAGGTACGATTATTAGTCTGTAATTCATCTGTCTGGAAAACCAGTGGGAGGCAACCCCTTAATCTACCCATGACTTCAACGAAGCCTAGTTTCCCTGCGTTTTGCAAGACAATTAGAACAAAAACCGAGATTTGTGATGCAGCTGGTAACAGACAACTGTCCTGATGGTTGTCACAACTATTCTCTAGCCTTTCGCAAAAAGCATAGTGAATCCCTGAAATAGAGGAACATTTAGCCCTGTGTACTTCAAACAACCTGATCATTTTGCTAACTGAAATTCCACCTTTGTTGACACAGAGAATCAATGTTAATTTGTTTAGACCGGTTTTCTTGTCACTGTAGTACTTGGAAATTCCTCTGCTCATCAGAGGGCTCCAAGTTTTTACTGGCCGTCATTATAATTGACTCAGACAGACTGGTATAAGGTTCACATGGACCTAGGAAAAACTGACTTAAAAATTCATGTTTCAGTATTTTCATCAAATATCCGGTAAATAACTTCCAAAAATCTTGATGCCGAAGTACATTCAAGATTTTTGGTCCATTATTTCTTATATGAAAGATGCAACTAGTAGTTTAAACCACTAAACTTGTTGGTAAAATACATTATTTGGGTATTTATTTGCTTCGAACTAAGTTGCGATGGGTTTTAGGAAATTATCTGTATAGTGAATAAAACGTGTTTTTCACTCATCTTCCGATTTGCGTGGTAAGGTCAAGGTATTTATTGATATAGGTAGTATGGCGTGATTTTCTTCACGTGACTTACGTAAACGAATTTGTAAATTAGTAATGCAGTCTGTTATAATTAATTGATTAGATTGACTGGATGGTAATCAATTGTTAAGCCAAGTAGTAAACTATAATATAGATGGATAACACCTCCCTCACTTGATTTTTGAGTGTTATTCTCATTGTCACCAAAATCAAAGGGAAATATGGTCAAAAGGTTGTCAGATGTTTTTGGCGCCTATCGTCCAGTGAGATAATATCTTTTATATACAAAAAAATGAAACTCAGAATAATACGGACAAAAATCATCTGCATGCAATTCATAATCAATCATGAATAGGGTAAAAGTAATTTGGTAGCTAATTATTTCTCACCAATGAATGTGAAATTGTCTTCGGCCCTAAATTTTGTTCGCAGTGTCTGACTGCGTTTCAGTATAGTACTTTGCTCTTAAGTTCAACAGTTTAAGTTAATACACCATGTAACGCTCAAAGGTAGAGAAAAAAATAAGACAAGAATACATAAGGGTTATAATAAGCAGAAATGTGTGACGTAAAGATTAATAACATGGAAAAACATAAGGGTTTGAGGGGTCTGGGAGGTTATGAAGAGCAAGTGCATCTACGTCACTGAGAAGAATTTTGATTCATATCACTAGTAGTCTCCATCCATTGGCGGTTTACAACTCCCTGCGTGGCTGGCTCAAATCGGCTATCAAAGATTTACTGAACTGATGCTAGGTTTTGGATTGGTCACCCTCAATCCTTTTTCAACCTAATCCAATGTCGGCTAACACTGTTTGTGGAGGCAGGTGATGTCTCGGTATGCACGATACGTAACTTCACAACCTCATCGATTGAACTCCCTTACCTAGTACTCTATATCCAACGTCGATATCACTCATCATATTACATTGTCTGACACGGAAGAGAGAATGCGAATGTCTGTGGTCGGAGGCAGCTAGCGTTTTCATATCGTCTATTTTTGGTGGCCACGTATCACAGCCATAAACGAGAACGAAGTAAACTACTGCTTAGTATACATGTCCTTTGGTTGCTAAATAGATATCACATCCACGCCAAAGATGATGTATGTCGGCAAGACCCGAACGAGCCTTTTTTATCTGTGCTGTGATTTTGTTAGCGATTCCCCAATTTAGTGAAGTGGTCAAGACGCATGTTTAAGCTGGGAGTCTGTGCAAACCAGTCTTGCAACATCATCTTACATTTGACAAGGGCGAAATGCATTCCAAAATGTTTTAAGATTTCTGCTTAAGAAGACTGGTTTTTATTGGCCTGTGCATCTAGGAGCACAGTGTCATCTGGATACTAAGTCAACATGACTGCACACTGGCAACAAGTCAATCCCTAAGTTGCTAAAGTCTCTTAGAGTTAACTCCACTAGTATATCTATGATGGAATTAAACTAAAATGGGGATAATAGGATTTCCCGACAAACACCACTGGTTGTCATCGCTTCAGAAGATAACTCTGCATAAGCTGTTACATGGCTGCGTGAGATCAAGTAAAGTGCCTGCGAGCACAATATTATCAAATTTAGATTGCGAGTTCATACGTTGATTTTAGTTGCTAGGTCTTGAATAAGTTTAAAGTATGCGAAACTATTGGTAATTTAGTTTCATTTCCAAAATGAAGTGAACCAGTTATTTCCTCACTACGACTTTTGTAATTCTTGATGCTGTCTATTGTATTTAATTTCTTTCCCCTTCAGGTACTTTAAGACGAAAAGTAATGGTATTGGATTTAGATGAAACACTAATCCACTCGGTACATGACGGAATCCTACGACCAGCAGTTAGACCAGGAACGCCTCCAGATTTTGTACTTAAAGTTTTTATTGATCATCATCCCGTCCGTTTTTCTGTTCACAAAAGACCGCATGTTGATTTCTTCCTCAATGTGGTAAGTCAGTAGGGTTTTGTTTTACACATGTTTTCACCTGAAAAACTCCATGAACAATATTCTTTGTGGCTTTCCTTCTGTTCGTAGTGGTGTCCGAGTATGGGAGATAAGAATTCCCACTGACATTTTATTTCTGTATATAAAATACAGTTCATTGTGGTCTTAGTAGTGAATAGTGATATGTATACGTTTCTCTGTTGATAGAGGTAAATAATCTTCATACAACAAAAAGGAAATGTTCGGGTGTCAGGTTAATTGATCGATAGCACTAAGCACCTAATAATAATTGTAGAAACAGACCCTGAGTTCAAGTTCCATTGCGCTTGAGCATGAATAACTAGGTGATGTTATAAGTTCTTGCACGCCGAGTACTGCTCACGGCCTTGTACACAAACCTATGGCGTATCATCTCTTTCTCTTTTCAATATATATGTATATTGTGACGATACAAGAAGCATGCACAGCAAACACTGTCTGGGCGTCAAGCATTTGACTTTGTGCAATAATTTTAAGCAAAGTTTTCTAGTAGGTATAAGCTTAAAAAACACTTTGATTAGTGAGATTATAGTCAAAGTAAATGGGTTATTAAACTATTCTCACTAAAGTGGTATTCAAAAGGTTATTAACGTTGGATTTGGGCACTGTAGTATGATTTTACATAACAGTGTTATTAAGTAAATGAAATTTCAGGCAGTTTATTGGTCATAATCGTTTCAAGGATTACCACATGTTGAGGTTCATTTGTCATTGTTTCGGTGAATTTATCTCTGTTTAGACAGTGTAACTATGTAGTTTTAATCTCTGGATTGTTGAAGGAGACTGATTTATTCTTCGTGTTATATCGTAATTTTCAGATCAGTCAGTGGTATGAACTTGTAATATATACAGCCAGTCTTGAAATTTACGGTGCTGGAGTAACAGAGCTACTAGACAATGGACGTCATATACTTCAACGACGGTTTTATCGACAGGTTTGTTATTATCAGATAAACTGGTTTGCTCCTACAGACCGTGTAATTTAGTGTCAAATCTTTAGAGTTATTGGTGAGGGTTTTTACTCAGATTGCATCCTTTTTGAAGCACACCTAACTACAGTGTTATCTGAAATTTATGTTTGATTCAATATATAGAAATACACTTGAGGGTTAAATGGTACTAGTTAAGCTGGAGTTGATAATGTGTATGGTTGTTTTGTAAATTGAGGTGCTCACTATGATTTCGGAAATTTGTAGAATATGTCTGTCTGTTTTCGACATAGAACTTTGCACGTATGTGCGGCAGTTCAAGTCGCCACACTCTATGTGTAGTACACAAAGCAAGAGAAAAAAAGTAGAAGAAATACATAATAGAGACAGTAAACAGAGGTGTGAGACAAAAGAGTAATAGTAATAACGAAGAACAATGTGGTTTCATTGGAAATCATAAATCACAGGGAGTGGATGCATCTGGGCTAGCCATTGAGAACGATTTTGAGCCATATCACCAATTGTCGTAAGCCATTGGTTTTTACCGTCCCGATGACCCCAACCAGGAAGTCTGCTTCTTCCAACGTGGCTAGCTCAAACTAACTGTTGTGGATTTCATTGACTGGTTCCATGTTTTTGTTTGACCGCCGCTAGCTCTTTTCCAGCCTGACCCTATGTCAGCTAACATTGCCCGTCGAAGAAGGCGATGACTAGACATGCATACGTAACACATGTCCTGACCATCTCAATCGATGTAATTTCACAGGCTCGTCGATTGATTTCCCCTCCTTCCCTAGCACTCGACTGAGGCCTAAGCTCAATATTGCTCACCCTATTATACCACTTCACACGGGAGATAAAACGCAGACACCTATGATCGAAGACCGACTGATAGCTGCTACCTTGACGTGGTAATCGGGGTTGCACATCTCGATGACCCAACAAGCTACACTGGCTGGAACCAATGTTCCTGCAGGTCCCACCATGCCAGGAAGGTTGTTAGAATAGCGATTAGACTGAAAGCAGTTACCGGCGTTGTGTAAAAATCTTTCTTACACTATTCTGGGGGAGGGGTCTGAGGGCGAAGTAGTACTACTGGGGGACAGGGATGTAACAGCAGTAAGGTGTTTCCCTCAGATGACCAGCATGTCAGCTATGCTGTCTCTCTACTCCGGAGAGAGGGGTTTAAAAAGGTCGACCCCAAACATTGTGCATCCCGACTTATCCTACGGTGGTCCGTAACCAGCGGTAAGTTTACTAATACGGAACCAATCCCAGAAACCAGTTTGTACAGGCCGTGTGTGACCGGCCTCAAGCAGCTGTGAGTTGGGCTCTGCGGTCACGCAACACTTTCTTTTTCAGGTTCCCTAAGAATCAATCAATTTCCACGGTGTGGGGAGCAGGAAAGTAACAACCGCCCACACACTTCCGAAAGCACACGAAGCCTTCCTGAGCATCATTCTCCTCTGTAGAATATGTCCTATGCATTGACTTGCTGAGAGGTTTTTCTCTATGTGATTTCCTAATTTTAGATTTATGAATAATATTTTAATTATTTGTTAGTACTAACAATGGATAGGATTGTAATACGTACTACATTTGGGCTTATACCTACTTCAGTTTCATCGTCCAGCTGGTTTACGGTGCTTATCTAGTTGCATTACAGTGGTTTAGGTAATTCTCTACTTCCTCCATAGAGCTCTCAGTAATCATCGGCTTTATTGAGATACTACCTAGTATATAAAAAGTAAAGTTATTACCTCCGAACTGGTCTTCATTGTCAGTGATTCCAATTTTTAATGAAATAGATTTCTTCGGAAAATCAAGGGAGAGCTACATTGACAGTAAGAGACTTAAAATTTAAAGATTCATAATCATTGAATTTCAGAAACTAGACTTTAAGTAGCCTTATTCTTACACATTCAACATGTCATTATACCTCAGAAGCACTCGTCAGTAATTTTTATTTCCTATCTTTGGGTATGGCATTTTCTCTCCAGTGATTAAAAGCACAAAGTGATATTAGATGGTTGCACGCAATCGGTAGGAAGCCTTAGACCTAGGTTTCGTGACAACCTCGAAGAAACTCATTTCCCCTCTGAGATTCTAACTCGTATGCTATCGGCCAGTCGTGAACCCGAATACCTCAGTGGTAACGTCTCTGACTACCGCACTATGTGATGTGGTTCCGAATTCCAGAGGGCACATCAGTTCCTTCAAGGTTGCAGATACGTTTCGTCAGGGAGTGCCAACTAGTATGAAACCTAGGTCGAAGGCTTCCTGCTAATTTCCCCCAACCATCTGATATCAACAGTTCAAAGGGTACCGCAACGTTGAGCCACCTGGTAGCATTGTGGCCACATTGCAAACCTGACTGACAATTCATTCTGCAGCAAACATAGGACTGCGTATGTTATACCAGTCACTAACTAGTGCTCAATCAAAACATTTAGTGATATTTTGCACATCAGGAAGTTGACGAGCCAACCCATCATTATTCTGACAGCTTTTGCAATAATTTATGAAAGATTATCGTCAACGGGTGATAAAAACTATTAGCAATCTTCAGAATTTCAAATATCACCCTTTTTATTAAACTCCATCCTAGTTTTAATTGAAAAATCAGCACTATTGGTTTATCTGTTTGAAGAGAATTGTCCGATCATCTCCTAATTCCCCAACAAATACACAGTATTAATCGAAAAATGCACAAAACCTCAGAGGAATCTGACCACACACAGACTTATCATGGGAATATCAACAAAAATAAGAAAGAGTTGAAACGTAAGAAGAGAAAAAAGACTTGGGTCAAGTTATAAGGACATATTGAAGATCAAAATAACAATTAAGATCACTAAAAATAATAACACAGGTAGTAGTACATCTTCCCTGACTGGTATCAAAACAAAGTTTACCAAGGAAAGTTTCGTGTGATGACGAATTGTTTTTGAACGCATAAAGGTGGTTTAAACTTCCTAATTGCTAGTTAGGGCTCCCACAAACTTTAGGATGCGCCTCAAACACGTTTTATAGATAGGTCTAAAAATGAACTATATATATGAGTACAAATCAAAAATTTGTGAACAAAACAGTTCCAACAGTGGTATGAACACGGACAGTAGTTTCGTCCGAAATATTACCAATAACAAAACTTATCATTGTTTGTAAACCATTGAAATATAATTATTATTCATTTGATCTATTCCACTTGAACTTCCGAACATTTGTGCAAAGTTCTATGTCGAAAACAGACAGACAGACAGATTCCACAATGCTCAAACTTTTTACTGACATTAATTTGAAAGATGTGTTAAAGTCAATTCTATGTCCTGTCTCTATAATATCTTCCGTAATATACGAGCTAGGTATCCTGCTCTCACCATTAATGGGTTCTGAGGATTCTATTTGCTTCTGGAGCCACTTAGGAATATGCTGTGAGGCCAGTCCTTACTTGCAGACATCGATGAGTCCTCCCTATGTATGTGTGTCCACACGTACATTCAAACTGGTAAATAGAGTGGGATGTGACATCATTTTTCCCATGTTCAAAGGGTTTAGATGGATATATTGGCTTCACATTCTCAATTACTGTGATATTAGCTGCATAAAAAGTCTTTATAACAGCAGCGTTCAATCTTCATCTAGTTATCAAGCTGCTATGATGCCCCATAATAGGGCAGCTTGATGTACACGTCTTTCTCAGGGGCGAGTTGGAGAGTGGGTCTTGGTGTTCTGACTACTTTATATCTCCCGATGAACTTGTCTGGATAATTGTAACCAACCAGAGTTTGTGTCAACTTTCTTTCTTCTTCACCAAATGTGTCTTCAGTGCATATTCGTTGGATCCTACTGAAGAGGCACCTTACTAAGGCTCTTTTGTACCGAACAGGGCAGAAACTGTGGTAATTAAGACTAAGCAATATGTCTAGGAAAGATAAACAACTATCTCCCTCTTCTACAGACGTAACTGATTTGCTATTCTGAACTCCATTCATTTGATTTAAAATTGAGGTGGCAGAATAAGGCTTATCAATTATGATTACAATGTCATCTACATACCTTCCACAAAGCGGCACATTTTCGATTAAATCCTCCAATAAACTCTCAATGTACGATATTGATATGTATCCACATATATATATTTATGTGTGTGTGTATGTTGGTCTCTCTTCTGTTGCTCGTTTAGTCTGTGACCTTTTCACTTGTGTGAACTTGTCTCCTTTATTAATGTGTATTCTCCTTATATTATATTATATATAATATGAGTGTTTGTTGACAGTCCGTTGCTTGGTGACATATATCCATATATGGTTGTTCACATGTCTGCTATATTCGCTATGTATAATTGGATCGACACTCCATTATAATTAGCCATTCATGTTAAGACTGTCTAATGATTTTTCCCACGCTTGTCTGAATCATTCATATATATTTCGCATTCACAATTTGTGTGAACGACTTTACTTACTTACCACTTTGGTGTGAGACCATTTATTTTCGTCTCCTTGTGTTTGGACAATAGAAGTATCATCGCAAACCTAGTGGTCTTCTGATTTCCGCCTTCTCGCGTCAGGACTATTAGTTTCTCGACCAGTCCATAACAATAATTTAGCGACGAGTACATAACAATTTGGCGACGGGGAAACTAGAACATAACAATTTGGCGACGGGGAAAACTAGAACATAACAATTTGGCGACGGGAAAAACTACTATTAACCACACAGCAGCAACAACATAACAATTTACTATGGATCCTATTAAATTGGAATTATTGTTTGAACGACAAATGAAATTAATGGAAATGTTCGTCAACCAACAGACTGGTCCAGCTCCACCTTCAAGCAATCCCAATCATACCATGCTACCATCTGTCGACGGAATTGTGAACAGCATTTCACAGTTCAATTATGACCCAGAGGCTAATGTCACTTTTGACACATGGTATCAACGTTATGAGGATTTATTCACTGTTGATCTCGCCTCACAAGACGATGCCTGGAAGGTG